GTACGTGACGTTCGTATTTGCACAAAACTTCTACACAATCGTCTTCAAGCAAATGTGCAATTTTTTGCGATTTCTTCACCAATTATTCCCTTTCTTTTCTCTCAAAACAGCTAGTACCAAAATATAGCAAAGTTGTAAGTCGACAGACTTTTACTCTCACTTTCCTTGTATGACCGTTTCATAGTTTTTTTTTTTTTTTCATCTAATATTTCACCTGACTTGATTTTGAACATTCAAGACTTCATGATGAATTCATGATCAGTAATATTCGCCTAAAAGGATCTTCGAAACGCTATTTCTTAGCCTGTTAAAGTAACTAGGGTATGTACATCACTTATAAATGTGAAAAAAAATTAAAAGTACATAAAAAAGGAATGGGGAAGCTTTATGTGTGCCGAAGAACTGATGTTCTGAACTGCTAAGCTTTGTCGAGGCTGGCTTTTAATTGTACAGAAGGATTAGTTTGACTAAAAGACATCTGGATTAATGCAAAACACACAAGAAAATCAATCAAACAGGTCTGTCAAAAAGGGAGTGTCATATTCCCTAATCAGGCTTTGCCTTTACAAGCAATATGGAATTTTTTAAATGCGTTTTTAAATGAGTTTTTAAAAAACTCATTTGACTCCTATTGCTTTATTATTCCTGGGTCTTGAGTTTTCAGTTGGGCTAAATTCTGTTATTTCAGGGAATCCATTCGCTGAATTAAATTGCTAAATTTGCAAGTGCCTCTCACTAGCTGATAACATAGAACAGGAGATGACGTCGTCTCTATTATATCCTAAATTTCCTATCCCTTTGAATAGCTCGCTGACAAACTGCGGATAGATGATCAAAGAAATCATGAAATTTTAACTTCGAATGTTAGAGCTGAAGCAATTTTTTGCAACTGCATTAACAGTCAGTCCCTCGTAATAAATCTGGAGTTAAAGTTTTTAGCTGACGTGTAACCACTACCACCCTCACGAAGGAGGAAGCATGCTCTTTCAGCATGCTCTTTCGCTTTTTCTCCGCCTTCACATATAGGCTTTAAAAGTTTGCGACGGCGTGTTTTAATAATGATTTTGTTTTCAATCTTTAGTTGGTACCGGCCTGTAAAACGTACGATTGCTTGCCACTGAGAACTTTCATCAACTGCGAAAAAAAAAAAAAGGATTGTCAACATGGCCTTCTATGAACTGATTACCTTTATCTTTCAAATATTGCCGGTCATTTCGTGTCCTTATAAACTTTATAAATTTTCGACCTCATAGCAATTATTTCTACCAAATAATAATAATAACATTTATTTATACTATACAGTTACTACCAATAGCTGTCATGCCAAAAAACGATCGAGACCTAATCTTGTGGCATTTATTAAAGTTCTTGTGCGTCAAAGCCAAGCGAAAAATTTTACATTTTGGAGACAGCAATTTGGTTACCTGGTTCTCAGGTTCAAGTTTTGCTGTTGCTTCTGTTCACTCTTAGGGCGGAAACGACTTTTTTTACGATTATTTTTAACGCTATTAAGCACTAGACGGTCCAAATTCCAAAAATCCAGGAGTCCAACCCTTAAATGATTATTCCTAACAGCGAAGGAGGCCTGGAATTGGAGATAGCAGATCAAAGAGACAACGTTGTACAAACAAGACGTCAATTAAATTTTGAGATAGTATAGACTTCATAGTATTGCTGGTACTGAATCGGCTACTAGGATAATAATCAGGCGGCTTTATTCACATTTGGTAAGGAATTCATGGTTCTTAGTTAATTCTCAAACATCGATTTACCTCAGTGCAAACTTATATTAGTTAACTCGCTGACATATATATTTGGTGCATTTTTAAATGTTTCAATTATGGATACGAGGAAAAATGAAGTAACTTAGCTTGCCATTAGTTATACTTGTCCAAAAACTGTCCGTGACTGAATGCATTTTTTCTTTAATTAACTGAGGTAAAATTTTGACGCCATAAGACTTCTATTAATCTAAAACTAAGGAATTTGCCATGCAAAACTTACTTTACAAAGGTTGTTACATTTCCCGTTTACGTGGGCAAACCGCGCCGGTCGGTCCACGGATTGGCAGATGGTACGGAAAATTCAGAACTAGTAAATTTCGTCCCGAAATCGCGTTTACCATTCATTGTAAAAATCAGTTCCATTTACCGAAAAACGATGGCGCAGGCCCGAAACTGGTATGAACCTGGTATCAAAAATGATTTTCAAGAAATGGAACACGAATTTGCGATTGGAATATTCCGCCCGGAAAAATAGGACTGTCCTTTTCAGATGTTCCGTAGCTCTCGGGACTCTTTTGCTGGAACGACCCAACAAGCTGTTTGCTCCATTCACTTTCCAACCGGATTTTCGGGAAACTTTTTAATAGTAAACAACCGAGGTCTTGCTGATACTCCCGTTTAATTTCTTCAAAAGGGAAAGGGTCTCGACGAAAAGCCAACAAAAGCCGTTGATCGACCGAGTGTTAGCTTTTGAAGTCCCCGTTTTTTTTCGCCCTTATCAGGCGTTGGTCATTTCACAGACTGCAGGAAAATGGTCATTACAGCATGTGTATTCAGTTAAAATTTCTAGCTCAAACGTTGCCGATAAATTCACATTAGCTAAGATTAAAAACTCATCAAACAAACAACTGTAGTTGAATTCGCATCGGAGTTGTAGGCTTTAGAATAGAAACAAAACTTAGCATAAGCCAAAGGCTCGTTAAATCACTGTCTGCAAAAATATCATCGCTTTATAAGTCCGGAATTAAACAGCACTAATTTCTTTCACTAAAAGACGTTCAAATACGCAAGTATATGGTTTAAGCTTGATGGAAAGAAAAACACAAATATACTGATAAGAAAACCAACGACTTTCTAGATTATTCTGGCCTGTGATTCAATGATAAAGGCTTCGGAGTATCACAGTGTAAAACGTTGGATGTGTCACTCCACGCAACAAAGCTGAAAAGCGGGAACCAAAACAAATTGACCAATTTTGTTGCTCATTTTTTGAGATGTTTAAAACTTCTAAAAATTCGTTATACAGTATATTATTTGTTGCCATGAAGACGGGCACACACATGAGGAATTTTGATTAACCCGATCTGTTGAAAACAAATGTTAGTTTTGAGTGATGACATTAGAAAGCCATTTGCCCCTTTTTTATCTGACTTTTAACATTAGCCGTTTACCGAAAACATCATTTTTTCATGAATGCAATTTTAATGTATTAGGATAAATAGGCTGATTTTCCGGCAGATTAGAGCGCCGAAAAAATTCAACTAACCTTAATGCGAAAGACTGAAATCCAAGTAATACTGTTTAAAAATAATATAGCTTCGATTTCAAACTTAGCTCGGAGGTCTGTTGTCATGTACGTACTTTATCAAGACCATTAGGCCCTGTCTGCGCTGGCTTAATTTAAGGGTGTTGACTGGATTACCTTCTAAAAGATATTTCTCTTCATTTTATTTTTCCAAAACTATTATTTTTCTGAACCTTTTCTCTTTGACGATTTTACGACCCCGTACCACTTTGTTTTTCTTTAACAAAATTTAACAAAACTTGGTCACAATTAGTTGGCACGACAGCAAATTGAAATATAAAGTCAACAGTTGCATACGGTCAGTTTCTTCTACAAAAAGTGGAATTATTAAAGAAAAAATCATAGCATGATTTACTAGTCTCATCGCTTAGTTTTGATGAGTCTAACGGTTGATCTAAATGGTTAGAAAAAGCTAGGTTGACGCCATATTGTTTGCATATGGTGACGTCATTGATCCCTTCTATAGGGTCATCTTCTATACGTATAACATGTCAAAGTCTATTTGTTAAAAGAAAAACTACTGCAACACAGTGGAAACCTTAATAGAGGGGCCAGGGCCCGTAAGAGATGGGGGGAGGAGGTAATTATAGGCACTTTCTTTCACTTAGCTTTTTAGGGTTACTTTTTTTTGGTAGAACTCTTGGGGTTATTCCTCCTAAATCTCAAAAAACTCTATTCCATTACTCGTCTCTGCCAATTTTTTCGAAATGTTTTATTATTATTCTTTAAAACCAAAATATAATGTGTCTATTAGCTTGTATTGCAAGATTTTAATCACTGACGCCGCTCTCAAGTATTTGTGTTTTCTAAGAGAAAGGTTGATAGCGTTAACATCCGACCCTCTTCAAATGCAAATTGTGGATCAAATATTCTAGAATTGAATAAGTGAATTTAATCATTTTCCAAACTTGAGGTTAAACTATAGAGCGTTTTCACATGACGTTAAGGCAGCCATGCTGGCGTTCCAAACGTGTTCCATAAAGTAGTACCATTGTGGTACCCAGCTCAGTCCCCAACCCCCACGAATTACGAAGATTGTCAATGTATGGTTTGCAAAAAAAAACACACTGGAGAGCTTTAGATGCTGAGACGAGGACGACTACCAGTACTTAGTCCTAAGTAGTGCTCTTGCGTGAACCAAAGTCATTTTGGCGGGAAACCGTGATAGCCGTCGTCATTCTACTATGAGTTTTAGGAAGAATGCAGGAGAATGTCTTAGTGGCAGGAACAAGTTATTAGAAGTTTAATCGTTTTGCGACAGGGAAAGGGCTAAACCCTCTCCAATAAATATGACCGCATTAATTTTTCTGGTGAAAAATAGTACGATAAAGCTTTCTGGGTTGAATATTTTTCGATAATACGCGAAAAAACTTTAAGTTAAATCTCGCACTCGTACTCGTTCTCGCCCTCAAATCTAAAGCTCTCTACTGTAAACACATAAGCATAAAATTCAAATGCAAACTGCCTATAGGCTCTTGAGGAAACACAGCCCAATGTTCATTGCCGAAGTGTTTAATGTTTTGCTTTTAAATCTCAGCCTCAAAAGACAAACCCCAATCCAGGCAGCCATTTGTTGCAAACTTGACGCCAGATTTTTCAATAAATCATTTCCTGCGAGCACCTACTTACAAGTGTTTATTTTCCCTTATGATCTTTAAGTCATTTTGAAAAATGTATTTTCCTTACATGTAGACGTTTCCCATTACCTGTCTCGATTGGTAGCTGCAAGATGCTGTCACCTTCAGGCAGCATGCAGGACGGAAATGTTTATTAATACACCTGCCACCCAACTTATTATTCGTTTATTTATTTATTTATTTATTTATTTATTTATTTTTAGTGGTCAAGCATTTACGCCAGGACAACAGCGAACGTGTCACACAAAAGGTAACTTCTTTGCTTTTTTCTCTCTCGTTCATTTTGTCAAATGACGGCGATTTTTTCTGGAGTTGAATTCTAATAAAAAAAAGGCTGTATCTAAGTTCAGAAAAGAAAAATTAAATCATTTCCACGTGTTCACGTCCTTCATAAAACGTTAAAGTAGGACGCTTCGTGACGTAGTCGACCAACAACGGCATGGAAATGTACAAAAAAGGGCGATCGCACCTGCAGTTGTTGCTTTAACAACCAGGAACAACTTACATGGCTCCCGCCCGGGGGGGGGGGGGGGGATGGGGTTAATTTTTGCTAAGTAGGTGCCGCTGGCCTCTCAGAGCCCCTACCCCATTACAGTCCATTCTGTGGCCAATTATACACCCCATCTTAGTCAATATTGGGCAAATATGTAGTTTTCACGATCCCAACTTTAAATAGGTCATTCCAAAATGAATTGACCCATTTTTCACTGAATGAAGAACACTTTACTTTTCACCTACCGTTCAAACATCCTGGTACGTTTGCTAACCTTAAAAAAATCAAGACCTTTTTTACCCCAAAAATCAGAAAATGTGCCACCCATTCTAGTAATTCTAGTTGAGAACGCGACCCCATTATAGTCAATCCAGTCGTGAAAACACGACCCCATCCAACGGCACATCCCAATTAGCCACTGAAAAGGAAGCGCCCCCGGGGCTTGGCACCCCTTTTGTTTGGCTGCGGGCCCTGTCTCCTGTAAACTTAAGAAATGAAATTATACTCTAAGCTACTGCATAAAGCCAGCCTGCACTTTCATAAATAAGCGATCGAATTACAAGTACGTCGATCTTCTATCGAAGAATAAACTTCTCTTTTCAGCTTGAAGGAATCACGATTTCCCGTTTACAACTAAGCAGGAAACTGATTTTGGGTCGATTATTTGCCCGACTTTACGGGCAACACTTTAACCTTTAAGCCATAAGAGTGATCACGAGAATAACGGACATGATCACACAAGAAGAATTTGCTTGATATTTTATCAACTTCTCTCCACTACTTCTATAGTAAATGAATAAAGGGGACAAATGAGAATTTTAATTTTGATCTTAGGGTTTAAAGGGTTAAACAGAAGAGGCAGGTGATATGCGGAGGGCTTTTTCTGGCCGTTAATTGTTGAGACTGCCGATCTGTACGTGATTGGTATTGATTAACATACAAAAATTAATTGAAAAATATATACTTCTGTCGATGCACCTACAGCGAGTAAATAGGGGTGAATCTGATCTTTAATTAAACAAGTGAGTAACCACAGATTAATTTTGCAGTGCAAAAAGAAAAACATGCATATCCAAAAGCGCAGAAATAAGCTTTATTCGCTGCTAATGATAATGCAATCAAGACCTTTTGTCCCATAAAGCCAACACTTGTATCAGTTATTTTCAAACCGATATCGTTCATTAATCCTACGGGCTGTTGTGGCCTTGAATAGTGAAGTTAAGCAGCGTGTGGGTTTTGCACAAATTTAACCAATAACCAAGCTTGTTTTTAATGGAAACAGATACAGTCCTCCTCAATTGTTGTCTTAATGTATCCTTTTAAGTGATGTTGTCAACGTGATTGGCATACAAATCAACGAAGTATCGTGTCTGGTTTTCTTCGAGCACAACTTAAATTTAATATTCTCAGTCGGCTATACTTTCCTCGCTGGTTCCTAGGAAAAAATTGTCTTGGTGTCAGCTTATGGACTTTTAGAGATGATGAAAGCAGGCGGTATAAGATATCTTTAACTGGAATTTAGTGGTCTTGACAATTAAGTACAAGGTTAGGTTATTAAGTTTGTGATTCATCTTTACATTACTGAAGGCCATCATTGCAAGAATACTTATTTTAGCAAAGACTTACTGTCATTTCGAGTTTCATCCTCAACGAGTATCTACTTATTTAGCCATAAATTTGAAACTTTTTATTTGACATGGCTTCACTCAAACGCCAAAAAATATAAATTAGTAATTGAAAACAGTTTTAAACAAGAATTAAATTCAATCAGTGCTTATTCACATTGATAAAACACCTTTTTTACCTTCGGAACTTAGTTACAGTGATCTTGTTACCTCTGCGTCCTGCGTCCCTGATGGATAAGAATACCCCAAAAACGCACAAAATTTCATGCCAATTTGCGCCCCGTTAAAAGATCGATCGATCAATCGATCTGAAGATGTTTTTTGTAGTAAGAATATATTGTTCGCGTGATTTCTGTGGCTGTTGTTTAACGACGCAAATTTCTTTAGTCTTCGTGGTGCTTTACAAAAGAATGTCTTTTATCTGTTAAATAAAGACCTAAGCATTTTCAATTTAGAAATTTTTGATTTTTGAACTGAGACTGAATGGTTCTGGAGTGGACTTATAATTTGTTCACAAGATGAGTCCCAGGACTCACCATAACTATTTCTAACAAAATCACTGAAATTATAAAGTAAGCTACGGTTGATGACAGCTACGAAAATAATCAGAAAAGAATCTGGATGAAGTAAAATTCCATTGTAATAACTAACATTAAAGGACTGATAAGTTCCCAAATTAACATGTTTTGTAGGCTGTCTTTAGATACGGCACTCTAGAAATCTCAATTTAATTTGAGAAATGCTTTTATGGAAATCAAGAAAAGCCAAACTAAGATACTATAGATTCTCTGGAGAATTTAATTAAATATGTTTTTGTACAGCGTTATTTCCCTTTTGTTTTACCTAGAGCGGGTAAATAACTCGTAAAATAAATGTCACATTAGACCAGCGGGCGAAATGTCCTTTAGAGGAAACATTGAGCAAATGTGTTCCATCGTTTCTCTACTACTAATGAGCAAAATCTCTTGTTATTGTCACGTAGCAGCGTTAGATTCGGCATGAAGCTCGAAGTCTTAAACAGGCCTTAATTTCCGGGAGACAATACGAATCAACATCAGATTAGAAAACATAATAATAATAATAACAATGATTACAACTACAATTTTGTGGGATATTAGTTCACGGGCATGCGCAGCAGTTGGAGCTTATCACAAGTATATCCAGCCGCGTACCCAATGACACGTTCCTCGAAAAATGGTTAACTTTAACCCAGGATTAAGCCAAATTTTAAGCAAGGTTTTCCTGTCCAAGAGCATGCAACTCGAGCTTAAAAACTAATACTGTTGAGCCTTCACTTCGAAATGCAGTAATGATACCACAAAACGTTACTGTACGCATTATTAGGAATTATACAAAAACGGAACAAAATTTTAATCCTGGATTAACGATAATCGGCCTTTCAGGAACTGGGCCCTGCAGGGCTTTTACCATTTTCTAAGCGAAAAACCCGAGAAGGACGAGTTCGTAGACTTACTATATCTGCGCATGGGTTAAGGCGCGCCTGTGTGCCTCAAAGTTCTTACTTTTTCTCGGAAATGTCTTGGAATCAACACACTTTAACAGAAATAAATCCTAAAAGCTCATTAAAATACTTGTATTAAAATGGAAAACAGCTCATAGTTTTGCTGCTTTTGGTACGGCGTTACGAGTTTCTTTTATTATTATTATTATTATTATTATTGTTGTTGTTGTTGTTGTTGTTATTATTATCATTATTATTATTATTATTATTATTATTTATTTATTAGTTTTTCTTTTTTTTGTGCCGACTGATCCGAATCAAAAAATCTTGCATCCTAAGTTGTCATAAAGCACTAAGTACTGTATGACAGCCAGCTATGTAGCTATTAATTAATTGTAAAGTACTGACGATAAAATTTCTAATCATTTCTGCAATTTATCTGTCCTCGAATAGCCTAAATCTATAAATGACTATTAATGGCATGGTCCCCTCGGCATCATAATAATGACATACACTTAGCAAACAAATGCCCCTGCTCGAGGTATTCGGAATTTTCGCTGGTTATTAAAAATTGACTATTTATATCTTGTATTGTCCAAACGAAATTCACGGCATTAGAAGAGGGTCTAAATATATTTTTTTTTCCTTTTTTTTTTCATTTTTTTAGCCTAGCAGGTTCTTTATCAGCAGCAACTTTTCAGCAGCTTTTTTGCGGTACAAGTGCCTTGGGCATGCGCACTCACACAGGAATCTTTTCTCCCACGCGAAAGTTTTAATGGGAACGGCTTTGCAAATGACAAATCCCTTCGACCATACCATGGCCGTGACGTAACTGACAAGAAAAGTGACAACTCAGTCAGTTTGAAACTAAAGAATCGAAACTTCGCTTGATTAACATATGTTTCAAAACTAAATCCTTCCGAGTCAGAAATTGTCAGCTATTTCTTCAACGCACTTTTATCTCAAGAAATTTACGTTTATTGATTCATTGATTTGTTTATAATCAGCTTGAGTCAAAATGTTTGACTTAGAAAATACTCTATGCATAACTGTAAGTTAAAGCTACAAACTGCACTGATATATCTTTTATCTTTACTCTTTTAATTTATATTTAATTGTGATAATAATCAAAACAGGAGGGAGATATTCTCTATAGATATAGAGAGATATTCTCCATAGATGTAGATCCATAAGCTGTGTCGTTTGAGGATTTATCTTTTATCTTTGTTCTTTTTATTCATTTACATTTAATTATGATAATAATCAAAACAGGAGAAAGATATTCTCTACAGATATAGAGAGACATTTTCCATAGATATAGATCCATAACAATGTCTTTTGAGGGTTTATCTTTTATCTTAGTTTGTTCATTTACTTAATTTAAATTTAATTATGATAATAATGAAAACAGGAGAATTATATTCTCCATAGTTAAAGATCCATAACAATGTCGTTTGAGGGTTTATCTTTTATCCTTGTTCTTTTCAGAATTAATTTATATTTCATTAAGATTTAAATAAAAACAAGAGAAAGATATTCTCCAGAGATCTATAACAATGTCGTCTGAGGATAGTTGACGGTAGACAAAGCAAGCGTGTTAAAAATTTTTGTCAGAGCCCTGCTTTGTTTTGTCTCTTCGTTAATAACCCTTAGGAAGTTGGAAAGGTTCCTAAACTGAAATACAGAGCAAGACTTTTACAGAACCCGGAAATACAGTTATAATAGTTACATGTTCGCCAGTTAAAAATAAGCTGTTAATTATTAAGTAAACGAAAGGAGAAAAGTGTCAATCTTAAAAACTGAAATAAATCCGGTATAAGACTTTTTGTCAAATTCATATTGCATAGTTGGCAGCAGAGGAAGTTAGAATTCTAAAAGGCTCTAATATTGGAGGAGAAGTAAATGAAACTTTAAGTTTGTTTAGTTACCGTACCTTTTTGTATGTTGTATGTTGAAGATTATCTCGCGTGTATCTTTCGAGTTCAACCTCTTCATAGTCATATACCGAATATCGTGTTATGATTTTGAATCTACTGACGAAAATCTTTTGGTGTTACCATTCAAGTGGCATCTCTTCAGGAGTACTTTGACACGGTACTATTTATTTAGTATCTAGTTCTAACTTCTGATTCTGTGGACGAAATCCCGTGGTTTTCTAAGTTTTGAATTTGTTTTTGAAATCCCGTGGCGTTACCATTCAAATAAATAAATAATGAAAACCCTTTGGTAGAACTTTTACCTAGCGCTCTCTTTTGCTTAGGATTTAACAAAAATTCTTTAAGATTATTTTGGAGCGAGAGGGTTATTTTAACTGTGTACCAGACGATCCTTATTGGGCAAATCCCCCGTATTTTCTGTTATGATTTTCCTGTTCGTACCTTAAGTTTCAAACTGAAGAAACTCTGTGTACATCGAAAACTCAGTCGAGGGAGCCTCACGTTTATAATGCATGTCTGATCCAATATTTGTATTTCATCATTGGTTATAATGCATAGTCAAACAGAGACGGAAGTTTATACAACTTTAATATATTGTGGTATACCACACACTACGGCAAGAGAGAAAAAGCGTTTCACTGGCCGGATAGAGAAAATTACCCGAAAACCTATTAGGTTTCTTCAAGGTAATTTTGATGAACTTCACTGATATGCCTTCTCTCTGGCAGTCATAGTTAATCCTGTTCTAGTTATCCAGCGGATATAGGTGGAAGATAAAAATAATAGGCGATGTGTTATTTCTAGTGCAAGAAACTTCTGCCGGCTAAACTTTTCACCCAACGCCAGTTTTCAACTTGATATCGCCATTTCAAAATCTACTTCAGTTATTAATCGAGGGTACGCTCAGGATAATTGGAGGCCAACAGACTTCTTATTTAGTCGAAAGCTGTAAGAGCGAAGCGATAAAACTTTTTAGGCCTGTCGATAAAAATCATATGATTTAAGAGCTAGGAAGCAATACTGTGCTATAAAGATTTAACAGAGTCTGTTATCAAAATTAATTTCTGATCAACTTTTCAGTCAAGAAGAAGTCGTTTTCTTCTTGAAAGTAAAGTTTAACGTAAACGACGTTTTACAAAAAAGGAACGAAGAAAAGACAAAAACGTAAATACGAATTAATTCATTTCCTTCATTAAGCAACTACTGAAACGCACACGCAATTAAGCTTCGAAAAGGGTACAGCAATCAAATGAGTTGCCTTTCGAACAGTCACTTTAAAACATCTACCTCGGACCTCAGTGAAATAAAAAGGGTTAAGTTCATTAAGGTCGGCATTACAGCGGATTGTCGATTCAGCTTCATAGTTTCCAGTTTGATTCAAAATAACAAAAACCAACTTTTGTCTTTGACGAGATCGAATGTCATGAGATTATACTGGAAATAAAATAATTAATTGTCTAGAAAAGGTCGTTACAAGGTGTCGATAGCTGATTGACTTTGTTTAGTTATGAATTTGGTTTTTAAAATGAATCTAAAGTGAGATCGCATGCTGTATTGAAGTTATTGATAATAGAAAAAAAGGGAAAAATGCGACATTTCGTTCCTTTTCAAATCTAACTTGAACTCGATAAATCTGTAAAAAATCAAAATCAGAAGTAACACATTTTAGCTGTCTTTGCGAGAAATTCGAGCATTTCCATTTTGGTTGAGTTATGGCCAGCCACGATCGGTCTCAACTAGCAGATTATGTTTCGTTTTGTAGGCTATTTACAGCTGAGTTAAATGCGTGCACGGATTTGTTACTCCTGACTCGATCACAAGATTTAATTTCTTGTTTGGATAAAAAAACAATAATGATAAAAAAAAAATTTTTTTTAAAAATCAAATCGTTTTAGGCAGTGAGCCTTTTTCCTTTTGTTAACTTTCGTAATTTATTGATTTATGATTAACTTGGGGAGCAAGGATGGCGGAGCGGTGAGAGCACTCGCGCCTCCCACCAGTGTGGCCCGGGCTGAAATCCCGGCGTCGAAGCCATATGTGGGTTGAGTTTGTTGTTGGTTCTCTCCCTTGCTCCGAGAGGTTTTTCTCCGGGTACTCCGGTTTTCCCCTCTCCTCAAAAACAAACATTTTCAAATTCCAATTCGAGCAGGAATCTGGTAAACGAAGAGCCACTAAAATCTCTAACATCGTTATTATTATTATTGTTATTATTATTATTTGATATTATTATTAAATCTCGCGAAAAGGGCAAGCAGCCAGGTGATATCATGATGCATAAGCAGTCTTTTTGGCCATTATTACATGCACTGCCGCCTGAGCTCTATCCACCAACTTCTTTTAAGAAGGAAGGATTTAGTCAGGATTAGTGAATCTTTTTTTTTTCCCCGAGGCGCCCGATTGTCAAAAATGCCAACATTTCGATCAGAAAATGGAAATCGAACAATGAAACAAACAGCTCTACGCCATGATTCAGTGGTTCCGTGGTAGAGCATTAATAATGTTTTTAAGATCTTTTACGTCATTGTTCCTCTATCAATCAAGACATTGTTTCCTTCCCGGAAAAATCTCAGCCTTGTAAAATTTTTATGATTTTTACTATTCGTGGGCGCTGTGTGTATTTCACCAGGGTGCCTTTTACCTCGTATTATTTCCCTTTGTCACACTGAAATAAGGTACGGTTAAAAAAAAGTTCAGTCAGTACAGGGTAACGGTTGTCTTATCTTGCAGTACACTCGGTGGTTTGAGTAGAAGTTTGACCCAGATATTTCTTTCAACGGACCATATTAACTTGGCAATTCGGAACTTTTGATCGAAAATTCGCCGCACTTCGTTTCCATTGAGAAACAATGCAATTCTTATAGCAAAATCAGATTACAAAGTTGGTGTTTCATTTATTAGACAATTTAAAACGATGCGAATTTAAAAACAAACAGCGAGCGATCAATCTTAGCTTTTAGGAGCATATTAGTGGATTTGAACGTGAGTTACGCCCTTTGATGCTCCTTGTCTTTATTGTAACGGTTCATTTTGTTTCTTGTTTTCAGCGCTGTTGAACTTAAAACAACGTCCACTGCAAAAAAATGGAAAATAACACGACGTCCGGCGTAAATAACAGCTCCACTACAAACAGCTCCACTACAAACTCCGATGAGCAGCAAAGCCAACAAAGCGATCCACACATGCGATTTATCATACTTATCATTTGCTGGATTTTTATTATCGTTGGAGTCATTGGGAATTCTCTGGTAATCGGAGTAGTGAAGCTTATTCGCAGCATGCACACCACAACCAACTATCTCCTACTCAACGTTGCGTCTGCAGATATCACCACGCTGTTGTCTACAGCAATCCAGCTGATCACATCCATGCACTTGTCGAGATTCAGCAGCTTTCTTTGTAAGTTCGTCTCCAATGGAAACGTTTCTATAGTAACCCTTATAGTGTCGTCATACACTTTCACCCTTCTGGCGATCGAGAGGTACTACGCTCTAGTAAAACCGATGACAGCATCACGCAGGCTCAGAAATGACAATGTTGCTTACGTCATACTTGGAATCTGGCTTGTAGCCGTTGGATTAGTGACGCCATTGTTTGTGGTAGTAGATGCTAATTCTCATGGCGGTTGTGACCTTGGCGCCTCGGACAACAAGATGTTGATCTACGTTTACTGTCTGTTTACAATTTCCATTATCATCCCCTTCATAATAATTGCAACTTGTTACCTTCGTGTCATCTATGGCATGCACTTCAAAAAAACCATATGCAGTAATCAAAGCGAAAGAGTCGATACGCGACAGGAAATAACTGAAAAACACAGACTGGTGAAAGTTCTCATATTGTTGACTGCGGTGTTCTTCACTGCGTTTATCCCGTATAGTTTTCTGTTGATCATGGATTTTAGCAACATTTACTCTTCAGATGTAATAAATCTCCAGTACAGCGCACAGTTTCTCACGCTCTTGAATTGCTCTGTGAATCCTTTCATTTACGCATTCCAAAGCTCTAACTACAGACGGGGCTACGCGCTTGTTTTCAAAAAACTGTTTTGCCGCGACAAGTCTGTGAATGCCATTGAATTACGCCAGGTGTGTACTAACAGTTCTCTGCGCATCGCGGTTGTTGGGATTTCAAAGCAAAATGGGAGTTAGATTCGGAATCGAAAAAAGGAAGCTTAAGCAACAACGAGGGCGAAGGCTACCAAAACATCACTTAAAAAGAGAAGTCGCGCTGCCTCAAACTTTATAGCGCTTATTCCATCTCGTTTAATTCGTCAAATGTTGGAAAAGTTTTTTGGAGTTGAATTCTAAAGGACTGTATCAAAGTTCAGGAAAAGGAAAGGAAAGTTGTTGTCTTGTGTTACCGTCCTGCACAAAACGTAAACTTAGGTACTTTCACGCTGTAGTCGTGCAACGACGGCCGAGAAATGCACAAGACAGCGTGATGCACGTGCAGAGTTGTTGTTTTGCCAAAAAAACCTATTTAATTTTTTTTTTATCGTTTTCGTTGCCGTTGCCGTCGTCGTTGCGCCCTAAGCTCCCTAATATGCACGGGAAACGGGATACCAAAAATATCCATCGGGATAAGGGTAAAGCGATTGAGGGGAAAATGTGGATTGGGATGACGGGATGAAAGACTCCTACTGTGTACCCGTACTTTACGGACTCGGTGTCTGAATTTATCATTGTGAATAGATGGGCGTGGATGTCCACAAAAGGTTTCCAAATCCGATTAGATTAAAACTAGTAACAACCAAAAGGTTACGGAGTGCGAGCGACAACGATCGAAGATCGAAACGCTTTTGCTCCATCGCTGTGCTTTGCGTATGTTTCACGTGACAGATAGTCAAAACACGCGTGATCAGATTACGAGTGATAAAAGGTCCAAACGCGCGTGATCAAATTGCGTTCTGTACATTCCATTCATTCTTATTAGAAGTCCAATCGAATGCTGGCTACATACATAGGAAGCATGCGTAATAACAACCTAGGGATTAGGATTGCGGGCTCCTCTTGTCGCCGGCAATAAATGATCAAAAATTACAGTCATACTTTACCGGTGCGATGTACGGGTGTGTTTTGAATTTGAATTTTGAGGTTAGCCGGCGCGAGGTCTGGCACCGATGAAAGTTCGGAGATCCCTCGTATAAACTCGGATACTTTACGTCATTCTCGGCTGTAACCTGCGATCAGGCGATTTTTTTTTAGGTTATCTCGGCTGGTGATTGGTTATTCCGAGAATTTTTGAAACTTGGGACTGTCCCAGACCCGCGAGAAATTTGGTTCCAGTCGACCGAAAAATTACACACAAGTCAATGAGTGAGTAATTGAAAAAGAGAGTTGGTAAATTAACAGAAGGCCAGTAAATGAACGAACGAACACAACACAATGTGACAATACGCAACAAATATATGTAATTACTCGTCCGATAATTCATTAATTTTTCTCAGTATTCGAGCGGGTGCGAATATATCAGAGATTAATTAGGTTCAAACGTATAACAATATGAATAGACTCAATTTCGGTACCCTCAATTTTGGTCACAAGGCAGGTCACGTTATGTATCATTATGTATCATTATGTACCCAATATATATCGGTATTTATAACATTACTGATGCAGTATTCTTTGTACATATGTTATTATTAACTAACCATGGAAAACATTGCCGGCATCCTACAATATTGATGAGATACGGTATAGCTTGGCAATTGACAATGCTTTCTTATGGAATATCAAAAAATATCCCACGGGCCTGGACTCTTGATTTTCCTTAGAATGCGCAAATGAGTATTTTTTGTTTTAGGTGAACTCGTAAAAAAGCCACTTAAAAAGAGAAAACAATATCACGAGGTAACTCTTACGGAGGGGAAAACAAATAGTGAAAATAATACTATTACTTAGAGACAAGTGTAAATAAAATGTAGAATGTAACTCAAAGAAGAATTAAAAGACTATTCTTTAGGGAATGTGCAGACTTTTCTCTTGTGAATGGATAGTTCCTCTACATTAAAGAAAAGACTACCTTGGCCTTTAGTTGATAAACCAATCGAGAAGAGTTACGCTGCGTGACAACCTTAATAACGGTTTTGAAGGAGACTTCCATCGGGACCTTCAGGATGCGCTTCCAAAATTATGTTATCCATGCAGTAAATTAAGGCTTAAGAGCCATGCTAGAAATTAGCAGCAAATACTGAACAGGAAATTCGAACACTTCACCTTCATAGTAAAGGGATAAAGCATTTCTACAAGAGAAACTAACATACCTCGTCCCCAGGGTCTTCTCGATTTCCAATATGGCGAGCTAATAAAAACAGTAAAAAGGCACATGAGCAGCCATTTAAGTGTACATACCTCATAAAAAGCTGTCCTTGTTATGTTTCTTAACGTTTCCTGTCCCATCAATGCCGTTCTAGCAAGTTTTGATGTTCTGGTTTTTAATATAACTGACAGGAAAACTCGGCTGTCCTTCCACGTGTCCAACACTGCCCGATGAGAAACCTCCATAAATCACCTTCGTTCGACTCCAATCAGCTCTAGATCGCTGCTTTAGCATAAAACGAATATTGTCCTTTCCAAAAAGCGTTAGTTTAGTTCCAGACATTAAGCCGCGTCCTCAAAAAGAAGAGAAATATAACAACAAATTCGAACTTGGCGCTTCTGTCAATGTGGTCTTGGCTTACTTAGTAGCCACGCCGCATAGTAAAATACCCTCGGCGGGGAGGGACAGGGGAGCAGACTGCCCTTTTTAACAAGAAAAAACGACCGGCATAGCATTGATGGGACAGGAAACAGAAAGAAAACATCACAAAGTTATCTATTTATGAGGTATATACACTTAAAGGCTGCCCGTGTACATTTTTGATGTTTTATCAATATAAATGCTCAGAACTCCTCTGTTATGACACTGAGGGTCCTGCTGGGAACAGTCAAAACATTAACCAACTCGGGGTCTTGTAATGAAAATTTAAGATCCAAGTGAAAACTATATTTAAGCAATAGAAAACGTTTTCCGTGTTTGCATAGCCTGATATAAACACGAGAGGGGTTGGGAGAATTCGAGACAGTTATGCAAACCCGAGACGCGCGTTCTCGCGAGACTCGTTTCCCTCGCCCAAATAGGAGAGCTTGCTCGCAGGCTAGGTTTGCATAACCGTCGAGAGTTCTCCCAACGCCTCGAGTGTTTATATCAGGCTATACAAACACAAGAAAAATGTTTTTCTATTGCTTTTATAAAATAACTTTCCCGAGAAAAAAACGCAAAACTCTTTGTATGGCACTGATTAAAAGAGAAATTCTTACCAGGCGCAAAATCTTGCCTACGAAGTCTTGCACGCGTAATCAGTTCTTGTTTTGAAAAAAGATGCTTTGCAAAATACGGATTTTTCTCGCTTAAAATGCCAGCTTAAGCGAAGAAAAATTGACTCACCTTCTTTGTAACGATTTTCCACGTTTCAGCCGACGAGGGAATGGGTAAATAAAGTAAACTTGTCGAGTTTTGAACTCGAAAACTTTTTCAAATTCGTCTTGCGTGATTAGCGCTCGAAACAACTTGACACATTTTGATGTCCGTGTAAGAGCCACGCTAGTTTCCGCTTAGCTCAATATCACTTTTGTGACTTTTTAGTGCTCTTGAGCTTAGCAATTTTTTTAAGCAAGCAAGCAATGGCAGGCTTGGTCGGTCACATTTAAACGAGCTAGGAATTCGCTAAATAAACAAAAATTGGTCAAGCAAGCAAGCGCGGTTCTATGGTTCTGGATTTGCGTTCTTCTCGTGCTCAGGAACATATGGGTCCCTCTCTCCTGTATTTTCTTACGCCTTCTCCTAGGCATCACGTTTCAAGCATTAAAAGGAAGTAGGTTGAAAATCTTACTGTTTGGATTCCAGTTTGGGAAAATCCCGGGCGGAAGAATCTTAAGAAAAGAAAAGCTGCATGTGAGATACACGCCGATGTTTTTTTTTTTTAAGTGCGGCCAAAAAGCAATTATATGTGTTCAGTTTCCTTTGACAGCTAAAAAATTTGTTGATCAGCTGTAGCTGTAAAGCAAATGATAAAGCTTTCTTGCTTTATTTAAGATTTATAAGATTTAAGGGTCTGATTTTTTGTTTACTTCCGTTTCTAAAAGTTGCTAAAAATAAACTAAAGACTGTTACGTCATAGGAACAAAGAATCACGTGACCACTACGAAAACATACATTTAGCGCCATTTTGTTTCTGTTTTGAGGAGGTACGGTGTTGTTCTTCGCTTCAGATATTAACCGAAGGAGTATTAAGTCCTTTCCAAAGCAGATAAATGAAGTGGGAATATAAGGAAGAGCATCCCTTCGAAAAACGACGGGCTGAAGGCGAGAAAATTCGCAAGAAGTACCCCGATAGAGTTCCGGTGAGTCGGCTCAGCAAGCTTGAAATTTTGTGGTAACTTCCTGTCAGCAAGTTTATCGAATTTGTTTTAAGCAACAAGGATGTTCCTAAGATTTCCGACTCTGAGATCTTTAAATGCTTAGCTAGGAAGAATTTATTTCCATTTTCTGACTGATCGATTGGTAGGAAAAAAAGGCACTAAACCTTTAATATTTTGCAAATTTGTATGGCGTCAGATCTTATTTTGCAACGTCACCAAGGGGTGCAACTTATTTTCAGATCTAAGTAAATTCCACATCGTTGAACTAAAACATACATTACTGACTCTTGTCCTCTTTGTTTGATAATTACAGTTAAAGAATAGATACCTGTTTGTAGTATGCGCCGAAAAATTGCCTAAGCTTAAAAAACAGTCTTGCAGCTGGTCGCTCTTCACAAGACCTCCCCGAAAAGATTAAGCTTATGTTTAAGTTAAAAAGTGCAATAGTATTTCACTTTCGTGTAATTGAAACCAACCAATACACAGCATTACGGAACTAAAAGTATTTAAATTTAATGATTTTTAACTTGAACACTATGAAGAGTTAACCCATTCGTGTTGACGCCCAAAGTATGAGTGTGAAAGGTTTGAACCCAGGAGTCATTTCAAAAGGTTGAGTTGATCGTCCGGGTGAACGTAGTCCTGAATAGGACTGTTGTTTTTGACAGTGACTGACGTTTCAACAACCTGTGCGGTAGTCATCTTCAGAGTCAAAGTGAGTTGTATCTCGTCAGTTGATGGTATTATACTCTGGTTATTGATCTGATTGGTCAATTATGTCGTGATGTTATTGGTCGTCTGTCAGTTAAGCCGTGATGTTATTGGCTATGAAGACTCGTAATCAGTGATTGGTGCATTTCGATCCGTCTATTGTCGCCAAAAAAAACAGTCGTCTATTGTTAGTCAAATTGTTAGTTCTCCAGTTGTTCTCTCGTAGTTAGTTTTGCTTGATCTCGTCAATAAGTCGTTTGTACGGCACTGGTAACTGTTGACTACGATTCAGTGGCGTTTGTTCTAAGTTAGTAAACCAGCTTTCTAAAGTAAGACGTTGATAGTAGTCTGTAGAATACGTTATACAGTCATGTCGTAGAGTCCCAGTCAATTTGATGTTTCGTCTTTAAATGGTGCTCAGCAATGTGATTGTTGACGTCACCCTTCCTTGTCGCGCGTTTGTGTTCGGTCAGTCGCGTGCTTAGGTTTCTGCCGGTATCACCAATGTAAGAAGCCTGGCAGTCGCAGCATTTGATCTTGTATACTGCTCCCTGTCTGTCCTCTGGTTTGTCTTTGTCCTTGACATTAGTTAAGCAGTCGCCATAAAGTGGTTATCGGTTTGTGCGCAACACGTATATTGTAAGGTTGTAATATATGTGCAATAGTTTCAGAGGTGCCTCTGATGTACGGTAGAGTTGCTGTTGTAACAGGGCCACAGTTGGACCCGGACGATCAAACTCAACCTTTTCAAAGTCTGGGTATTAATAAAATAATCATTTAGCGATATGCCAGACTGACCAGGCGGCATTTGATCAAAAGATGGATAATTTAACAGTTAATGAATAAGGCTGAGTATCTTATGAAGAATTATGGAGATCGAGGAGGGTGTTATACAGCCTCGATGGATAACACGTTCCGAGATCTCCATAATTCTTCATATGATACAAAAACCGAATTCAATAACTGTTTTATTATTCACTCAAAACAATTCCTATTTTAAAAACATAGCTAAAACATGCTTACCTCCGTCGATCCATCGACGTTCAGTTCATCTTCGATAGTGTACATTTGAGTTTGTCCAGCTCCGCAAATATTCTCCAAATAGCAGATGTCGCTTTTCGAGTTGTCTTCTTGCTGTTCTTGCCATGTTTCTTTCGCCTAGTTCTTACTCTTGAAACGAGTGAAATGTCCGCCATTTTTTCAAGTTTATAACCAAAACAAGTCAACCTCGTCCCCAGGTCTTCTCAGTTAACGGTGCCTTAACCTGCGAAAACACTGCATTTTTGACGTCATTTCCTCTGTAAAGTCAAATTTCTTCCAAATTTGGTCATCAGTAACTGGTTATGGTGAATTAAACGTGTGCTTTTAGCCAATCAGAATTGGGGAAATATTTTGAATGAATAATAATAACAATTATTGGATGAGGCTGAGTGTCATCGTAAGATTTTTCTATTTTGGGGATCGAGGGGGTTGTTAATCAGCCTTGGTGGACAACACCCTCCGAGATCTCCATAATTCTTTAGATGATACGAAAGCTGAATTCAATAATTGTTTTATCATTCATTCAAAATAATTCCTAGTTTAAAAACAGGCTAAAACTTAACATGCTTACTTCCATTAATGTTAACTTCATCTTCAGTTACCTTTATATCAGCAAGTTTAGGCAAAAAAGTGGTTTTCAGAACTGCAAATATTCTCCAAATAGCAGACGTCATCCGTCAAGTTGTCTTCTTGCTATTTTTGCTATGTTTTTAGCCAATAGTTTGCCTATTTCTTCATCAGGAAATGATTAAAATGTTCAGCCATGTTATGCTCATTACTAAAACCTCGTCCCCAGGTCTTCTCAGTTTGCTGTTCAGTTTTCTTGCAATTATGCTGCACAGTTGGCATCATTTTTTACATATCACAACATTCTTGCAACTGTGGTAGACAGTAGCTGGTTGTCATGTGAATGCAATCAGTTTGTCTAATACAGGTACTTATCCAATGGATATTTTTTGCACAGAATAAATGAAGGGGCACGTTCAGCCTCAAGAAAATTTGCAACCAAAGTGAAGCATTCCATTTTCCTTCTTACAAAATTGTTGATAACTTATCATTCCTTATGAAGAGGAACTGAAGGCTAGAGTTTTTCAAAGCTGAACCATCAGACCAAAGCAACTGATCAAAGAGAATCTCCTCTGGTGATGGACTGCTTTTAATGAGGACTGGACTGGGCATCAGGCATTCCACTGATATTCCAGCCGAAAAACTTGGCATAAATTATGAAATGCATTTATGGGGACAACTTTTCTGAAATTTAAGCTAGTATACACAACCATTCAAATAATATTGAGTCTGCTCAAGCAGTACTTCCATATTGTCTCATTTGAATTCCGTTTTTATTCTTCCACGGGTTTAGAGTTGAAGCATTTTCTTTGTGCATAAGTTTAGTGTACAATAACAAGACAGCATTCTGAAAAACAACCAATCAGTTGGCTAATTCTGTCCTGAAACAGTCAGAGAATGGTTTCGTCAAGGAAGGGTGCTTAAAGCATATGCATGTATTTCACCCATATACCCTTCAAGTGCCAATATCCATTATGTAAACAATTTCCAAACAGGAAAAACGTCTTAAAGGAAACTTAAAGGGTTGAATTACACACTTGCACACCCAAGGCCCTAACTTGCCTGCTTTAGAATTATGACCATTGAATTCTTATGAGGGTTCTTCTTTTCAAATGATGACTGTCGCACTGTACAAAGAGCATGGCACTTGGCAGTGTAAAAGGAAGAGCAAGCAGCTTGGGACATTTAACGTGTTAACTTTGTTTCTTTATTGAGTCCCACTGCACTGCCTCCCAGCTCATATGTGGCTATTTATTATCATGTTATGTACAGCATCTTGTGGGATGCCAAGTCTCTATTCCAGTAAGCCTTTGCATTAAAGTTTTTACATGTATAATCCTTTTTAAGCCTGCATATTAAAGCTTTGAACCCTTTATAAACCTTAACATTAAAATGCTCTAAATTATACTCAAACCAAGGAAGGGCTGAGCTCTAACAAATTGTGACTAGTGCCATCTGGTGAATCACTTTTGCTCAGACTTGGTCAAAGAGAAATCTTAGCTTTTTCATAGAGCTTCTATGCTGGAGTTTCACAGATGCGGCTGCTCAGGGTTTCCTACAAACCTTGTTGGAGCAAATCCCTTCAAATATCAGTCTTAAGGCAGTACCCAAAGTTTGTGATTTTTGGAACAGTTGAAATACAGTAAGATTGTGAAATTTTTTTTTTGGAATTCCTAGCCTTCTTGGGGTAATGTCCTTTAACACTGTTGCAGAAAGCATTAAAATTGTATTTATAATTATTTGTTTTGATCTTTTCTTTATTTTAAATTGCAGGTGATTGTGGAAAAAGCTCCTAAAGCAAGGATTGGTGATTTGGATAAGAAGAAATACCTTGTTCCCTCAGATCTGACAGGTTAGTGATTATTTTAAGGATGGAACAATGGCATTGTAATGCTACAAGCAATGATTCACCAAATAATGACCCTGTTCCAGGGCTCGAAATTAAAAAATTCCTTTGGTTGCCTTTTGGTAACCAGTTGGAGAAATCTAGTTGCTAGATGCATATTTTTAGTTGCCAGTATCTACAACCAAAAGAATATTTGAGGTTGGTTGAAAGTGTTTAAATTCGTTTGATTATCCCAGGTCTGTTCGTGTGGGACACATTCACATAAGCAAGTATGTAAATACGGAAAGAAGAAAAACTAGATTTGTTTAAAAAACTTAGAAACACAAAATAATTTTGCCCAGCCCAAATTTATAAGTAAATAAGAATTTTTATCCTCTACCTTTGACTTAATAGCAAACAGGAGCCAAACACGATTACTCGGAGAATTTGCACATACGAAGGAATCAACATGGCCGATAGCCATTCATTACCAGATCTCCTCTTTTCAAGTGAAACCACTTGCCACAAAAGGCGTAGTAAAATTACGCAGCTACACGATCCATCAGATTTGGGGGTAAACTGGCTTTGTTTATGCGATTTGGCACATTTTTTTGATGACAATAATGAAGCAAGATAAAATGAAAATGTTAGTTTCAACTACTCTTTTTATTTAAATCTAAATCATAGAGAAATCTGGTCTCCAAAGTGGCGACTAAACCAGAATTTTTAGTCGCCATGGAGAAAATGTTGGTCGCATTGGCAACCATATCGGCCTCTATTTCGAGCCCTGCACTGTTCTGAAAATAAATCATTTATTTATTTGATACTCCAATAAAATGTTTTTTTGTTTTCAGTAGCAATTACAGAAAAAAACTATAAATTTACGTAAAAACTGTCCTGGTTGGTATTAAAAGAGGTAAAGTATGTCAAAGTATAAAAGGTTCTATGAACCCGTAAAAAATTTTCCCAAGTGCGACACTGAGTCTTAAAGAGCCTTAAAGTTAATCAAACTACTGTATTCACATAGCAAGTTGCTTGTTACTAATGACACCATTGGGGTCCTAAAGTAACTGAGAGAAATGAAATGAAGGTACTGCCTTAGTCCTACAAAAGGCTAGACTTTTACATAGTTTGGTTGACCATGTCAAGACGCAGTCTCATCTCCAGAAGGAGACATGAATATAGTGTTCGCAATTCAGAGTTTTGTGCTAAATACATTTGCATTCAATGTACATGTCTCAACATGTCAACAACAACCGACAGTGATATTAAGAATTATTTAAGTTTATTCTATTTTTTTTTCAGTTGGACAGTTTTACTTCCTCATCCGAAAGAGAATTCACTTGAGAGCTGAGGATGCATTGTTTTTCTTTGTTAACAATGTGATCCCACCCACAAGCGCTACGATGGGTCAGCTCTACCAGGAACATCATGAAGAGGACTTCTTTCTTTACATAGCGTATAGTGACGAGAGTGTGTATGGCACACAGTGAGAACATCTCCCCCAAAATTAATTATTATAAATAGACTTTTAAATGTTGGTCCATGAAGCTGTCCGTCAGAATTTATTAACAGCTTGAAGGTCATAAGTCCGTAATTAATATTAAATAGCCAAAGTTGAATATTGTTACATTTTGTGGTTTTATAATAGTAGGTGAATGAACTCTTGGCTGTTAGTCTTAAACAAGTATATTTCTTAAGTGAAGTGTTATTTCAAAAGTAGGTTCAAACCTTTTGCAGTTTTTTCTGATGTGTTATTAACTTGTTATTAAAATGTATGTAATCTACTGGTAGATTTTGTTTCTTTAAAAAAACTTTGGGCAGGGATCAGAATTTTGGTGTTGGTAAGGGAAACAGCAACATTCTTACCAGCATTAACAGTATTGTGAAAACAGTTGACCCAGAGAGTTTTATCTGTTATCCTTGCGGCAAACCTGAAAAATTTGATTGTCATTAAATTTAATTAATTATTAACAAATTAAAATTTTGAAGACTGTCACAATAATAATTTTATTACTGCCTTGACAGTGGAAAATATTTCACTTTTATTTAAGCTTTGATAACCAGAAAAACATACTTATAAAGGGATGCCCTTCAATCTGTACAAGTTATTGTCCTCTTCAAAGTAATTCTTGTACAGGTGTCTGCCACATAGGGAATATAGTTGTTGGAGGAACAATTCCACCTGAAAAAGTCTTAATTTTAAACTTGTGCGTTAAAAATACCCTAAGGACATATTAATTTCCTAGGAAGTTCGATCTTAACAGTTTGATGTATTTCAGATGAAATGTCTTAGCATGCCTTCAAAGGGTGTACACTGAAAATGTACACTGTGTCAAATTAATATTTTTGAAGTAATACTCCATTGAAATTTTTACTGTCAGTAAAGTTTAATTTGGTGTCTGTTTTGTTAGTATAGGTAATAGCATGATTTGTAGTGATATTTGGCATAAATACCACGAGTGATATTTCAAAATTGTTATACGTAATTTCACGAGCCGTTGGGCGAGTGAAATTTGAGACAATTTTGAAATATCACGAGTGGTATTTATGCCAAATATCACGTACAAATCCTGCTATTATTTGTTTATACTACTACCCGCAAAAGGTTTGCAATTTTCACATGTAGGTATTTCAAATTAAGCTGAAATACCACTGCTCTAAGCCAATCAAATTGCAGAAATTTCTCCTGTAGTAGTATAATTCCCAGTAACCTTCAGTTTGGTAGGGGAATGGTGTGATTTGTGCTGGCATCAGTTGAGAAAAATTTACATTTAACGTCACCTACTGGTGAACAAGAGAGAGGAGAAGTGTGACGTCACGTCACCATGGTAGCACTATTTCTGTATGACAACAAAAACCAACGACGGTGACGGAAGGAGAACGGTAAAAAAGCAATAGGTTTTTATTGACAAAACAGCAAATTTGCACGTGCATCATGCTATTTTGTTCATTTCTTTGCCGTCGTTGCACCCCTGCGACATGAAAATTCCAAATTTCACACGCTCGCTTTATGGAGTAGGTGAACACAACACAAAAGTTGTCTTTTTCTTTTTCGAAACTTAAATACAGTCCTTTCGGATTCAACCTGAGAAAATTTCGCCAACATTTGCCAAATTAAATGAAATTGAATGGGATCGATGAAGTTTGAAACAGTGCGAATTCACTTTTTAAGTGACGTTTTCGGGTTGTTGTCATCCAAAAATTTTGCTACCATGACAACGTGACGTAACCACTTCTCTCTATTTCACTCATTCCTTCTGACTTGTCCTGGTTAGTTATGTGTCCGTTGAAGGCTTTGTTTATCTTTGTGATTTTTGGGGTTGGTTCTGGTTAATTGTAGGTTCATAATAACAGTTGTACATGTAAATTAAATGTGGCTATAAAGCGACTTTGCTTTTGTGTTTCTTCAACCCTTGCTCAGCTTACTTCCTGGGCTTTGTCCCGGTATTTTTATTTTTATTCTTTTTTTTTTGACAGGGAGCGTCACGCATGGTACATAGTTTAATAAACAAGAACTGTTTTATCAAGTTTATAACACTCTTGCAACCTTACGCTTGCTTGATACATTGGAGGTTAACCACGTTAGCCTGGAGTTAATTAAACGTCTTCAAGAGAGTTTTGCGGATTGGATTGCATTTACTTGGTCGGAGATCTTTACCGTGCCTTGCGATTGATTCTGTCGCTCGGCGAAAGTTAATGCAACGAATATTATTGAAATGGCCGTTTTCGCTGGATGTTACTAATTAAACAGGGGGTAGGAAATGAAAAGGGATAGGAACAAAACCAAACTTTAACCCTTCAAATAGAGCGGTTTTCGTTTGACGTTTAGAAGATTGTTCCCGCGAGAGTCTGATCCTCCACTCCGCCGATACCCCTACCCCTGGCCCTACATGCAGTTTCCACCAGTTGTTCAATTTAATCTCTGTCCAGTGGCTAGCGCAATTGGTTTCCCTGACACTTGGCCCCTGGATAATGATTTATCCGGTGGCTTGCGCTATCCAACGTTTGAACAACCAAGGCATGTTGCTGACATCCTAAGTTGAGGAAAATCAGTTTTCACTAGCCTTTGTAGCAGGCGCGGAAATTTATGGGTGCAAGAGAGGAAGGGGCGCGCAACGGAGACACCTCTCCTCTCGCGTGTATCCCTCGCGCGACCTGTTCTTTCTTACCCCTTCATATTACCTTTACATGCAGGTTAAGTTTTCATAAATCATTTTTGCGTGTTTTTAAACCAACCACCATCCTTATAATCGTACGCTTGTTGTTTTAGTTTTGTTTTGGCCTTCCTTAAACTACGTTTTGGTGATATCGTCAGTCGCTCAGAGTAGTCGACTTCTGTTCCCGCGTCGTCATTTCAAGGTCAAAAGAAAACCGCTCTAAACGATATTATACCCATTTTCTCAATTTCCTGTCATTTGCTGGCAACGACCGTTTTCACTTTTTTAAGATAATAATTTTGTTCAAGTTTTTTTTTTCTTTTTTTTTCTTTTTTTTTTTTTTTGACGTATAGTAATAAACTATTAATAGCACTAAAAAGTGGTACTATTCGTGGTAAAATGTTTTAACACACTAACAAAACTACCTATAAGGTCGTTAAAAGGCATCGTTCTTATACGCAAGGAACGTTTTAAAACAATTCACAAGGTGAATTTATTAGTAGAAGTCGTAAAGCTACATTTCAAGTTCATTTTCCCTTTAAGCAACGAAATCCTTTATGAGTCAAATCGTGTGGAATTGTGTGCACATTTATAGTTTCACAAAGAGAATTGGAGAAATGTTTCTCTAGCCGATGCGGTCTGAGTTCTGGTTTGCCTTCTCGTGAAATCCTTCTACAGAATTCTCTGTGAAAACTTCGTCTTCATCCATGTCCTCTGTGGGCAGCTCTGCGGTAAACAACACTCTGCTGTTTTTACTCGATACATTGGTGCTTACTTCATCGGAAAATATGCTACGCAAGTCCTCCTTATCTCCGCTTGGAGAACTCGTTGAGGCTCGTGTGGTGTCTGGGAGTGCAGCGAAGGGAACAGATTTCCTGGAATCTATGGTGTCTAAGCTGTCAAAGGTGTCCTTTGATTTACCCTTTCTTGACTTGAATTGATGAAAAAATCCAGTTTGGTTACTTTTTGAAAGACGTTTTCCATCTTGTATGTTCTCCTCAAAGCCTCCTACGCGTGAGCTTTCGCTCAAAAATTGTTCGCGTTCATCAAAATTGCTTTGACCTCCGTCGACTCCTTCGTACTCCTTCGCATGAACATATTTCACTCTTTGCGAATGAGAGACATTGACACCCATGATTAACTGAACAACGAAAAAATGTAGAACATTGATAGATATTGCCAACGGGAAAAGTCAATCCTCATGCATCTCTGAATTGCGCAAATCTGCGTCACAGACACTCTCAGAAAAAGTCAGCGCGCGCTAGTAAACGACATAGTTACACCTGGGTATATATATTTATTCTTTAAAAAGCGAAAAAATCGGCAGTTTTGCCAGATGCACATGCAGTTGGTTGGGAAATGGAGAGATTTAGAGTCACGGCAAACGGCAAACGTCAGATTCAAGTTGAGAATTTCTCACAACAGAAAATAAGAAGATGAAGAAAGCACAGTTCAAAACAATTCTTATGGATAAAACGTGGGTGAAACTATACTAAATTTTTTTATTGATAAACAGTAGAAGACGACGAGTCATGGGAAAACTTGGTCACGTGGTCTCGAAGGGTTTGTGAATAAATAAGGTTTGGAGACAGATGTAATAAAAAGAAATTCAAGTATAACCGGCTCTACATCCTGGCTCATTCCTGTGACCATAACAAACAAACAATTAGGTACCTGAAGTGAAATACGGTTAACAAGGGTACTGATCAGTCTGGAGCGTCGCGAGCTGTTAATTAAGCATTAGAAAGGAAAGAGCGACGAAAATTTTCGACTAAAACTAGAAAAGCGGAAGACCCACTGCAGCTTTAATACAGCTTTCAGTCATGATAGAGGCCGATTCTTTTCTCAGATAAAAGTCTATCACTCACAGTATGCTTATAAAAGGCAAACGAGATAGAAAGCAATGTAAGCACCTCAATTACTAGCCTGTTCCAGACTCCGAGATAGTCGGATCCGCTGAATTAAGAAAGCGCGAACACGAAAATTAAACGGGAGGAAACTAGGAAGAGGAGGGTTTTACTTTCCCGCTCCGCCAACTTTTCGCGTGCCTTTTACTTTCGCGTCTTCCCCACTATCTGAGACCTGGAACAGATTACCCAATCACATCCACTGAGCCCTCTCTGTAGTAGGACAGGGTTATGCTCATCTGACACATGTAAGCAGGGACGGATATAGGGGGAGGGTGCAGGGGGTGCTCACCCCCTCTCCCCCGAGATGACCTGCGGCCTTATTTTTTTCTGATTAAAGTTTGTTTACGTCACCAGTCAGTTACGACTAGTGCAGCCCCTCCTAAGAAAAATCCTGGATCCGCCCCTGGTAAGAATACATTGAAGTTGTGTTCATTCAGTAAGGACTCGGCCCAACAATTGAACTGGTTTTTGAAACAGGCGTAACACAAGAAAACGTTGATTTCATTTAGAAAAACATTTAATTTTATCAATATGAAAAGCGCCTTTTGACCTTAAGATTTTCCTTAAGCCAATGACACACAGTTCGGCAAGTGTTGATCAACGAATGTTGCAGCTCTTGTCCAACAAAATGCTGCATATCATGCCACGTTGAGTGTTGAAATGGGCTACGAAATGAACACTGTTGAACATTTCGTTGCTCGACAAATGTTAATCGTGAGTTACTGGCTTTATATGTTTCTTGAGAACTATTTAACTTATATTAAACTAAGGCATACATTATCGGGTTGCCAGTACAAAGGAATAAAGATAATAGAATTGCTCGTTTGACGAGAAACAAACCTAATTAATTTTTTATCGGTGTTTTAAATATCATGCTATATTATATTTACCCTGCGAGCAAAGTCTCCCTCGATCTTCCCAGAAAATATCGGGAAGATCGAAGGAGACCCTACTAGCAGAGTATATTATATTATGAATTTATTTGTAAATTTCAAATTAATTAATTTTTGAGAAAATTTACGTAATAATTGAAATTTTAATATATGTGTTGACCCAACAGTCCCAAAAAAGATTCCCCTGAAATTTTACTTCGCTTTTTTTAGTATCAAATGATCTATAATGCTATCCACTGGATAAATAAATCATTATCCAATGGATAGCGCAATTGATTTCCCTAATACTCCTTAACCGTTGAAAAGTGATTTAGTTTATTCGGGGTGGGATCCAATATTTGAACAACCGGGGCCAGAAAAGTAACTATTATCATGATTTGCATAATGTAAATTCTTTTACATGTCCTTTGCCATTTTTTTCCCTTGGTCCTACGGACACTATCGTTGGTTCGCTATTGTTTAGTGTGGCGTGGGATTGTTCACTGTCTTTTCAATCTTTTGCATTACGTCAATTGGTGACCCGTCCACAACACCATGAAACTACTGTTACTATTATGGTGACTGGCCTTACATCAACTAAGTCTGATACCATTTTTAGTTCCATTTTAAATAAAGGCTTTTTCCTATCAAATCTAACGAGAATCTAAATTACTTTGAATGTAACGCCCGGGGCGGGACTCCGCATATGAAAGGGGTGGGGATGCTCGTCGGAAATGACCTGGGCGTGGCCCAAGCTTTTTTGTTCCCTCAAAGAGACCATGTTAAAACACAGACAAATGAGAAAACTTGGATTATATGAATGGAGTAAATAAAACGAATTAAAAATATACATATCAAATACATATATTTTACATTTTTTCCCGTGCAACCCTAAAGGAGACCTACACGGCTAAATATGATGGCGTTTTGCCCAGAACACCCTAACTGAGACCAAAATCCGAAATTTACACCCCTAAGCGAGACGACGAGCATCCCCACCACTTTCATATGCGGAGTCCCCCCCCGGATGTAACGTTCACAGTTAAACCTTTCTGTTTTCAACTTAGCTAGTTTCTCCCTTGTGCCTTCTTAGATAGCAAAGGTAATTTGTGCTACCTACAATACTAACAATAATCTTCGACTTGCGTTTTCTCTTTAATGATAAGACAAGGACTTTTCTTTCTACTAACTGATATATTTCAATGATTTGACTTAACAACCTTCACTACAGGCTGGTAAAAATGTCCCGCTAAGGGATTTTACTCCAAAACTGTTCACTCCTGTGTGTTACGTTTTTAAGAGAGAGAAAGAATAGAGTAAAATGAATCAAACTGTCGAAAGGAAAGAAATAAAACCGCTAATTTGAGGAACAAAAAGTTTTTCCCTTCGTTACTAATACTAACGAGTACAAATTGATACTGTTACATTAGCTAGCTTTACACTAGAGACTTTTACGGATTCAAGACGATTCTGGGGCATTTTGTTGGTAACGGATTCCTTTTGCCGTTTTGCCGTTTACTGAAGCGGATGCGTAAATCAGAAACAGAAATGTTCCAGTTTAGTCGCGTGCCAGGAATCTGGCGTCCAAAATTGAATACTTTGTACCCGAGTCGCGGACTGAATGCTCTCTGATTAACTGATATGTGTTAACGCGGCCTGCGAAACCGAACATCTTAGATGTAACAAGTCCGAAACATTTCCGAATACAGCAAAAATTTCCTCTAGTATAAATAGACAGTTGACTGTATTTGATCCAAAAAAGTACTTTGTTTAGAAAAACCAAAGCCGGGGACAGCTTTATACGCAAACATCTAACTTCATCAGGGGCACCCAACGTCAACTTTTGGAAAATATCTGTTCGGAAGACGATTTGAGATCTAGAATTTTCGGAACATTTGTTGTAAAATTTCTTGCTTGCCTGCCTCTCCTAGGATTTTCGAACATCCAGAAAATGGTATAATTGCCCATTTTAAACAAATTTTTGCCCTAAAAAGGTCACCTAGAATTTTCGGGAGCCTTTTTTCTGGCTGAAATTTTCGAAATGGTCAGTTTTGATTCCTATAATTTCGGATCACTAGACTTTCAGCTAGGAAATCCAAACAGATGAAGAATTTTTAGGTGATAAAAATATGGCTATATCTACCGTTTAAATACTAAAATACGTTCAACGATGCTATGTTCAAGTGCTTTTGAACTATATTCTCGTTGGGTGCCCCTTCTTCATATGCACCGAAACTTGCACCAGAGCGAATAACATGCATTTTTCCTTAATCAGCAGCAAGTTAGATTCCGCCTATGTTAGTGCAAAGTCTAAAACACGAGGAAATTAACTTAATGTGCAAACGGACCCTACGAGTGAGAACTTTTTTCATGTAAGAATTTTTTTAGTTTAAGTGAACATTTCACTTAGGCTGTCATCACCCTGCTACGCCGTAGCTTGAAAACCAAGGACTTTTCCCACTTTATCATTTACTTCACCCGTTTCAGTAGAAGCATCAATTACTTCCTTCATAGCATCCATATCTTTCTGGTAATGCAATGAATTCGTGGAATGCCTCAGGACATCGTACTCCAAAAGGGCAACAATCTCACGCAGGGCTGGCTGAGTAACATCACTGTATTGAGGATGGAGTAGTAGATTCTGAAAAACGGATGGAAGGAGCTTATTGTACTCTTGCATACGCACAGAATCCCCAATCGCACTGTTTGGTACCTTGAGAAGATAACTGTCGTACGCTCCTGCAACCTCCTTCATCTTCTTGTAAAGCACATTATGCCCAGGGTCAGCTGTGCTGTCGTGACGGCGTTTAGAAGGTAATTCCCAGGGTCCACCCTGATAATTACCTCCTGTTACAGCACGAGGACTGGGAGACAAATATATTGAATCTGTTGATGTTGATGTTGATGAGCTTCCGGTAAGACCTGCCAAAGACTGAAGGGCGTGACATCCACGCGCAGTGCTTATCACAATTAAGTAACAATAACAGCGCGAAAATGCGGTGTACAAGAGCTCCCTTGTTTTCATTTCAGCTTCATCAAAGGGAGGATCGTAGAGAATCACGACTTTAGATTGCAAGCCTTTAAACCTTCTTATACTGTCAACAACTACTTTGTTGTTTTCTGGATTTGTCCAGAGCTCTTCGGCATTCTGAATCTCAACACCAAGATTCAAGTCCAGCGTTTGTTTATTTGCATCTCGGAAAAGAATGCAAATGTCCCTACTTTGCACGCCATTTTTCGTCAAATATTCCAAGTGTTTCACAATTGCTTGTTCGCCACTGGCAGCTCCACTTTTTAAAGAATCATCCCAGTTAATATTCAACCCATCTTCTCCGTGGTAGACTCCCACTGGTTTCAAAGGTTGAACAGTTGGTTCGAAATACTTCACAAACTGGGAAAAGATTTTCTTGGTGTTTCTGACTACTTGGTGAAGTCTGGTGCTATCTCGAAGGTTCTTCCGGAAATGTGGGGAAAGCTTTTCTTTTGACAAATGGAGGTGCTGATTTGAATCATAACACACCCAAAAGTAACTGGGTTCTAAGTCGTCAACTTCATTAGCAGGGTCCTCGGAAGACCTGTGAAGTATATTCAGCAGGTCTGGCCACTTGTCACTGTACAAATCTTGCCCCTCGTCAACGAAAATGTGTTCGTAGCTGAACAAGGATCTTTCAGAGGACGTACGCTGCTGAAGACTGTCTAGTGCTCTTATGACATTTTCCTCACCATCTTTTACATTAAATGATGATCCAATAATGTCGCTAAGAAGTTTGTCAAATGTTTTGACGTCAACAACTGAACTAACCTCCTCTCCTTGTAGCAGGTCTGCCAAAGCTACTTCAAAGGATTTTCTGAGCATCACAGACAGGGGTCTGTTGTAACATACAGCAAGAATTTTTTCATTCAAAGAGTGGAGAAGAATTTTCTCGGCTAACTGAATAACCTTTTCCACAATGAGACAGGTCTTTCCACTTCCTGCTGGGCCAACAATCCACTTCTGTGCTGACGAGGTATCCACCAGTACTTGCAACTGCTCCCTGGTGATGTAGTGGAGAAATTCATGGATACCATCAAGGCTTGATTGACATGGAAAACCGCGGGTGATTCTGACTAAGCCAGCAAAACTGAGAAAATGTAGACATAGAAGAAAGAACAAAATGCTTTATCAAACATGTGAATGTATGCAATAATGTATGTTATTGACCGAAAGTGAAGTCAAGATGGATGGATAATGGCAAAGTTTTTTCATGTGTTTTTGCGCTTGCATGTGGACCGTATATAGCAGTTAGCATATGGCAGTTAGTAGGCTTGGGTGTGACAAAAGTTTTCAAGCATGGACAGAAGACAACTAAATAGGGTCCTGAAGAAGTAACAGAAAAGAGGGTTCATGGTTTTTAAGCTGATTCAGCCCAATCAAAATCTTTTGCAGTAGTAGGCAGGGAGCAACGCTTGGGTGGTTTTTGTGTGACATCATTAAAATGTTGCCTTGGCTAATTTGGCAAAAAATATTCCACTGGAAGCAATAAAATTGCACCCTGCAAAACATGGGAGTGAGGGGAGGGAATTGAAAACCTTTACTTAAACCAGCATGGGAGGCTTCTACAAAATGTAACGGAAAAAAATTAACCTCACTTCACCACCATCTGGATAAATATTATGAACCCTTCCTAAACAGCAGTTGCATTAATAATCACAGAATAACTTAAACAAAATTGGGATTAAGCAATCACAAACTCCCCATAGACATGGGCCGATTCTTAAGACCTTCTAAAAAACCTCAAGAAAGAATTATTATGTTCAATTTGTAAACTAGTGATGGAGGACGAATATCAGTTTTCAACTGTATGCCCTGCTTATGAGGAAAAAGGAAACGTTCTACTGAGTAAAAAAAATGAGCATCTAATAACAGTGGATGGTCACAAAACTAAATATTCATGTTTCTAATAAATCCCCCTAGCGAAAAGCCTGAAACCCAAAAATTCATGAATAACGAGGCATGTGTTTGAGTGCTTCAAGATAAGAGACGAGAAAGAAGACAAAAAGTAGATTAAAATATGTCTGTGTGTAAGTAATTGTCTATGGTGTAATAAATAGCTAACACATATTGTAATTTTATATTATTTGGAAAACATTTGATGTACCAGCTGGTATAAGACCCCAAATAAAATATTGTCTATTGTCATAATCAATACTCTCAAAAAATATTGCTTACTGTTTCACAAGCAAGTTGAACAAATCTTGACTCAGGTGTTCACTGCTTGGAATATTGTTGTCCCACCACTGTGCAAAGGCTTCAACACTGGACATATCCTCCTTGAATATGCCATCAGCATAGGAACTTGCCTCAGAGCTAGGGCGCGGACAGTTAGGCATTGCAATGAAACCTGGATATCTTGAAAAGACTCTATGACCATCTTTTTTAGGGAATTTAGCTGTGACCAAGAAAAGTTTCATTGCATCCGTGTCCTTTTCTATTTGCCGCTGTGCCTCCCTAAATGTCTTAGCAGTTTTATCTGCAGCCTTGACTTGTATGAACACAAACCCATGTTGACGGTGGATGATAACAAAATCATGTTCACCCAGTTTCCATTTTCTTGATGTGTTACTCAGCTTGAACTTATCATTTAGCTGTAAAATCCGTTCTTTAAATTTATATGAATGCACAACAAACATTGGCTCATTTCGCTCCTCTCCAAAGGCCTTCAACAAGTTAAACACTTGTACTTCAGCTTTTTCCCCTTTAGAGCCTGCTCTTTGGAGATTTTCAGGTATCATGTATGTTGTTTGTGGATTTTCCCAGTCTTGATATTCATGATCCAAACAATTCTTGATCTCTTCATCCCAATCTCTTTTTCCATCATCACTCAGATCCTTTTGTCCTCTGCCTCTGACCACAGCTCCTATCATTGAGTCTTACCTACGGAAGAAAAAGACTGATCCATTACATTCAATCCACACATCCTGTTGAAGCCATTTTGCATGCAACTAGAAGCTTTCTCTTAGAGCACTTTCATTAAAACTTTTGAAAAACTTTACTGGCCAACCATTAGTTGTCTACAGTAGAAATAAAGTTGTTGTCTTTGGTTGTTATTAAATCAGTGTCACCGAACATGGCATTTAGCATCATGGAATTTAGCGTTTGAAACTTACAGTATAATCATACAACAATGTATGTAATTATACATGTAGGTGATGTAGCCTTGTTTTGTAGACTTTATGTGCATGTAAAACACTACACATGAGTAGAGCTTTGTGGATGGATGGATGGACGGACGGACGGACGGACGGACGGATGGACAGATGGACGGACAGATGGATGGATGGATGGGTGGGTGGATGGGTAAGTGGGTGTATGGATGGATGAAGAGCTTTATTAATGTGTTGAAAGATCTAGCATAAGGATACTTAGAACTAACGATAAATGGGGACACGTAATCATTTCTACTACGGTACATAAAACTGTTTATATCTTATAAGATAAAATATAATAGAAAAGCTGCATAAATTACAATAAAATGCCTAACAGTATAATTATAATTACAAGTCTTAAAGGCTGTGTATAAAAGTATAAAATTAAGGGTATAAAATACTGATTTTAAAAAGGTGGAAAGTGGTTATGCAATAACAAAGGTGATAAGCAGTTTTCACAAAGTCTAACAGACTAACAAAGTATAAACAGTCTAGTTTTCACAAAGGTAACAATTGTCACAGTCCTAACCGATGAAGTTACTAATGTTTGCATGCTTAATCCTTTTTTTAAAGATAGACAGTGTTTTGAATGATCTAATGTAGCTGTCTAATATTTTGCCCAGATTTAAGGGTCAAGAAAGTACAGGCTATGTTTGCCATATGTTACTGAATTAACTCAATCAAGATATAATAGAATCAGAGTTTCTAAAGGTGGTAACCACTATTATTCAGTTTGAAAAGATCTGCTATGTACAAGGTTATAAGTTATTAATGAGTTCCTTTTGGTGCATAAATATTATTGTTAACAAGGTCCTTTGATCCCTGTGAACGAGTGCTAACAATAGGCCAATTTACAGTTGTATTCTGAACAACCTAGCCTTTGAGTGGAAGCGAGGCTAGTGATAACCATGGAACCCTCAGTGCCACTTAAACGCACAAGAACATGATTTACATTTGAAAAGTGGGGAGGTTTCTATTGAAACAAGGTCAACTCCAGCTTCGCTTCAACTCCAAACCAGAAAACTCAGGTACGTTTACAGTACTGTGCTAAAATAGCCTTTTACATGTAATCAAAGTGGCACTATTATTAATTCTTGGATGTGGAGGTGGGCACTGTTGCCACATTTCGAAATTGGCCAGGTGGAGATGGCTTAATAATTGTTTCAAATGATTTAAAATGTAATAGTGACAGCAATATAATGGGATGATGTTATTACTGCTGCAAACAAGGCCATGTTCTTTGTCTTCTGAAAAGGTGATAGGTAGCCTCCAATGGAGATGCTCTTTAGGTTCTTCACATGTGCCTCAACCCAAAGCGGGGATGGGAACGAGTTGGAAAGAATGTTTGCACAGGAGGCTAGGTAATTGCAGGAAAATCTGAATTTAGTAGCTGTATTGCCTCATTCAAAAACAATCCTCTCAATAACTTCTTGGTCATGGAGTGGGGACTCCAATATGAAAGGGATGTAGTTTGAAAATTTTTAATTAAACCCTAGAAGGAGGCCAAACTGGGCATGGTTTAAGCTTTTCTTAACCCTTAAAAGAAACCATTTCTAAACTGACTCATCCCCACTCATCTCGCCATAACACGCACAGCAGGAGCAGAAGGTGATGGGAGGGGAGAAGAGAGAAAGAGTGTCTCTCCCTTGCTTTCCATCTTTCCAGTACAACCAGTGTGCCACTGGGGAGTGGGAGTGTGACAATATTGCATTGTGTTAGCGTCAATCAGATTTTAGCATTTACACGTGCACGCTCAGGCTAGCTTTTGTCACAGTTTACTGTCATGGCCACTCATGAGTCCACTATTTTTCTATTAAAATAAGTACGTGAGCAAATTCATTATAGGGAGAGGTTGCGAGAGATGACCGGGGTGAGTTAGATTTCTAAACATTTTTAAAAAGATGATGTATTTTCTATTTAATTGGAGGTACATTGCAATTCTAAATGAAACCTTCTAATTGGCTAAAAACACTCTGGCTTTTTCAGTCAGAGACACCCTAAGTGAAGCCAAAATCAGCAACAACAACAACCTGCAATCTACAACAGCTTAGTGTTAGTGTTTTTCGAAACGAGTGTGGTTTTGCATTCCCTTGCTTAGTGGTCAAGCGGTCCATGAGCTTAGCAGTCTAGCTGTCCACGAGCTTAGCGGGTCAAGCGGTTCACGAGCTTAGTAGTTAAGTGGCCCACAAGCTTAGTGGGCATTCAGTGGTCAATTCCATTTAAGTGCAAGCTCACATGGTATGTTGTAGCTGTGTACACAGCTAGGATCTTTGAGTTCTTTGTTGAGCATTTGTGTAGTGGTCTGTGAAGCACTTGTTTTAACATTGAGGCAGTTGGTTAACTGTGTGATCATTTCATCTGGTTTTGTCGGTTTACCTAGTTTTCCTCAGGGCAAGTATTGTTGGTTTCTAGTGGTGTTAGGGGGAATTTAAACAAGTTGTCCACCATGAGCTTAGCAGTCTCTGCCGGTCAACGGTCAAACTAACAACTCACATGGAACGTTGTTACTTTGTCACAGCCAGAAGTATCATATTGAGCGATTTTTGTGGTGGTTGTGTTAGCATGAAGCAGTTAGTAGCAGTTGTTTTAGCTTCCCTCCCCTTGCCCGAGGCAACTAAAAATTTCACTCAGGCAACCAGGGAACCATATTCCCAGCCGTCTGGTTGTCCCAGACGACTACAATCTATTACGGACTATTAAGATAACTTCAAAAGTCACCCTTCGGAAGAGAGAGGTTTTGCTCAACCTCAAAATATTTTCAAAAATTCTTATACAATTTTATATATTTCCCTGTGTTCTGATTACTTCTAATCCACTTAAAACTTTATTAGAATAATGGAGAATAACAAGCAGCTTTTGTCTTAAGTCTGGGCACCAAATTGCAGGCTCATTTTTTTTTGCGAAGTACTGCATTCAGAGGCCGTAGTAGAAGACATGACAGCACTCATCAAGATGTGGCATTTAGTCACCTTCGGTGGTAAAAAAAGGTGAAGCAGAAGCCAGTGCCGTATACGCATCAAGATGTAACATTTTTAAGAAGACATGTGGCTGCCTTTGACAGAAGTAGGTGATGCAGGATCCGCTGCATCACACGGGGGGAAACATAAGCACACCGTCTTGCCTTCAAGGCAAACTGACCGACCGTGGCTAGTTATAAAACATAAATAAACTGTGTATAGCCTAGGCCTATAGCCTGTTTTACTTTACAGTTTAGTTAAAACTCTTTCTTAGTAAGTATAACGGAAATAAAATGCTAATCAGAAATGTTCAAGTTAAACACAATTGTTTTCACCGTAATTGCCCAAGCCACGCAAATTGTAACTGGGCAAGTATGCCATCAGGCTTACTTACGTACCTGGCTGACAACTCTGAGAAAAAATGAATATGGATCCCTGCGGGCAACTAAGTTTAGGATCCTAGTTGCCTGATCAAGCAACTGAAATTTCTGTGAAACTTGTAGGTTAACATGAATAATCCATTAAAGGTACCTTGTAGGGAGAAAAACTCAAAGCCAAACAGCCTTCCTTGAATAGTATATTGTTTCAATTGGTGAGAGTAAATTCATCTTTTATTCTCAGAGGAATATCAGCAGAGTGAACTTGGTTTCCAAAAAAAAATTTAAAAAAGCTACTTTCTGCAACAATTTTTTGCAACCTGTAACAACCACATTTGTTGCAAGACAGGTTTGATTGTGAAAGGTTTGATTCATGGATGGAAAAAAGCCAAACATTGGCTTTCACTCACCAATGTTGCAAAACAAGTTGCACTTTTTTAGCTGTTGCCCGTTTTAAGGCAGCTTTAATTTCTCAAGCAACAGGATTAGCCAATTTTACAATACATTCAGCATTTTCTACATATATAAAATATTAAAAAAGTCTTTTCATAGATGTTCTGAGGAAAAAGAAAAAAATAGGTGCTGTACATTGCTTAAATAAGCACTTTGCTGTGTGAGTTTCTCATTCTTTTTTCTTCCCCATGGTAGCTTGAGCTAAAAAAGTTGTCTAGAAAAATAGTCTAGGGAAACTGTTGCATTTCTCTCCTAGGTCAGTTTGTGTTAGCACCTTCCAAATGTTGCATTTTGTGCATTGTTAAGATTTAAATTCTGTTTAATCTTTTATTCTATCATATATTTGGTGATATTCACTGAGAAACACACAAGAAATGTGATTAAATATAGTACTGAAGTCCAACCCATACCATGAACGGCTTATTTGTTCAAGCCTGAAACCAGTCAGTTTGTATTTTGTGTCTAGACATGGCTAGATATGTCATTACAGGAAATGATTATACATGTACAAAAGCATTTAAAAATAACTTTGAACTTAAATATAATGGGAAGTTTATAAAGAGGTACCTATTTTGCAGATATAGCTGCATTTAGTTTGTTTGTACCGAATGTTTTGAGCAACTAATATTCTTCCTCAGGCAACTATATTGTGAGGCTTTGTTGCCTGAAGAGCAACCAACTTAAAAAGTTAATGTCGACCCCTGTGAACCTGACTGAACAACTTTTATCAGGGAGGGGTGGTGGGGGGGGTCACTGTGGTGCCAAAGTTAATTCCTGTGACACCTGTGGGTAAGAAGTGCTAAATTCTTAACACTTTTTGTCCAAGATTGTCAGTTACTCTAATATATTTAGGAAAAGCAGGAGAAAAAATAATGTTTTCTAAAATCAGAGGAGCTTGGTGCATGTTAGCCTCCCCTACAGATCTTCTTAGAGGTTCGTCACACGTTCCTGCCCCACTAGACCAATCACAGCAGACTTCCAGATCTGGAAAGTGCACTCTGGACCTTGAGGAATTTCGCGCTTGACTTAGCTCCAGAAAAAATCAGAAAGGTCTCATGAAAGGTGAAGACATTACAGTTTTCAAACAAACTACTAAGTTAACCCACAAGCATTCGTACTAGAGGCTACAAGGTTAAATTTGTTGAACGGGAGTCGGCTTTACCACAAAACAATAGTGTGAGAAAAATTCTGCCCTTTGTTCACTTACAAAGTAACCCCACCATTGCATCACCCAGAGAACAACTTTATGAGCAAATGACATCTAATCAAGCCTTTACAGAGAGAAATATACAAAAAGCCAAGGCTTATCCCCTAGATTTTCGTCCAGAGCAAAAATCTTTGGTCACGTATCACACTCTACCGAGCTTGTAAATGTACGTATGTGTTTGGCTTGTCAACACTTGGACTTCAACAGCGCCGATTGGATCTCCAATAATCTGCATGCGATCTCCAGCTGATATTTGCGAACAATGGGAAAGGGATTTATCTTTCAGTTCAGCAGACATTCGTGGGGCAGGAACGCGTGATGAACTCCTAAGAATATCTGCGTGGGAGGCTAGGTACGTGTAAGTCGTTACTGTTTTTTGTTTATGTTTTTTCCTTAGAGAATTTGAATGCACAAAACATTTTTAATTACCTTGCTTTTATAATTTATGAAACAAGCTCAACGTTTTCTTCTAAGAAATTCTGGAAGGTTCTTTGTCGTTACAGGCAAGCACATTAGTTTGTGAGTGGACTTCGGTGATTGGCTAATTATTGTTCTTTCGGTTACAACTCAGTGAGTGATTCATTTGCATACCCTGAACATGTGGATGCTATTTAGTAGCATATCCACGAGTAAAAATTAAAAGCAGGAGCGTAGCGTCCATAAATGCACATAAGCCCGTGCGTACAGCTGAAATCTGGAAAGTATATATATCTTATTTATTTATTTATTTATTCCCTGAAAGCGTTTTTATCACTAAATTGGGATGATTGATAAATCTTTCGCATTATCACCTAATTATATTGTTGTCTTTACCCGTCTGAAGCGTAAGGCCCTTAGAAAAGTACAGCTCATGTTCATTCATTGCTTGCATTTTCCAACTTTAGATCCAAGGTTCAGTTGCGAAATTTTCATGTGTATTACACAGTTAATTTCCGTTGACATAAGCGGAAGACAACCCTAAATTTTGGGCAACACAAGCGCTTCATAAGCTTAAGCTTATATTAACCCTTGCTTCGAACGACATACAAAAAGCTTTTAACCTCGGGCGACTTGACTGGTTATCAGCCGTAAAATTTGTCTAATTGCTATAAATATTTACTTTAGAAGACTACTCGAGCTTACCTCGCAAATAGAACGATCCCGAAAACAACCAAGCGAAACGAAATACACGCGCAGGATCGATGAAGAAGGGCGCGAAACTGATTTTTCCGGAAATATTAAGCGCGGTAACTAAGCGGACAACTCTGCCAAAACGCGAGAGGACTGAGCACCACAAAAATTCAGACAACACGTTCAAAGGCTTGTTCTTTCACCTTGTGAAAATGGACAAGGAAAAGATAGATATAAGCGTGATTCAGCGTTTTAGATCGGGTGTTTCTGTCGATAAGAAAAGTAAGAAAAAGGTTCTTGCAATATTCAAGTATTTAACGGGAAAGAGAGCCCTATAGAAGCTGAGGAGCTCACAGTTCGTCGCGACCAAAACCTCCGAGAAGCACAGCTGAAAGTCATGTACGAGATGGTCAAACTCGTAGAAGATCCGCCGACGTTGGTAAGAAACGACTGCTTTTTCCTCCCTAAGTTTTACTATTTCCCCTTCTTTTTGAAACTGTTCTTCTTTCTTATACCAAAATCGGTCCCGGTCGATTAGGATGAGTGCAAAACTGGCTTTATTGAATACTGAGCGCGATCGGACGTTGTCGATTTCGAGTTTCAGTCTGTTGATATTAAAAATTCACATCAGATTGGAATGCGAAACATATCAGAATGTTAGCGATATCAAATTCTTTTGACGAGAGTTGTTTAACTGACGAAGGTTGAGGGAGATCGGAGAAATATGTGATCATGAAAAAATTTAAAATATTGGTCGGGAAGTCGATCGCTTATTTGAAAATCGTCTGAGTTAGGGATAGTTTCTTTTTTGTTACCTTTATTTGTGGTTCTGTACAACTGAAAAAATGTGGATGAAATGAACAGATTATGAGAAGCTAAACCTTTACAGCATTTCATTTAAATATCGCAAAACATTGAAGAAAAAATTCAATACATGTATTTGTAGAATAAGCTTATTGTTGATGCATTGCTCTGGTGTGATTGATTTCCGTTTTCTTTGTCACATCTGTTCTATTTTTCCTTTATTTTTATCAGCTTAATTCATATACAGCTACTACTAGCACAAACAAAAGACGTTACAGTAAGAAGCCCAAAAACAAAAATCCAAAGCCCAAAACAAGCAATGTTCACAACCGTTCGTTATAATTATTGTAGGCAGTGCACTTTATGTTTACTTCAGTAGTATAAATGGAACACAGTCAACATACAATTGCCGGGATTAATCATCCAGGTGCCATACAGATCAAATTGTAGGACCATTCTTGACTTTTTCATCAGTTCTTTAAAAAACTGGCCATTATCGAGAGGTTACTTTTGCAAGGACTGTCTGCCGGAACAAAAAGAGTGTCCATAGTAGAGAGGTGGCCATTGTGTAGAGGTTGCCTTTATTGGAGGCTTGACTGTATTACATTTATTTTTAAATCTTTCACAGTACAGTTGACTCGCGATAACTTGAACCCTCGCTAACTTGAACCAAAATCGATTTCCCCTGGATTTCTGTCATACATTTACTACAATTTTACCCTTGGTAACGCGAACCCTCAAAAACTCAAACCTCCCGCTAACTCGAAGTAGTTTTTGTTTCCTCTTAGATCATATGTACACAATGTATATAATTTTACCCTTGTTAACTCAAACCATGTTTTGAGCCCTTAAAAGTTGGGAAGAAACAGTCTACTGGTGCCCCAAACATTGAATTTTGAATTTTCCATTGACATGTTGTAGGCATATAGTTTACTATTGAACGCTGATGTTGATTGTCACAAGTCTAACATGAAACAGCTTTACTTCTCGAAACAGTAAAATGCATGCTCTATTTAGGCAATGTTTTGTTACATGTATGTTACGTTCTGATTTATAATCTAGAAGTATCTTTTAATTATCACTTAACATTTTTGCAATTAAATGTGATTAAAATGTTCACTATGCATTAAAAACTGTTTTTTTTTTCCTAGTACTTTCGGGTATTTTCTTTGAGGTCCCGATTACTCAAACTCCAGATGACTTGAACCTTTTTCAATTTCCCTTGAAGGTTCGAGTTATTGGGAGTCGACTTAATATTTCCTGACTAATGGTTGAACTTGTAATTGGTCTTCTTTTTATAATAACAACTGAAGTCACTCTTGATACCATTTTCCTTATTACATGTACTTTTAATTTAATTTGTTATTTTTCCTTACACAGAAAACTGGAAGTGTTGAGAAGCAGAACATGTTCAGTGTCTTTTTAAGTACTGAACTTCTGAATTTTGTGGTCAGGCTTTTGTGGATTCGTATTCCCAATGAGACCTTAGGAACCAATGATCAACCATGGCATGCCAGTCATGGAAAGCAACACGGTGGAAGCTCTTAGACTGGACTTCTGTAATGCCGATTTTGATCTCTTCGGACTCTATCCAGCAGTTTGTGCTTTAAAAACTTTAACCGGTCTGGAACATGAAACCAGTGACAGAATCGTCTTCTTAAATGAAATATCAAAAATTGGAAAGATTGTGTTAAAAGATAATTGCCCAAAAAGGATTGTCAAGGCTTATAAAAGTGGAATAACAAGCAGTAGACCTTATTATAAAAATTAAAAGAGTTTTGGAGGAGCATAGAGATCAGTGCTTGCATAATTTCAAACGGGCTGAACTTACCATCCACAGCTGATCTAGCTGCCACTGGGCATTTTATGTTCTTGGAGTTACAAAATACAGATGAATGCAGCTGTTGTCCTTTTAATGGTAAGCTTAAAGAAATTTCAGTGTGTTTTTTTAGCATTTAGAGAAGATTATTCTCTGTTTTCACTTACATAACTCCATCAAAAGTAAAATGCAAACCATTTAATACAGAAAGTCCAGAATTTTCTGGGAAATGAAAGAAGATGAATATACAAAAAGTATCTCCAAGAATCAGGTCTCTAGGATATGTCATATGCAAGATATTTGGGAAAAGATTTTTGCCAAATTTACAAGGCTTTGTATGGAGATGCCATGTTGGTGTTCCTTTCAGGGGCACAAATATGGCCGCCAGAAACCAACAGAAACATCGAACTTTGAGTTTTTCTGCAAAAAAGAGTTTAAGTATGAAAGGTTCTGTGAAACTATAAAATTCTCCCAAGTGTGGCACTTAGTCTTAAGAGCAGCCTTAAAATTAATCAAACTTTTCAAATAGCTAGCTGCTGGTTACTAATGACACTGCTAGGGTCACAAAACAACTGAGAATGAAGGTGCTGCGTTTGCCCTACAAAAGGTTACTAACGTTTGCATGGTTTGGTTGACCATGTTAAAAGGCAGTCCCATCTCCAGTAGGAGACATAGAGATAGTGTTCTCAATTACAAGTTTTGAGCTAAATACATTTGCATTCAATGTTCATGTCTTAACATTTTAGCGACAACGGACAGTAATATCTAGATTTATTATTATTATTGTGTTTTTTCAGTTGGACAGTTTTACTTCCTCAACGAAAGAGAATTCACTTGAGACCTGAGGATGCATTGTTCTTCTTTGTTAACAATGTAATCCCACCTACAAGCGCTACGATGGGTCAGCTCTACCAGGAACATCATGAAGAGGACTTCTTTCTTTACATAGCGTATAGTGACGAGAGTGTGTATGGCACACAGTGAGAACACCCCCTCAAAATTAATTATTATAAATAGACTTTTAAATGTTGATCCATGAAGCTGTCCGTCAGAATTTATTAACAGCTTGAAGGTCATAAGTCCGTAATTGATATTAAATAGCCAAAGTTGAATATTGTTACATTTTGTGGTTTTATAATAGTAGGTGAATGAACAAAGTGTTATTTCAAAAGTAGGTTCAAACCTTTTGCAGTTTTTTCTGATGTGTTATTAACTTGTTATTAAAATGTGTGTAATCTACTGGTAGATTTTGTTTCTTTCAAAAAAACTTTGTGCAGGGATCAGAATTTTGGTGTTGGTAAGGGAAACAGCAACATTCTTACCAGCATTAAAAGTATTGTGAAAACAGTTGACCCAGAGAGTTTTATCTGTTATCCTTGTGGCAAACCTGAAAAATTTGATTGCCATTAAATTTAATTAATTATTAACAAATTAAAATTTTGAAGACTGTCGCAATAATAATTTTATTACTGCCTTGACAGTGGAAAATAATTCACTTTTATTTAAGCTTTGATAACCAGAAAAACATACTTATAAAGGGATGCCCTTCAATCTGTACAAGTTATTGTCCTCTTCAAAGTAATTCTTGTACAGGTGTCTGCCACATAGGGAATATAGCTGTTGGAGGAACAATTCCACCTGAAAAAGTCTTAATTTTAAAATTGTGCGTTAAAAATACCCTAAGGACATATTAATTTCCTAGGAAGTTCGATCTTAACAGTTTGATGTATTTCAGATGAAATGTCTTAGCATGCCTTCAAAGGGTGTACACTGAAAATGTACACTGTGTCAAATTAATATTTTTGAAGTAATACTCCATTGAAATTTTTACTGTCAGTAAAGTTTAATTTGGTGTCTGTTTTGTTGTTCCCAGTAACCTTCAGTTTGGTAGGGGAATGGTGTGATTTGTGCTGGCACCAGTTAAGAAAAATTTACACGTAACGTGACCCACTGGTAAACAATTTCATTCATTCCTTCTGACTTGTCCTTCTGACTTGTGCTTGCTTGATATCTGCGAGCTAGTGCACGTTAGCCTCGAGTTTATTTCACGGCTTCCAAACGGTTTTGCGTATTGAATTACGCTTCAGTCAACTTTTTCTGAGACGGACATCTTGGGGACCTGCAGTATGTATCCGTCTTAGGCCTGTTTACATGGAGGTGGGGGACCCCAGGTAGGTGAGGTAACCCACTTAGGTGGAGTAACCCGCCTGTTCATACAATCTCTCAGTTTAATTTGATCACGTTTACATGTTAGGTGGGGTATCCCGCCACATGTTACCTCACCTACCTGGGGTCCCCCACCTTCATGTAAACAGGCCCTTAGAGAGGTGTCCGTCTTATAGAGAGTCAAATAAAGGGAGTAAAGAAAGGCAGGGACCAACTTACAGAGGTGTCTGTCTTATAGAGGTGTCCGTTAAGAGAGAGTAGACTGTACTTGATCACAGATCTTTGTGCCTACCTTGCAATAGGCCTGTTGTGGTTTAATTTTATCCTTGGTTTAAATTTTATTTTCTTTTGTTTCAAACTCATTATCATACATTACCATACCCAAAAACAAAAGAAAAGAAAATTTAAACCAAGGATAAAATTGAACCACAACAGGCCCTTTGCAGCTAGCCATTCACGTGGTACAAAACCGCCTTGCTGGAGAGCAAACGTCGCACTGGGACAAGACAAACAAAGAAAATTACCATTTCAAATTGTGTATGTCTTTTGTTTGTCTTGTCCCAGTACGACTTTTGCTCTCCAGCGTGGCGGTTTTGTCCCACGTGAATGGCTTGAATGAACCGCTTGCTGCAAAGGGCCTATTGATTCTCTGACTCGGCGAAAGTTAATGCAACGAAAATTATCTAAAAAGTCGTTTTCACTGGATGTTACTAATTAAACAGGGAATAGGAAATTGAAACGGGATGGGAACAAAACCTAATTTTAACCCAAGAAATAATAGAGGTCGTAGAGCGATTTTCGTTGGACCTTGGGTTGTTACCGGGACTTTTCGATTCTCCACTCCAGCGGTACCCCTGGCCCTTTGTTTGACCAGTCGTTCAAATGGAGGATCAGTATCCACTAGATCTCTCTGTTTAAGAAACTACGTAGCTATAGGTAGCAGTTCTACTTTTTGCAACAAAATCTGTATATGTTTGTGCGTTTACCGACCAAAGGCAAACCTGTTTTGCATTGTAATTTCATTCAATCAAAGGTCAGTATTAACGCAACCTGCAGCAACCTGATTTCTAGATTGGCTCAGTTATTCGCTTCTCGTTTCCGGTTCCGGTGAAAGGACATCACCGAAAACAAAAAAATTCTTAGCTCGCGCTTTGCGCTCGAGAAAAAAAATTTGAGCTCGACTTTGGACAAGACTACCTGATTTCTTGCAAGAAAGGTCTGAGCGTAGGTTATAAAAACGCACAACATCGCTTATTGAACTAAATTTGCAACCACGTTTCGAAACACCAAGTTGCAAGTTTTCCCGTAGCTTTGCTTGCTAGCGCCTCCGACGTACAATCCTGGCCAAAGGGGTTTGGGATACTTCTCTTACCCCCTCCTCTTTTGGTAGGAAATTGGTGAGTGACCGTCAATTTACAGTTATCAATACGGCTATGGCTCGGTTTCCCCCCCCCCCGCCCCTGAACAAAGTTGAAGTTCATACACTTTAAGACTTCTCAAACGTTTTTGGCCAGTAACACCCAACACTGTCTGGGGGGGCTGGGGGAGGGGGGTGACTGGAGAATGCACAGATCGTGTGTAAATGACTAAGTGTCCCAAACGTTTTGTCCAGGATTGTAGGTTAAGTTTACAGCAACCTTTTTTTTGCGTGTTCGTAAACCAACCACCATCCTTACAATCATTCGTTTGTTGTTTTAGTTTTTATAGTTTCTCGAGCTCCGATTTGGTGGGGTTCATCGGTTTCTCAAAAAAGTAGACTTGTGGGCAAGTCTACATTTCTTTCCTGCTTCATCATTTCAAGGTCAAAAGAAAACCGCTCTGTCTCTAGGCATTATACCCATTTTCAGTTTTTCTTCCCATTTCCTCGATCGGGCCGCGCGAAGGTTTATTTACGTTCTCAATTTAGTTATAATTCGCTAGCAACGACCGTTTTCATTTTTTAAAGATAACTTTTTCAAACGCTAATTTTGTCCAATTTTTATTATTATTGTTATTTTTTATTTAGCAACTAAACTATACTTGAACTGGAGAGAACGAAGAAAGTTGTGGTACTCGCGGCCGTTCTGACGCAGGAAAAAAAACGTTCTTTTTGGATCGTTTAAAAGCATCGTCCTTACGGAAGGAAAGTTTTAAAACCATTTAGGTACAAGTCGAATAGCTACATTTCAAGTTCACTTTCCCTTCGAGCAACGAGTCCTTTATGAGTATCACGAGAAATTGCGCACCCATGAATAGCTTTACCCTGAGAATTGGAAGAAATGTTTCTCTGGTCAAGGTCTGAGCTCTGGTTTGTCTTCTCGTGAAATCCTTCTGCAGAATTCTCAGTGAAAACTCCGTCTTGCTCCTTGCCCTCCGTAGGCAATTCATCCGAGAACAACTCTCTGCTGTTTGTACTTGATACTTTGGTGCTTAATTCATCGGAAAAGATGCTATGCAAGTCCTCCTTCATATATCCGCTTGTAGAACTCGTTGAAGCTCGAGTGGTTTCCGGCAGTGCGGCGAAGGGAACAGACTTCCTGGAGTCTATGGTGTCTAAGCTGTCGAAAGTGCACTTGGACTTGCCTTTTCTTGATTTGAACTGAAAAAGCCCACCTTCGTTACGTCTGGAGCTTTCGCTCAAAAATTCTTCGTTTTCGTCAGAATTCCGCCGTGGATCTTCGTAATTACTCGCGTGAACATATTTAACTTTGGTTCCTCCTAGCGGATGAGAGACATTTACGCCCATAATTTCCTAAGTGAAAGATCTGATATCAGCAAAGTAGGTTACTGTTTTCCACCAATGAAAACAATTTACAATTTTCGTAAAAGCGCGTCACAATCATAATGTAAGAATCGCGCGCTTGAAGGCTTCGAGAAATCCGGCGTATGTTTTCTTACGTAATCGGAGTGGGAACGGGTGTAACATGGATTTCGAAAATACAAAAAAATCTGATATCGTTAACGTATAGGTTAGTGTTTTCTCCAATGAAATCAGTTAAGAATTTTCGTTGAAGCGCGTCATAAGGAACTTAAGCACCAGACGTTCTTCGTACCACGGACGCCAACCGGAAGTATTTTTGCAGCATGACAGCCACTGCGCATGTCAAGACATTCTTGAGTTGCGGTCACGGACTTCAAAACGCGAGATCTCAGGTTGAAACCAGAGGTTCAAATTCTGGGTTTTTCGAAGAGTATTCGTCACACAAAAGTAGCAATTTTTCGTCCGAAATCATGTTTTCTTCGTAAGAAGAAAACAAAACTTCACTCAAATCTTTGAAAGGCATTTTCAACTGAATTATTTTGTCGGCGTTCGTGATGGTTTCACGTTGTTTTGCTTAATGATTTGCATTTGGCACGCAAACCGTGTCCCCGATCCAGTTCTGCGCGGCCAGCCATGCCGTTCGTGAATCAAGAACGTCTGGTGCTTAAGTTCCCTATAATCACAATACAACGAACGCGCGCTTGAGGGTTGCGAGCAATCTGTAAGTTTGCTTTCGTAAGAAATCCTCGCCGGACTGAAACATGGTTGATGTTTGGTATACCGAGAGGTAATCATTTAACTTCGTAGCTACCCTCCTGGATCTACAGAATTCTTCATATCGTACTCAGCCTGTGTAACAAGGAATCCAAAGGCGTTCATGGCCAGCGTACAAACTTTAACACCGAAAATATAAGTGGCATATTATACTCTTTTTAAACAAATTACATTTTTAAACACAAATAAAACTTTATTTCAAAATTATATCGTATCAGGAGCCCATCATATAAAAGATGACTACTGCACATCTTTTCAAAACGTCAGTCATTGTCAACAACTTTCTTACTTCAGGATTACATTCACCCGGACGATCACATTCCTCCCACTTTCAGTTATGACATGGCCCCTGTCTTCATTTTGTATTTTATGATGAGAATAACTGCAACAACTACTAAAAGACGCAGCTGGTCAGAAAATTATACTATAATTATAAATTTGTATTTTATAAAACTTAGTCTACTACTGCGAAATTTTTAGCATGCGAATACAGCAGTCTCTTCTTGTACCGTGACGTTAGAGAGCTAGGTTTTGCGGGAGAGAAAACGTCTCTACCGGCGAGGAGCGGCGAGATACGGCTGTACTTGCAGGCTAATACATCTTTTTTTCTCCACCTTAGCAAAAATATAGACTATAAAAGCTTCGTGCACGCACATGACTAACATGCGATTTTTCCAATTCCCGGGCTGGCTGCCGCTCATGCTTATCGCCTCTCCTGTCGCGGCTGCTCGCAACCTCGTTCCCAGGATCCTCTCCTACCTGTCACTCTCTTGCTCCGCAGGGACGTGTTGGACAGAACCCTGAGAACGAGGTTGGACTGCCTCCTCGCTAGTGTGCACTCTTAGTCCCACTGTTGAAGAGAAATTAGAGACAGCTAGCAGTCTAGGTGAAACGTAAGTAAAAACACGGCTTTAGCCGTTCAACTAAATTTACATCACTTCTAACAAGTGCCAAATTAATTCTTTAACTTACTAGGTTTGACCTCTGATATCTCAAATAATTATTACCGGTAATTGTTGCCTCATCGTCGTTGTGAGGTATTGAAAAATTACCTGTTTACCATTTACATGGAAATACCGGTCAGCTTACAATTCGGGGAATCATAAACAAAACTCAACGCTGCCAAATTTATTTCGGAAACAGCGTTTAACGATCAGTCCTATTTACCTATAAACGGCCGCGAAACCGAAATCAGAGGTGGGTTATAAGGAATGGAACACGTATTCTTTTGGAACATTTTGATCGGGAAAACGGGGCCACCCTTTTAGACGTTCCAGGGCTCCCGGAAATTTTGTACTTTGTGTTCCATTTACTTTCCAGCCGCAATTTCCGCAAACTTTTTGTAAATGGTACCCATCGCTACCTAATGTCATGTTGTTTCGCTAGTTTTCTTTACAATACAGCTACCCACTAATTTAATTGCCCCAATAAACACCGCACCCAATCACAAGAATGCGGCGTTTATTCGAGAATTATAAGAAAAAACGTGGTACAACACGGTAATCTACACCCATATCAGCAATAAACGCGATACACAGGAACTTTAAATATTGTTCTGTTTTACATAAAATCTATCTATAAATGATTTATCTTAATTGTTGTCATTGTTTTAAGAAATGCAATTCTAAAATAAACGGCACATCGGAAACGCTAAAAACTCAATAAACGCCATAGCTACTACGTTCCCATTCCTTTGTCGAAAATTCATTGAGGTTGTTTTCACCTGCAAATACTTTTTCTATTAAGAAATCGTTCACATGTCCGACCAGGTCATCATTTTAAAAAAATGTCAGACATACTTTTAAACCGTTAAACATCTAATAATCCCCACTCAAATAAGCTCCTCGCCCTTTTCTGGGGAAAAAATTTAACTGAAGTTACGATCGTCGCAGTGGAGATTGCAATTAAAGGAATTGCAAATAAACCCGAAAATACTTTCGTGACTCCAACGGGATTCGAACCCATGGCCTCTACGTTAGCGCTGCAGTGCTTTACCAAGGTTGCTTTAATTGCACAATCACCCCTGCGATGATCCTATCTTCATTTAAAAAACCTTACACTACAAAATAGGCAGAAATTCGGCACTACATAGATTTAAAATTCCAAAAAGTACAGACAAAATGATTGTCACTGTATCTCATTCCGTGGTCTTTTTCTGTGCTAAGGTGGGTCTCCTGTGCTAGCTGGAAATCACTGACGAATCAACCCTCACCTGGGTAAAATAAATGTAAAAGAAGATATAAATAACGAGAATCCCTTAAAAGTCAGGTCGTCTTCAAAAACCCATTATTCCAGAGAAAGTTTTCAATGACACAAATAAAACGTCACGCACGCGTTATACAACGACGCCCGAGTATACGCTCCCAGAGCGTCTTGTTCCTTGATGGCCTTGGACAACCAGAAATATGCCGCACCCATTCCCCATACCTCCCTACACCCTTTGAGGAAAAGGCATGGATTTAAGACAATTGCACGACGACGTCATTTTACTACAGACATCATTTCAACTACCAGAATGCTTCAGTTTGTTGTTTTCTTGTGTTAATTAAGGCTATTGTTGTTAAACTTCAGTGGGATTGACAATTCAAATAAGAAAACAAAAACAAAATGACTTTGGCAGTTGTAGTCAAATGTCGTCATCGTGCAAATGGCCTATTGGGTGAAGCTGGAAAATGTTACATAGGCAGACAGTAACATCAAAATTTTACCGAGAGAAACAAGTTTCTAGCGTTTACAACTTCTAGCCTGTTAAAAAATAAAGACCCTCTATTTTGTCTTAAAAGTCCGCCGAGCGCGCATGATAAAAATAAAAACAGGGGGCAATTAAATGGCCGCTAGCGCAACGGGGTAGGGGTCGGGGAAGAAGAAAATAGATTTTCTTTCTCGCGCTCGCCGATAAGCGAAAATAAAAAAATACAGTAGGCAACGTCTGTGTACAGGCAAACAAATACTGTCATATCAAACCACGCCTTACGGTCACCCGCCTAATGCTTACAGCGGACACTTCTGACTTGTTTCTTGCCCAATCAACAGACTCTCATAGAAAGTCGACCTCGCTAATAAGGACACTTCATTATCAACTATGTGCTGTAATAAACCTTTCCCCTCTCATTGAAGGCTTATTTATATTCCCAGCACTACAGTACACCGCATAGGATGAATTGTAGATGTCAATTCAGACCATTTTGGCATCAAACGAGTTATATATGCAGAGTACGGTTTTGCTTTAGTAGTATAAAAATGAACGATTTTTAGTATTACGGTGGATTTAGTCCACGAAATGACAGCTTTGTGAGAGATGTTAATTTGACGATGCTAATGTTCACTTTTATTTTTTTAGTATTCTCGTTTTAATAAAAGATGTTTTTTGACTTAAATAATATGACCCGCTTAATACAGACACTTTCCACGGCCCCTTCGGTGTCCGTATAGGCGAATCCTTGTTTACATTTTTTGCCCCATTAGCATAGGTTTATCATTATCTGATGAAGCTAATAAAATGAAATTCTGAATATTGAAAGAGCATAACAATTTCAGTTATCTCTGAAAATTTGACCCCGATAAACCAAATAGTTTCAGAGAAATCCTCTTTGAAAAACCCCCAAATTTACAAAGAATATATGAGCTCATTAACGTTTTGCACCCACCAATTTAGCAGTTTTTAATTGCTGTTATTTTCTTTGTTACTGATTGCAAAGAGCTAAAACCTGCACAAACTGCATATATAACCAGCTCTTTTAATTTTGAAATTGGTAAATACAGCTACAACTTCTATGGGTTAACTCATAAGCTAATGAGAAAAAATTTACACAACGACGTCACGATGAATCCGCCTATTAACAGGGTTTGACTGTATAAACAGATAAAATATTCCACAAAAACCATACCTCTTATTTTGGTGGCTGATTTCAATGCATTCATGACACAGTCGTGGCAGATCTTCTTTTTATTGCAAGTAATGATTTCCATTTTCAGCTTTCTTAAATCAGCCGTGTATCTGCGGGAATGGCATTCAGCTCTTCTTTTCTGGTAGGCTTCATATTCAATGGCTGCAATTATCATTGTGTAATTCATCTTACACACATCTGGAATGTATTTCAGGTTTTCTTGAACCACCTCTTCAAGCAGAGTGAATGCATTACCTCGTATCGCATCTGGTATATTTGGGTCGCCAGGTTCAATGAGGCTTCCACCTTCAACCTCCATTGGGCGTGGCTCATTGCTCGCAGCTTGTTTTTCTCTCAGCTTCTGATGATGCATGTACATCTTTATTTGATCAGGTGAAATTTCTAAGAGATCAGAGAATGAAACATCATCATCATCATCATCATCACCACCAGAAGGTTGCTTGAAGTGCTTTTCTGAACGGCCACTTTTCTGAAGACTGCAAAGACTGACATCAGCATCATTTACATTCCCCTGCTGCTGAGATTGGAGCACACTTGCTGGTCTTGTTAAAAGCCGTGAAGTGTACGGTCTTTTCCCTCTGCTTTCTTCATTCACACCGACATCTGACTTAAGTACCTTGCATCCCTCTTTTGTAGAGATGACAACAAGGAAGCAAGAGCACCGGGACATTGCAGCGTACAGCAATTCCTTGGTACACATGGATGGGCCATCCTCGAAGGGAGGGTTATACAAGATAACCACTTTTGATTCCATGCCTTTAAAGCGCCGAATACTTTCCAATACAGCACAACTGAGAAACTTCTCAACCAGGTCATCACCAGTTTGACACTGTTCTCCAATGCCTTCAATCTCATGTTTCAGCAGCCTCTGTTTATCTTGGTTTTCAACAAGAATGCAAATGTGCCTTCGACGGACGCCTTGTTTTTGAAGTTTCTTTATCCATTGGACGACTGACCTGGCACCTTCTCTTTCCTCACCACTTCTCCTGACCAAAGAATCGTCCCATTCAATTGGCAGACCAGGTAAGCCATGCCCTAATGTGATTGGAATGTCATCAGGCAAAGATTCGTAGTACTTCATTGACTGCATAAAGACATTTCCAGTGTTCCGAAGAACTTCATTGAGTTCCACACTGTTAGAAAGAAATGCAAAGTGTGAATCGGCCTGCTCTTTAGCAAAGTAAAGGTGTTGATTCAAATCGTACATCACCCAGAAGACACCACGTTTAGCCCGAGATTTTTCTTTGTCAAGCTGGAAATTCTTGTGCATGTGCTGAATAAGCTTTGGCCAGTTCTCGCCAAAGAGGTCTTGGCCTTCATCCACAAGGATGTGGTCGTACATCGAATTAATACCCGATGGTGACTCTGCCTGGGTCTGAAGGTTCTCCAAGGCTACGTTGACACATTCTTCTTTCTCCTCCTTGCTCTTTGGGGTCCAGGGATAGCAAGCCAAACTTTTTACAAGTGTGGTAAATGTCTGAAAATGTAAGAAAGATCTCACATCTTCATTTTCTGGCAACCGGCTCTTAATTTTTTTCTCTAAAGCCTTGCACAAGACTTGATTATAGCACAGGACCATGATCTTTTCCTTTTCCTTGCTATGGTCCTTAAGTATGCCTTGCGCCAGGATTATTGCTTTCTCAATCAACAGAAAGGTTTTACCGCTGCCTGCTGGTCCCCTGATCCACAAGACAGGGGCGCTTTTCCTTGCCAGTACCTGCATCTCCTTTTGTGTGAGAAAAATCATGTACTCGTCATCATCATTAATGCGTAGACCAAGGCAAGGTCTCAGGTATGACAGTCCAACAAATCTAAAGATGAAAGACCCAATGATCAAGTTCTTTCAAATCACATTAGCAGTATACTTAAATTAATTCATTTTAACTGAGCAACTTATAGTAGAATCCTTGTAATAAGCCGGCCTTGACTTCATAATATCTGGGCTTATAATATCTGCTGGGGCTGTAAATCCATCCTGTGAGTTAGTGAGAGACACAGTGGACAGAAACATTTAAGGAAGAGATACCGCAAGCTCGTTAACACTTGTTTTGTTGTTGTTGTTGTTGTTAAATAAATAGAGTCTCTGTCAGTCAAAATAAATGCTTGCACCAGTTCCATTTGTCTTAAAAAACCAACTAGGTAATCACTAATGGCACAGCACCGGTAATTGCAAAGTAATGGAAGCTATTATGATGTCATTACTAGAAAACGCTGCCATCCAAACCAAAACCTCACGCCCCTCTCCCCCCCACCCCTTTCATTAGTGAGCTTACACAACAGGGCCGAGTTGTTCGAAGGCCGGTTAGCGCTAACCCAGGGTTAAATTTTAACCTGGGTCTCTTTTTCTTTTCATTAAAAGCATTTTCTCGGAAAATTTTCTCTACTCTATTTAGAGTATTTAATCATCAAATTGCACACAAAAAGAATTAAACTGAATTTGCTTTTTAAGCTTTCATATCTGAATTCAAATTTTGTACTAACCCTGGGTTAAGTTAACCCGGCTTTGAACAACCCGGCCCAGGACGGTAGAGGGAAGACGGCAGACCTTGTGTGACAAGCGTGACCATAATTTCGTTTGAAAACACCTTCCACCAAACTTCACATTCCTTTAACAGATCTTTTTGTAGAAGGGCAAGTAAACATCAATGTTAAGAGAATTTCCGGCAAAACACTCAAGTAATAGCCCCGTCACGTTTGTCAGACACAAGAATTTTGCCGTCCTCTTCTTCCTGCCGTCCTGTTGCGTAAATCACTTTTTTAAAGAATGCGAAAGACGTCAGCCTTAAGACTACGGAACACAATTTCCTTGGTAAACATGGTATAACAGAATAATGTCCCCACGTTTCCGTGACCTTATGGCGCAATTACCAAAGAATGGAATTAAATGTGAGTTCAAAACTTCAAAGGAGTTAAAGTACTCTAAATCTATAGCTGTAGTTACTGTATATCGGGCATAACAGTGACGGTATTATCAACATATCTGCGGTAATAGACACTCCAGGCTGCTTGGCCCCAGCTCTAGTTTTTCTTCCAATGATTACATAAACACACATGCTAACAAGGAACACACATGCTAACAAGGGCCCGAGGGGGTGACTCCATAGCCACATTACTGATTTGCTTTAGCTTATACAGGGCACCATTGAACTGAAACAATTGACTCTTGGTGGCCACGCTCAAGATATCAACAAGATCGTCTTTAGGCATGTTTAGATCGTATGTAGAGTTAAAACCAGTTTTTCCTGAAGGGTTTCTCGGAGAGGATCTCGGCATGTTGGTACACAAAGATAGCACATCGTACGATACCAAAATGCTACCGGCACTGATTTTGACTTCGCGATGTAATGGCTCAGTCCATTTCAAGCGTGCCCATCCCCCAGGGCATTTGTCATCTTGTCGGTCCCAGCGATGGGATTTGTCAGAAAACCTCTGCCCGGGGGTGGGGCATTTGTAAATTCTTGTAGAAGTGGCTAAGTCGTCCCATGCCAAGTTAGACAGCTTTAGATATTTCTATCAAGAATATTTTTAATACTTATGCTTTAAAAAAGATATGTGTGGTTTTCCCTTCAACTCTTCCCTACCCAACAGAATTTTTTGCGTCTAAGAAACTGCTTCCTGCCATCGTGATCAGTTCGCACATGGAGGAAAAAAACAATCAGTGTACCGTTTGAAGAGTTTAAAGGAAAAGACAATTTCTTTGTGCGCGAATAGTTAAGGCAAAAAAAACACTCTGCGAGAAATATTTTGAAAGCTAGTATAAACTTTGTGTATTGTACGATGAATGCCGCGACAATTAATACGCTGTCAAAACGGTTCTATCTTGTTGAGAAAATACACTCATTTTAAGCTCGTCGGGTTTTTTTTAATCATTCACTAAATTAAATATCTTCAGAAATAATAAATAGATTTTGCCAGGGCTAAAAACAAAGCTCTCGTTAATAAATTCATAATTTAAATCAAACAATAAACTTGTAATCCACAGATCACGGCACATTCATGTGCCTTTTGAGGCAAAGGCCAAGGGCACCCAACGACAATTTTCGGAAAATATCTGTTCGGAAGACGATTTGAGATCTAGAATTTTCGGAACAAATTTTCCAAAATTTCTTGCTTGTCCGCCTCTCCTAGGATTTTCGAACATCTAAAAAATGGTATAATTGCCCATTTTGGACGGATTTCTACGCTAAAAAGGTCACCTACAATTTTCGGGAGCCTTTTTTCTGGCCGAAATTTTCGAATAGGTAAGTTTTGATCCCTATAATTTTCGAATCACTAGACTTTCAGCTAGGAAATCCGAACAGATGAAAAATTTTTAGGGGATAAAAATGTCTATATCTACCGCTTTAATACCAAAATACGTTTAACAATGCTACGTTTAAGTGGTTTTGAACTATATTCTCGTTGGGTGCCCCTGAAAGGCTAAGTGATTTTAAAGAAAAATAATTTGACAGTCCAAGAGTGAAACAAATTTTACATCGAGTTAATAGTCTTGTTCGTACACCCAAAAATAGCAATCATGTTCGATCACGGTAGATTAGGTCTGGAAAACAAGTACACCTATTCGTGTATTGTATTTGCATTAGCTGTTGCATCATAATGTGGCATTCACCAGTCTCTCCAACATTGCTCCGTTTGAGAGACTAGGGATAATTGGACAACCCCGAAATAGAATCTTAAGTAACACACGCGCCCCGATTGTCCTTGGTGGCAGCCAATTTACATGTTGCATTCCTCTGTCTAAAAGGGAGGCCAAAATAAAAAATCCGGCGGGATTTTTTGTGTTCGACAAGTTTACTTTACAAGTAAGTAAATCTTGGCGACGAATCTGGTGGCGTGTAAACCAGCCTTTTAAACATACTTTTTCTCATCATCATAATAATAATTTACACACATATAGCGCAAACCTCTATATGAATATATCACGTCTCAGGTAAACAGTACCATGAGGCCCTTTTTTATCATACAGACCTCGGACAGAATTTGTCCTTTTTTGCCCTATTTAACCTATAATTCTGCAGTTTTTCACAATTTTGCAAGACAAATTGCAGTCATTCAATATTCAGGACGATCAAAGCACGAGCTTCCTTTGCACAACAAATTATAGCATTGACCACATTATAAAACGTTTTCATGAAGAGAATTCCATAATGCCGGGACTTTTCAGTTAGAAAAATCTGCTCCTATGTGCTATGCAAGGTAATAATTATGGGCTTTTAGTGAAAACGATAAAAAAAATTCCCAAAATCACCTTTTCGGTTAGCCGGACGGGTTCTCACTTTTGACAGGCACCAAATTTGCAGTGCGATTAATGGAGTTACCATTTACGCTTCAACATGATAGAGAATTTGTTATGTTTAGGTTTTACTTCCCTTTATTTATAAAACTGTTTATGGTTTTGTTATGTGTAATCTTTAAAAGCGAGTGATATTTACGCGCGGCGTTTTGAGTATTTCTGCATGCGATGTTTATGTTCGACTGGAAGCAATCGGTGCAGCGATAAAAATTGCGAGAGGGACTACTAACAATCAATAAAATAAATATAATTCGGTGAAACATGTACAGAGACAATAATTTTCATTCACGAAGACAAGTATTGAGAGTAAAGTGTCTCTGAAAATCATGAGCCAGGTAAGCATAAGCTTATTTATGTTTTAAGCCGGCTTGCCGGTGTTTGCTCTTTTTCAAGATGAAGTCGAGACAAGAAAATCGCTCAGAGCTTTCTGTTTACAGCCAAAATCTTAACTAAATATTCTTCGGAACCTTTTCTTTGAATTTGGGGTCAAAAAATGTCTAAAGGCTTTTTAAACCTGATACTATTGTAGGTTAGATCATTGCTCGTGTATAAACTTAGGCCGCCTAAACCATACGCTCGACTTCAGGAAACCGAAAAAAAAAACACATCAAAGACAATAATTGCTCAGGCTTACCAGTCGAGATGCTGCTTCTGAAGGTCATCAAGGTTTCCAGAATCGTCTGATTTTGACAGCTGTCAATCTAATCGTACTCATACGGATGGCTTACATAACTGAAAGGCTAGTCAAGTTGTGCAAGATCTATTGTGACATTTGACATCGGCTTACATGAAGTGTGTGTACGAGTGTACGGGTGGGCGGGCGTACCTACGTCATAACCATGGATAACCAAATTTTCTCGGATGGATAGTTTACCAAATTTTGTTACCCATGGTGCTCCGATGCGCGCGAGAGAGCTCCGCTAAGAAAGGCATTATTAAAATCCTAGTTTATAGTTCTGTCAGTGATATTAATCAGATCAACGTAATCTTTTTTGCAATAATTATAACTAGCGGCTATAAGAGCGATTTGCGTAGGGTGCTTCACGCGTTTTGAACAAATTATTACACATTTCCCACGAATATGGTATTGGCAGCTTATTTACAGGAAAATGTAATTTTGGTGTTGTCCCGGGAGGGATATTTGTACACTTTTTAAAGTCCCACCGTGGGGCATTTACATTGACTGCTGCATATATATCTATTGGATACTTTTTGACGAAAAATGATCGTACTCATCTTTCCCTGCTGCGCAATAAATGTGCGCGAAATGTAGGGTCGTAACAACATTCAGCCGGTATCTTGTCTTCGATGTACTGTTTTCGAAACGAAAAACTGTCCTCTCAAGGGCGACATCGAGGCCAAGGAACACGTTTGTCGTACGTCGCACCCAATATACTTCATTTAGCTCCAGAACACAGGGTGCAAATGCTGGTAGTGAACGTTAACAAATTGGAGAAAATGCCTCTGAGGCCCGTTTCAAACGTCGTGCTACTGCTGTGCCGAACTCAATTGATCGAATTAAATTCGACTTTAGCACGGCAGTAGCGCGACGTTTGAAACCAAGTCGTGCTACTGCCGTGTAGCACGGCAAGCCTTGCCGTTTTACACGGCAGTAGCTCGACTTGGTTTCAAACGTCGTGCTACCGCCGTGCCGAACTCAAGTCTTAAACTATAAATACATTTGAATACATTTAAAAATTTGCTAAACCGTTTCTTTGTTTTTGTGTTTTGTTTTCGTCAACAGCCGTTCTATTCGACTGAATTAAATTCGACGTCTGAAACCAAGTCGTGCTAGTGCCGTGCTTGCAGTCGAGCTACAGTCGAGCCAGCTTAGCACGGCAGTAGCACGACGTTTGAAACAGGCCTGAGACACTTCTTAAGACCAAATTGACACATGCCTATACAAATTGCCCTCCTGTTGTTCCATTTGTATAGGTAATTACATGATTTTGAGTGCAATTTGAGTTAAATCAGCACAAGTAAATTTTAAATTACGAGTGCTGATTTACCCCAAATTGCACGAGAAAAATCATGTGATTACTTGTTAATAATATATATGCAAAAATTTGACTTTCTTTTCCTCGCTTGTCACTGCTCCTTGTTCCCGCCTACAGATGACAACCTTGACCAAGATTGGTCATAATTTTTACAAGTGAATATTGATGGCTAAAAACGCAGCAGCTAGAAATTTGTTTTGTCATTTTACGTTTTTTTTTAACTTTTCATGTTTTTCCACTGCCACCAAGGAAAAAAAAAACACAAATGTGTACAAGATTCCTTTGTTGTGTTTAGTCTATTTGGGTTTTGGTTGAGGTCGCAACCTTTATACCGATATATTGAATTAATTAGATTTAAGGAATGGGGCATGTACTCGCTCAGTATTCACGCGCGCTTTTCACGCCAATTTTTCTTAACGGTTTCCTAGAGTAAGATTGTAATGGGAAAAAAGATCGTTGTGTTGTGTTTGGATGTAAAAATGATCGCTGTTTTCCCAAGAAATATATGGTGAAAGACCATACCAGCTTCTTCGAAGGAAAACCAGAAGTACGTTTCTGGCCTTGGAAGGACCCGAGGCACTTGGGTACGTGGACGAGACTACTAAAGCTTAAGGGATGTAAGGTGAACGAAAAGACTGAAGTTTGCTCAAATCATTTTAAATTTGGAAGACCAGTCGACAGTCATCTTCATCCCACGCTCTTTTTGAAGGGCTATGATCGGGAAATAGTATAACACGTAAGAGAAAAGCTCCCATGGAAAGGCTTCCAGTGTAACCAACTAGGAGGAAGAAGAAGAAGAGGTCAGATACTGATTCTAAACGCGAGTAAAAAAGGAATTAATTAATATTATGGACATTCCGTAGAAACTGGTATCGTCTTTAAACATATATTTCTCGGGAAAACGGCGATCATTATTACATCCAAACACGGCCGAACGATCTTTTTTCCCATTACAAATACAATCTTATTCTAGGAACCTTTAAGAAAAATTGCCCCGAAAAGCGCGCGTAAATACTGAGCGAGTACAATGCCCCTGGGCATCCCATATTCCTTAAATCTAATTAATTCAATATGGCCACTGTATTGTGGTTTCATCGATGGCTGTTTTTGTAGTTCATGCAGGGTTTTACAGCAGAGTAACGCAGAAAACTAAAGAGTTTCTAACCTCACTTGCTAGCTTTGAGGAGTTGCATCTCAGGTGAGTTTGAGTTGTTGTGTAGTTCCAGAAAACATCCCTGGAATTGCTTGCCTTACCCCCACCCCCCGGAATTTCCGCAATATTTCAACTTGGTTGGGTACCCTCCGGAAAGAATATTTGTGTCAAAAATGTTGTTGCACTATACTATTATGCGAAATATAACTTTTCTGCGATAAAATGAGAAAAAAAAAATCTTTTCATTCATGTTAGTACAGTGTCTTATAACCTCAAGGACGTTCCTAACTAATAATTAACCATAGAGGCAAACCTTCCACTACTGACTACACGAATATCATCTGCAAAAGAACCAGTTACATTCAAACTAAACACCAAGACTTTCATTACTTCAACATCTTACAAGAAAGCTTAGAACACGACCAAATTACGGTGATTCAAATGTGTAATAAAGCAACAGCTAGATAACTGGAAGTTCATTCATGAGCCGATGGCAATTGTATTAAAGAAAACTATCGCGTAAGCCGTGAATAACGCAGTTAGCCGACCGTAGATAAAAAATGATCAATGCAAACAATAATACTTGTTTTGAAACACCGGTAACAGTAAAATAACTGATAGCTTCCTCAACATTAAAAAGCCGTTATTCATTAATAACTTACCAATCTTACTCAGGCCCCCTGAAAAAAACCTCTGTAAACAACCGCCTGCCCCACCCCCTTGGCAATTGTCTCCTTTTGGACACCCCTCCTCTCGGAATTGCCGTTGCCCCCCGTGGGGAAGTGGGGGTATTCTCAACTTTTATGTTACGGTATGTTGAGTCAAAGTTCACTCTACTTACATATTTAATGGAGAATAATACGGTAATCACTGTAATATCTTACTGCACAAAGGGACTGAACAACAGCAAAACAAAACAAAAGCCTATCCCTACCATACACAACAAGTCCATTAAAAGCAGAGTTTTTAATTTGACTGAAGGGAGTTAATTTTTGCGGCGTTTTATTTTGCGGGTTTTTTTCTCTGCGGGCACTAAATTTTGCGGATCGAGGTCAACCCGCAAAATTTTCATGCTGCACGGTAACCCAGTTATGCTCTGAGGAGTATAACAGGGCTAATATCTCAGAGATGATTCGCCCCGAAAGGCTAATTTTTGGCAAGTAGGCCTCCTGGATGTTGCAATGTTAGAAGATCCTGACAAATCCCATGACTTCACAAATCTAATTTTTTATAACATCACACTTCAGAACTCTATTCTGGTTCAGTAAGCGCGCAAGGTGGTATTGGGAAATTCTGGAAACATGTCATTGACTGGTCAGCATCCTCCAGAACAAATTCCTTCCCCTGCCTTCCCCTATTAGCTACACTGCCATGAAATTTCTGAGTCTCTTCAAATTTCTACTCTTATAATCTTTTTTTGTAAGTCTAAGTCCCTTCAGTTTTCTTTAGAAATAAAAGGAGATTGATGTGGCAAAAGCACGTTCTGAACCCGCAGTCCTAGAAACCGAAATCCATCGCCTATACCACGGTAGTACACCACAGTGGATTCTACTGCAAGGTATGTTTTCGTTTTACATAATTTTTTGTGGTGACAAACCTAACAGTAATAGAAAGCTAACCATTTCGAGTCAGTGCTTAGCCTTAAACACTCTTCTCAGTACTTAACCCTGATCACTATAACGTTTTTGTGAAGTTTTAAAATGTCATAACCTAAGAACTTAGAAATAAAGATATTGTAAATTGAACGTTAGAAGACTTATTGCAGAATAAATGGCATATCTAAGGTGGAGGCAGATGTAGTGAGAACTATATCGCTAGTTTCAAGTTTCTTACGGTGACTCGCAAGATAAATTTGATATGATGTATGGCCTCGTGTTTAAAAAACACAAGCTGTTATTTTTTAAACAGTTTTCTGACTGTAAATGACAAAGGAGAAGTTCTAAAGAAAACGTAGTTGTTGTGACGGTTGTAAAAAGAAGGCGTTAAGCCAGGGAAGGTTCATCTAGTTAAGTATTTGCCTTCCATGCGAAGTCGGCTAAGATACAAACAAACAGAAAACAAGGTTTTAAAAAAGATTTTCCGCAACACTTCAATCACACTACTTTCTCCATTTTAATGAAATCAGAAAAGTATTTTTGTTTCAAGACATTTTTCATGATTTGATTAATTGTCAGTCAAGAATATTGCATTTTGCTAATTGGCTTTTGTTTCTTTCTTTGAATGTGGGTCAAAATGCCGTGTGAATGAAGCTGAAATCAGAGTTTCGTTATGGTTACACGATCGTTTGTGATTGAAGCTTACGTCTGCCTGCACATTCTTCATCCTCGCCGAAAAAAAAATGCGCCCATACATGCAGTTGAATCAACTTTTTTTTTCTTTTTTCAATAATTTGTGGTAATTTGAAAACCTCATGGTAATGCAGTGTACCAGCAGTTTACATTGGTGAACAAAAAATCACAAATCAGATTTCTTGGTCATCATAGTAATATTACTTGATATTTATTACATTTTACCAATAGGTGAACCACAAATCATGGCAAATATTATTATAGAACAGCTACCTACAAGTACACATATGCTAAGCTAAAGGTGAATTTTGCAGCCACTGTAGTGCCATTTATAGCGAATACTATCCTTACACAGTGGTGTAAATCAAAGAGATCATTATGAGGGGTTATAGAAGAAATCCTGCTTACCTCATCACAAGACATTCATACATCTTCTGACTAACAGCAGGATGCCTTGAATTAGCAACATGATCATTCCACCATTTTACAAATGCCTCCAGGCTGCAACAATCTTCCTGATATAGAGCATTATCTTGAGAACAAACTGGAGATGGACGTGGGCAATTTGGCATTGCCACAAAAGCTGGAAGATACTTAAACATCTCTGTAACCTTTTTTGTTGGTATTTCTCCTTTCACCGCTTCTTCAAACCGCTTCTGCAATGCAAGTTTGCCCTTCTGAAGCTGTTCTTCTGCCTCTTTGTAACTTTTACCAGTATCAGTGGCCTTTACCTCGATATATATTGGCCCATGGATCTTGTGAATTATCACAAAGTCTGTCTCTCCCATGATCCAGGATTTTTTCCTTCCACTTTCTGGAATATGTTCACTAAAGGGACATGAATGAACCACAAACATTGGTTCCTCACGTTGGGTGCCACACTGTTTCAAAAGATCGTATATTACTTCCTCTGCACTGGATCCTTTGTTGCTCTGGTGTGATGGGAATGAATCAGGAACCATGTGGGTTTCTCTTGGACTTTTCCAATCTCGAAATTCTCTCTCCAGACCAAGGCGAATTCCCTCAACCATGTCATACCTGCCTTCATCTCCAGGGCTGATTTGCACACATTTCCCACTCAAGCCAAGCATCCTTCACGAAACGGTGGAGCTCTCTCAGAAGCCTGGATTTTGAGGCCAGTGGAAATTCTGTAAGGAACAACAAAACCTACAGCTGTAAATGCCAAACAAGGCACAGGCAAGACTATGATAAGGACCAAGGCAACCATTACAAAAATAATGTAAATAATCTTTAAATTAGAGATACAACAGGTAACAAATAAAACAGACTGTACAGTGGTGTAATAAAGAATACATGTAGTTACACTTGAGAAAAAAAAACTGGAACAAAACGCTACTAAGTCAGGGCATACAAACTGTACAATGTAGAGGTGTAGGCAAACATATATTATGTAATTTACTATACATTGTGGGTGTACAATGCACTTTTACGGGGAGTTTCTGTAATATATTGAGTACCCTCTGAGAAAGCTGTCATTACCCACCATGCTATGAGGAATAAAACTAGTCGTTGGAACCCGCCATGATGTGTCCTGCTTAGTGTCGAGTCATGCAGTTTGATTAGTATATTCCATTTTGGTGACAAGATGCGAACAAATTTCCTCAAACATCAACAGTGCAAGGTTTTGGGGCAACACTGTGTGTTGTGGAGTACAGAATGACCAGCACTGGACTGTTTGGTCATGTCGACAAATTCATCGCTGAGCGTGAAACGTTTAATGCATACGTAGAAAGAATGAAAATGTTCCTCCCTGCAAATAATATCGTTGAGACAACAGGTGAGGGTAGCACTCAAGCAAATCGAGTAGTAGCCGAGGGAAAATGAGCTATATTCCTCACAGAAGTTGGAGCTGAGGTCCATTTAACTGTCAGTAATCTACTGGTGCCCACTAAGCCCAAAGACACACCATTTGTTGACATTGTACATGTCCTGGAGAAGCATGACAATCCAAAACCGCTGGAAATTGTGCAAAGTTTCCATTTTGGAACCCGAAATCAGAAGTCCCGAGAATCTGTTGGGGATTACATGTTAGCGTTGAAGAAACTGGCTGTTCACTGTAACTACAGTGAATTTTTGGATCGAGTGTTACGAGACCGATTTGTTTGCGGACTGAGCAACCCGAAGATTCAAAACAAACTATTGAACACGGAGGACCTGACGTTTGAGAAAGCTTGTAGGATTGCCAAGGCTATGTTTGCGGACTGAGCAACCCGAAGATTCAAAACAAACTATTGAACACGGAGGACCTGACGTTTGAGAAAGCTTGTAGGATTGCCAAGGCTATGGAGATGGCCGAAAGAAACACACAGGAGTTTCACCCTACCATCAGTGAAAGCCCTCAAGTAAACCAGTTGACTGCGCAGGACAACAAAAAGACTAATCATGAACAATGTTTTAGGTGTGGTGGTAATGATCATTCAGGTCAGTCTTGTAAATTTAACTCTGCAAAGTGTTATCAGTGTTCTAAGATCGGTCATCTAACATCTGTCTGTTGAAGCAAAAGTGAGCAGACGGGCACGGTCCATAACTTGCATGTCCCTGAGTCAAGTGATGATGAATTACGAATTTAGTCATTGTATTCGCTCAACACAAACAGGCCTAGTCCCAGTGGTTATTCGGTAGAAATGTTGATCAATGGGAAACCATGCAAAATGGAGGTAGATACTGCTGCAGACTATTCCATAACACAGTGTATATCTGGAGAAGTTTGCAGACACACCCTTAACTCCATCTAAGGTAGTACTTACGTACACTGGTGAGGTGTGACGTAGAAAGAGAAAGTCTATGCACTAGAAAAAGATGTAGACCCCAGCCGTGTTCTCGACACCGCCAGAGCTGAGGAACAAGGTCAGACGCACATACCCGAAGTGGAAAAGATTAGGAGGGACCACAACCTGGGAGAAACTAAAAGCACAGAGGAGCTCAGACAACAGAAGAAGTCCTTCAGCAAAAAGTCCAAGGCTTCCAGTGATGGACGCACCAAAAATCAGTACAACTGCAAAAGATGCGGACGAAAACTCCGTCCCAAACAGTGCCCTGCCTACGGGAAAGAATGCAGTAAATGCAAAAAGAAGGGCCACTTTGCTGAGCAGTGCCATACCAAGGCAAACGCCAATCCTTCCAGCAAGCGATCTACCCAGCAGAAACAAATACCCAGACTCAAAAAGAAGTTTCATGAAGCAACTGCAGACTCAGGAGGTAGCGAAGCAGACTTCTCAGAGTATGACACTGACAAGGTCACAGTGCAAGTTGACTCAATAGAAGCAAAGGCTGAAGAAACCAAGTCTACCAAGACACATTTGAGCAAGAAACTGCCCAAACAGGTCACCAAGGTCTATTAAGACGAAGACCAATCCCCTGATGTATTGTATGCCACTGTTGAGCTTGAATTACCGGACAGGAATACAAAGAAGGTTCCAGGGCAAGGTCGACACTGGAGCTCAGGTGAACTTGATGAATTATATGACATTCCGAGAAATCTTTGGCCATGATGCAGAGAGAATTCTGCACGACAGTCAAGTGAAACTCACAGGCTATGGAGGAAAGCGCTTCAAGAACCACGGGGAATTCTATATTGACTGTGTTTGCCACAATGATGTCGTTGGCCGACGCATTGAATTCTTTGTATCCGACTGTGGCGGTAACTTGTTCTCACTAAAATTCCCCCGTGCAATGAAAATCATCAAGATTATGTGTGAGGAGGAGACGGACTGCAAGAACTGCCATGGCCCCTATGACGTGAGTGAGGTCAGAGACGGTACTGAAGAGGAAAAAGAAGTTACTCCACCACCAGACCAAGACCCAGCAAAACCCAAGTACTCTCTCAAGGTGAGGAAGCCCATTGAAATCAGGGATACAACCAAAGTCCTTAAGGATGCCAGTGACGTGTTTGAAGGCGTCAGAAAGCTAAATGGCTACCAATACCAGATCAAGATAAATGAAAAAGTCCAACCAGTGGTCAGCCACAGATACAGTGTACCTCCACCAATGCAGGAGCCTCTGAAGAAGAACTTAGACTGGATGGTGGGCATCGGTGTCATCAAGAAGCAAGAAGAGGCAACACCGTGGGTAAGCAATGTACTGTGCACACCCAAGCCCAATGGAGACATCCGGATATGCCTAAATCCAAAGCCACTAAACAAGGCAGTGAAAAGGCCACACCATTATGCAATGACAATGGAAGATATATTACAGAAATCACACGGTTGCAAGTATTTCTCCACCCTTGACCAATCGTCAGACTATTGGAATACTGAAGTACATCCAGACAGCGTACACCTACTCACCTTCAACACACCATTTGGACAATATGCATACAAAAGGCTTCCATTTGGGCTCCTGAGTAGCCAAGATGTATTCCAACGTGCCGTCGATGAGACATTCAGTGACATCCCTGATGTCTATTGCATCGCAGATGATGTACTAATTGCTGCAAGGACAAAGGAGGAACACGATTTGGCAGTAAACAGGATCATCCAACGATGTCAAGACTCAGGCTTCAGGCTCAATCCAAAGAAAGCAAAAACCCTATTAGATGAGATCAGTTATTTTGGCCATACCCTGACGAAGGAGGGATTAAAACCAGACACAAAGAAGGTCCGAGGGATAAAGCGGTTGGCTGTGCCAAAGAACAAGCAGGAGCTACAGTCACTGCTAGGAATGTTCAACTACCTGGCAGGGTGTCCAGCGGCATGGTTGCTCAAAAAAATAGGAAAATAGGAAACTCAGGATTGAGAAAATAGGAAAAATAGGAAACTTTGCATTAAAAAAATAGGAGAAAAATAGGAAAATCAAAAGTACTTTTGTCGACAAAGATAGCTTCCCTGCACCCCATAAGGGTTATAATAAAGGCTACGAGTCCTCAGATTCTATGTTCACAGGATTTAGATCAACTTTCGTGGCTAAGAAGGAGTGAAAATGATCAGTAACGTTTAGTTTATTGGCTCAGTTACACTGTATTAAATCGGAATGATATGATTGATTACAGGTCGAGCGTGGTTCTATAATCAAAGGTGATCATATGGAAATTCCCTTCAAGTTGACGGCAAATCTTTCAAAAGCTTTGAAGAGTGAAATTTCTTAGGATAGAAATTTCTTACGATTGAGTTGTCATTAAAGGATATCGAAAAAAGTCCTATGGAAAGCTTTCCTTCCGTTAATCTGCAATCGGTGGCTGGTTGAGAATATGCCTGTTTGAGTCAAAAGACCACGTAATTTTATGTACGGAACCAGGCTCTCCGCAGTGTATGCAAAATGACACTGATCTACTTGGTACCAGATTGTAAGTGTGTCATGGTTAAGTTCTAAGAAGAACATAACACTCTGTTTAGCTATGACTGCAAGACCGATTTTGCAACCAAAATATTGGATCCTTCACCAGTTGCTTAGGTATAGATGTTAACAAGGGCTCACCAAGAAAGCTAGTGCCATAAACTAAACTTTAGTCTGTTCTTTTCATGTAGCATCCAGAATCAGCTAGTGATTGGTTTTTTAAACAAGAAGCTGATTGGATGATTTATCTGGCCTGTGTTGTGAGAGGACAACTTGATCCTGTTTTCAGTTTCAAAGATGAACATAAAAGTGAGCAAGACTTCAATATAAAATATAACATGTACAGATACTGAAATGCAGTTTCGGTGGGCTATGCAAAATATTTAACAATTATTCCTCAAGCCCGAGTGGGCTCTGAGTCAATAGCAGCCAAATGGGCTATTGGCTCAGAGGAAATGATCGGGGGCGAGAGGAATAATTGTTTTTGTAAAATCCAACTAGTTGGTCAAAAATATCGAGAATAAAAAAATTTTACCTAGTTACAGCTAGACTTTAATCCTTTTTTGCTGCCAAAAAGCCCACACTTTTCACTACTAGTGGGCTATAACAAATAGCCTAGTAGTAGCTCAACCAATCAGAACGCAGCACTGATAATAGACCACTAGTTGGATTTTACTAATATTCAAGTCACGAAGACTATAACACTTCATACAATACATGCAAGTGCACGAGAAAATTATACAAAACGTAACAAAAAAAATGTTAACAGAACTCTCATAGGCAATAGAGGTCATGGAAAGAACAAATGTAACTGTCATTTCTACTAATATTAGAACAACAAAGTCAACATGCTACTTGCTTTATGATAAATTTCACTCAAAAACACATACAACTATAATTCCATTTTCAATTTTGTTACAAATTTTGGCTTCACCAGCTAAAAAGTAGGAAAAATAGGAGGTTTTAGTTTAAAAATAGGAGAAAATAGGAATAGGCTCAAAAAATAGGAAAAAATAGGAACCGGACACCCTGACCTGGGAAAGTTTATACCCAACCTGGCTGCCAAAACGCAGGACCTCCGGGCTCTGGTAAAGAAGAATGCAGAATTTGTGTGGGAAGAGACACACACCAAGATACTCGAAGCACTGAAGGCGGAGGTCTAAGACAACACGATATCGCAATACTTTGACAAACAGAAAGAAATCGTTTCCGAGTGTGATGCCAGCCAAAAGGGCCGGGGTGAATGTATACTCCAGTATGTGTATGGACGAAGATTTGAGATAGTCAGTGACCGCAGTCCATTACAACAGATCATTAAGAAAGACATAAGAGACACAACCACCCCGCCACAACAACTTTTGCAGCGATGTCAAGGCTACGATTTCACAATCGAATACAAGGGTGTTGAGATGCACATTATCCGACTGCCTCTTAAGGTGAGGGCCGCCACCAGCGCCCAACTAAGGACCAGTATCCGAGAGACCAGCCAAATTGGGATATGTGAGGTTGCTGTGGCAAATGAATCTGACATCAAGAAGATTCGATCAACTCAAAAGAAAGATCCAGTCTTCCAGGAGCTAGAACGCCTATGCCAGGAAGGATGGGCAGAACACCACAATGAAGTGCCAGAGTTGGCCACAGCTTACTGGGATTACAGACATGACATTGCAGTCATCGATGGGATCGTTGAGAAGAGCCAAAGGTTCCTGGTGCCGCAGAAAATGCGTGAGTGCTTATTCCGAAAGCTACACCATTTGTCTATCAAGGAGTGGACAAATCTATCCAAAGAGCCAGAGACAAGTGGTTCTGGCCTGGTGTGTCTGAACAGATCAGGAGGCTTATTCTGACCTGCTCATCCTGTCTGGAGCACCAACCCAGACAGAAACAAGCAGTGGTTATCCCTGTGATCACAACCAATGCCATGCAGATTCTGGGTTGTGACATTTTCCAGGATGCTGGTTGATGGTACAGTAGCATCGTCAACTACCACACAGGGTACCTGTGGGTGAAGCCAATCAAGAACTAAGAAGTAGATACAGTGATCCAACATTTTCAGAGTGTCTGTAGCCAGTTTGGTTACCCTACGGAGGTAGTGAGCGATCAAGGCTTTCAGTACACTTCCAGCGACTTCCAAGTTTTCTTTTTGAAATTCAACATCATCCACAAGCCAGGGACCCCTCACTCTTGGTGGAAGAACGGCTGCTGCCAAAATACCATTGGGAGGCTCAAAAGGTTGCTTGAGAAGTCCAAGGAAGAAGAAACGTCAATGGAAGACATACTTCTGAACATCCGGGACACACCATTAGACGCCAACACCCCTCCACCCTATGAGCTGATGTTTCAAAGGAAGGTCAAATCAGACCTACCCTCAATACCACTCAGCCTGTTTGACAGCAACAACAGCATCAACGCAGGCCATAGACGTGTGAAGCATGCAGAGAGAACAAATGAAAGTGAAAACAGAGGTGAACCACCAAGGCTGGAGCAACATCAAACAGTCATGTTTATGAAGAATCCTCAGGAAAAGAAGGCCCGATGGTCAAGTGGGATGGTCATTTCAGTGGAAGGACAACGATCATACACCATGGAAGACGACGCAACCAGAACACAATGCTCCAGAGACCGGGTCCATATCAAGCCTATCCCTGGTTATGCCCCCACTCCACCTAATGCAAAAGCTTCTTCGGAAAGAAGGTGCATCAGTGCCAGTGGAAACGCCAGACACCAAGGTTACAGCTAGCCCACCAAAGCAGAGGCCCGAGACCTCCATAAAGCAGAAACCCGACAATCCACCAGACAGCGTCAGAACATCCTGACCAAGGCATATCATTAAAGCACCAGTGAAATATGGATATGAATAAAACCTCAAAAGTGACTTTTTTAACCACAAGTGACTTATAAAGGATGTGAGGATGACTGGCAAAGAATCTGAGTTTTTATAAAAACATTTCTAGTTTAAAACAGTGCTTGATATCAATCCTTAGTAATCACCAATTAACGTCTAACCATTGCAGTTTTATTTCCTTACACAAAATAGGATCTTTCTGTAATGGGAACTAATAATTTTCATCTTAACAAGAACTCTGTCTTTTTATCAACACGGGGGATGATGTAGATTTGTTCGTTACATAATTTTACAGTTGTTTTGTCACACAAGTTACATTTTCGGATGACAGTTTGTGTAAGCTTACTTTGGATGTCTCGCTTGCGAAATAGCACGTTTTTTTGAGGCTCGCAATAAAAGCTTGTCTTGCATGAACTACCATACTCAAGTATATACTTCAACGCGCTTGAGGTGTCGGGTGAAATTCAGTGCAATGTTATTTATAAGGATATTAAACACTATTCACCACCACTAGTTGTAGTTACATGTAATTACAGTGCCAAACCTACGTAACTTCAACATGTTTCTGGCCCTAATCATAAGGATAATCACACACTTGATTTGATGATCACTCGAGCGTGTGAGGACATCATTGAGAGTTGGTCAACCTTGAATCCTCATTTGTCTGACCACTCAGCTATCCATTCAAAACTATCACTTGCCAGGCCACGTCCACCAAAAGTTAAAAAACAATATCGGAAAATTCGTGGTGTTGATCCAATTGAATTTCGCAACGATGTCATGGCTTCCACAATTTTCTCCTCACCTGCATGAAATGTGAATGATTTATGTGATCAATATGATAGTGAATTGAGCAAGGTTGTTGATGTGCACGCTCCATTGAAAACACGATTTGTAACCTCTCGTCCATCTGCGCCGTGGCATAGTGAGGAAATTGCTGCACAAAAACGCAAACATCGTAAATTGGAAAGGCGTTGGCGTAAGTCTGGAACTAAAGCAGATAAGCTGCAATATGCCGATCAGTGTAGTAGAGTTCGTAAGCTCTTGAAATCTTCAAAGATGAGTTATTACGCCTCGCTTATTAAAGAAAATATATCGGATTTCAAAGTTTTATTTAACACGATAGACCGTATGCGTCGTTCTCTTGCTGCTAGACCTATCAGCAGCCTTCGACACCGTCGATCATAAGATATTGTTACACAGACTGCGATCCAGGTTTGGTATAAAAGGAAAAGCGCTTTTGTGGCTTCAGTCTTATCTTACGGATCATTCCCAGTCAGTTCAGATTGATGGATTTACCTCTTCAGTTCATCCGCTCAGATTTCGTGTACCCCAGGGGTTTGCTGCTGTATCTGTTGTACACGGCCCCACTAGGTGACCTAATACAGTGGCATGACATGGACTTCCATCAATATGCTGATGATACTCAACTGTACACCACCTTCAGTTGCGATGATAAGGATGATCTTACCACTACAATTTCCCGGATTGAAAGCTGTCTTGTCGATATCACCAACTGGATGACTTCTAACAAATTGAAACTAAATACTGACCAAACAGAACTTCTCATTCTCTATTCTAGGTTCAGACTGCCCCCACGGCTACCTTCTATTAAAATAGGAACTGATATCATCAAGCCTACAAATAAGGCACGTAATATCAGCATCATTTTCGATAACACCGTAACAATGTCTTTTCATATTAACAACAAAGTTAAAGTGGCATTCTAGCACCTTAGAAATATAGCTAAGATTCGTGAGTATATCAATGTCACTACGGCTGAAGTTCTTGTGCACGCATTGATAAATTCAAAGCTGGATTTCTGCAACTCGCTTTTACATGGTCTTCCCAAGTATGAAACTAACAAACTGCAAAGTGTCCAAAACGCTGCAGCGCATGTGATTGCCTGCTTAAGTAAGTTTGATCACATAAGTGATACTCTAAAAGAGTTGCACTGGCTACCTGTGGAGCAAAGAATAATCTTTAAGATTAATCTTATTTGTTTTAAGATACTCAACAATTTAGCTCCTCATTATTTGGTTGACCTAATCCATGTTTATGAACCTTCGATCATCTTCAGACAAGTGGTGTCTTGTTATTAAGCCCTACAACTTAAAGACATATGGTTTCAGGGCTTTTTGAGTCATTGCCCCAATACTCTAGAACGATTTGCCTATTGACATTAGATCAGCGTGCAAAGGAAGTAGTGTCCGATAGCCAGGGCTAGTGGATTTTGCTATCGGGCTAGTGAAATCTGCTTTTAACTTGCCCGATGGGCAAGTGATGTTCTTTGAGAAATTCGAATAACAGAAGAAGTGTGAAATCAATTCTGCTCGACGAAAAGGTTTTGGGGCTAGTTGAAATGATGTCTGGGCTAGTAAATGCTAGCTTCAGCTTACCCGAATGGCAAGCTGTAAAAATGATTTTCTTTGCACCCTGTTAGATAGATCGATAATGTAAATAAGTTTAAATCTAAATTGAAGACCTTTCTTTTTAAACAAGTTTATGAACTATCTTAGGTTTTTTATTTTGTATTTTTGTGACTATGTATATATATATATATGTGTAATGACTTTAAGATTTTTATTTTTTTATTCAGACATTTTTGAAGCATTGTAAAGCGCTTAGCACTGAAAAGTATAAGCGCTATATAAATATTTTATTATTATTATTTATCATTGTTACTTGGTAAAAATTGGCTGCGTCTGATAACATGGGCATGGGGAGAGATCTTAAGTGTCTCTAATGAAAACCCAATCAGTGCAGAGGGTCAACTAACTAATCTGCTGTCAAAGTATCATGAATTATTTACCAACAGTTATGAGGGCACGAAGGGGCTTGAGGCACATATCACTATGAAAAGTAATGTAAAGCCTATCTTTGTGAAAGCAAGTCGAGTCCCTTATGCCCTGAAGGTGCAAATAGAGAAAGAGTTAGACAAACTCGAGGCACATGGGGTGATTAAGAAAACTGACAAGTTGAGTTGGGCAAGCCCAATTGTGGTAGTGCCAAAGTCCGACAACACTGTGAGAATTTGCGGAGATTATAAGGCGACCATTAATCAATCTGTGGAGGATGAGCCATATGTCTTGCCCACTACTCAGGATTTGTATACTGCTCTTGTAGGCTCAAAGGTATTTAGCAAACTCGATTTATCACATGCGCATGCACAGCTGAATGTTGACAAAGAAAGTCAAGAGTATTAATTTTGACCATTAGCACCCACAAAGGTCTGTATTCCTATTTGAAACTACCTTATGGTGTCAAGTCATCCCCAAAAATATTTCAGGCAAAAGTGGATCAGATTCTCCAGGGAATTGAGAAATGTGTATGTAAGCAGGATGACATTTTGGTAGGTGGGAATGATTGGCAAGAGAATCTTAAGATACTTGCAGACGTTTTGGACAGGTTACACAAGTACAATTTGCATTTGAAACTTCCCAAATGTGAGTTTTTGAAACCTGAAGTGGTCTACTTAGGCCTAAAATCAGTGCAGTAGGTCTGCAACCAGTGGAATCAATGCAGTAAAGAAAGCACCCACCCCTCACAATGTAAGTGAACTGAGATCTTTCCTAGGCATGGTGCAATACTATCATTCTTTCCTACCAGGGCTAGCCACAATGTTGGCACCCTTGCATAAGCTTTTGCAAAAGGGCATGTAGTGGGAGTGGACACACGACTGCCAGAAAGCTTTTGAAGCCTGTAAGGAGGGCCTAAGTAGTGATTCACTGTTAGTCCACTATGACCTGAATCGGGAATTAAGGTTAGCCTGTGATGCATCAAGTTATGGCCTAAGAGCAGTGTTAAGTCATAATGGATGACGGTCAAGAAAGGCCAATAGCCTATGCCTCCCGTACTCTAAGCTCAAGCGACAGACACTATGCACAGATAAAACGCGAAGCTTTGTCCATTGTGTACATGTACGGGGTTAAAAAATTTCATCAGTTCCTATATGGACGAAAGTTTACACTAGTGACAGATCACCAGCCCTTGCTAGCATTTTTAGGCCCAAAAGCAGCCATAACAGTACCGCTCAAAAGTAAGTTACCAGTTGTGTCTTGCTTCCTGTGCGATAAGAATCGCGTTGCGCGCTATGCGATTCTCATCGCGCACTACGTGTATGCACTGTGAAGAGGGACAGGTGTGCACCCAAGCCAGTAAGCCCAGCTTAATTGAAGCAAAAGGAAGGGTGTGGTGGGGAAAATACAAACAACTGATGCATTCTAAGCTACTATACACTGAATGCAAATATGGTGGATCTCTCGGTCGGCCCGGGTCTAGTTGCTAGTGAGACTAGTGAGGCCTCGATAGTTTTGTTTTGACTGCGCGTCTTAGCGATTCAGTCGATCAATGTGGTTTCCTTCGAGTTGTTACGTGCTTAAGAGCCATCAAAGAGGAGATTTAACTCCAGCAGAGACAAAAGTTGATTATCTTCGCTTTGCCAAAGTTCTTTACAAAGAAAGAAATGGATTCAAGCGATTCGGCGCAGCGAATGGAGGCACTTTACTACCATGGAGTTAAAAGAACGAAAGTGTGCTCGCTTCACTTCAGAAGAGAAGACTCACGAAACTATTAGAATGGGTGAATAACTGAAAGATTCGTGGTTCTGTTTCAAGTTTAATTTGCTTTGTTTGTTCTCTTACCAAGGAAAGGTAAATACCCTCAAGAATGAGTGAATCCGCCGTCGCAACTTACCAATCTTTAGGCGCTCTCAGGGACACAACAACAGACGACAAGGCAGAATGTTTCCACAGTCTTCACGATCCTGTGTTCAAGAGTTTGAGCAGTGCCATAAAAGAAGCAACTTTTGGAAAATCGCTGTTAGTTTATCTCGAAACCATTCGACAAGTTGTTAAAATATATCACGCGCAAGGTCAAATACAATGCTCGAATACTTGCACGCTCTTTCTCTGCCAGAACCTTTTTCCTTCTTCTTACTTTCTCAGTTGGCAACAGTTCCTCTGTTAGTTTTTTCAGTGCACTTTGGTCAAGGACTTTTCTTGAAATATGTTGCTTTCTTCTGGTTCTTACATAGTTTCACAGGCTACGCTTGTTGGATTAACAGGCGATTGTTATTGTTGTTGTTATATTTTAATGCAGCTGTTTTCAGCGTGAAATCTAAAAGATCTTACAGTCCACAGCGGATGCTCCTGTTCTCAAGAATGTTTACCTTTTGTTGGATAAAATAACAGACCATGCAAACATCTTGGAACAGCACCATCCCTGGGGAAAATTATTTCATTCAAATACTCTCGAGAGTCCTCTCATCTAAAGCAAGTGAAGCGAGCACACTATTGCTGTTAAGTGTTTCCTATCGCTGTGCCGAATCTCATGAATCCTTAACTTTGTTTGTGAAAAGATCTCGGGAAAAAAGAAGGCTAATCCAGCTTGAGTAAAATCTTCTTTTTGGTGGCCCTCAGGCATGCAACAACTCGAAGCAAACCATATTGATCGGCTCAATCGCTAAGACATACAATCAAAACAAAACTCTTAGGCTTCACTAGCCTCGCTTTTGCGCAACTAGACCCGGGCTGGCCGAGAGGTCCACCATATTTGCATTTGCATTCGGTGTATAGTAAAATACAGCGTGTGAATGCAACGCTCAAGAACAAAGAAACATTCAAGTGGTATAACGGATAAAGGCATAACTTAGTATCGCTTACAGCTACTCTCAGTCAAAATTGTTGGGACAATTATTTGTTGTCTTCTTGCCCTCCCAATGTTGGTGTGCAAGATTTTGTGAGCTACGGTAAAATTCTGAAAATAAGCTTCAGGGCTTATATCTTTGAAAGGCCCTTTTTGAGGGGCTTAGGTATAATCGGAGGGGCTTAAGTATGGAGGCAAATTTGCACTTCAAAATAGATTGGGCTAGCCTTATTCTTGGACAGAAATTTACCATTTTTCTTTGTTTTACTTTGTATTTGAGGGCAATTTCCAAGTACAAGCACCCGCGCAGGGCTTATATTTGGAGGGGTGATTTAACAGAGGGGTTTTTGCGTTACGAGTTTCGGGGGCCTATACTTGGAGGGGCTTATACATGGAGGAGCTTATTTTCGGAATTTTACGGTAACTGCAACAAACAACATTAGGAGGACAAGGATACAGGCCAGAATTAAAAACATCAGCATTGGGTGGAAGTGTCCCTACTACGCTTGTCCAAGACTGTGTTGGAGAATGAATTTAAGGAATTTGAAGAGCTGTTGACAGATACTGAGGTTAACTTTTAATTCGGTCACAGATGCCATGGTAGTGTGTTGGGGTGTCTTTTCTGATTTTGTGAACCTTTCTACAGCAGTGAACTGAGTTCTTTTCAGATTTCTGCTTCCATATAAAGACAACTGTAACACTGAGAATTCCCAGTTAGCCCAAATATCTTCTTGGAGTACAGTATTAGAAAAATAAAACAAACTGAGTATATAGCATGGCTTTCAAGTGTAGGACTAATAGCGTGACAAGAGCATGTGCGTATTTCTGCGTAAAAATTCATAATTTTCCCATATTGAGAGTCGCTCAAATGTGCCACATTTCTAGCTGAAACTGTGGTTAGTAAAGAAGACCTCTTAGCAGGGCTTCTGATATTTCGCGCGGTCGCGGACCCGCGAAATTCAGGTTTTTCCGCGAAATCCTGCGAAATTCCCCCAAAAACGCGAAATCCGCCAGAAATATTTCTAAATACTTGTCGGCAAAACATATTTAATACTTATCTTGGCCATTAGACCTGTTTTATTCACCCAAAACGTCCAAACTTATCTTGAAACTTCGTCACTGCAACGAGTAAACAACGTCCCAAAACTACCAGGCGTTCTTAGATTAATGTTGCGAAAAACTGGGCACTAACCACAATGTTAATAGCTTTAGCATTCACTCATTTCTCGCGCGAACTGTTGTTGAAAGAGCAAATGATTATCCCTGTTAAAAAAAACAACGCTAAACAACGCTGGTCATATCGACACAAAATTGATCGACTTTAGCGAAATTTGCCAGAAAAAATCCAGCGAAATCGGCTGTTTTTTACTGATGGTTTCTTGGCTAAGTTTTCCCCCGAAATTTTTCGTGAAATAGGCCCGGAAATCGGCCGATTTTTCTAAGAATTTGCCCCTAAAAATCCTTCGATATTTGACTTTTTTCTGCTAAAATTCCGCGAAATCGAAACGATTTTCCGGCGAATTTTGACTTTTCTCCCGCGAAAATCCCACGAAATCGGCCGATTTTTCCGCGAATTTGCCCCTGAAAATCCCGCGAAATTTTGCTTTTTTTTTCGCGAAATATCAGAAGCCCTGTCTTAGGTAACAAAGACCATAAGCAACACAGCTGAAGGAGAAAACTCCTCAATGAGTTAAGTGCAAGAAGCTTAAAACACCTTTGAAAAAAAAGGAACCAAGCACAAGGATTTTGGCACTGTTTTGGAGATGGACTTAACAAGAAATTAATTTCTATCTGTAGCGCAGGATAGAGAGGAGAAGTACAGTGTAATTTAAACTATAAAATCAGCATAACAAATATCAGACAAGTGCAGCACAATAAATATCTTTTATAAACATTTTGCTGCTACAAGTATTAGACACAATAAAATATTATTTTGATGTAAATACATGTAAGTGGTGACAGAGGCATAGGCATCTGTATCTCATAGGACAGTTTCATACGCTTTTAGAGCACACAAAGAAATACCGTATTTTCTCAAATAATAGCCAGGGGCAATTATTTTCTTTTTTCGCATCAAAAGGGGGCGATTACCTGAGGGAAGGTGAATATTTTCAAATATTGCTGTCTAGAAGTCATACAATAAATCTTTTATTTTCTTATTCCATTAAATCAAAAAATGATCACATCAAATAAACTGAACTTGGGCTTTTTACGTGTTCCAAATTTGGTACCTTGATTATTTTTCAGAGCTTGAATAATTACTGATCAGTTTTGCTGGATCAGATTCTACTTTAACTTGACAGGGAGGGAATAACAGAAAGAGAAGGTGGTGAAAGAGGGTTGGAGTGGGGGTAATTTTTCGAGGGCAGCAATCATTTTAGATATTTCTAGCAAAAGGGGTGATTATTTGAGAGAGGCGATTAATCAAGGAATGGCTATTACTCGACGAAATGCATTATGTTTCAATGGCTAAACATCACAATAACCAGCCACTTATTTACATGTCGTTCAATAACGAAAGAAACTATTGTGTTTGTACCTCATATTGTCGAGTATTTTTAAGTAATTGTTTCAACAACTAAACCTCAGAATATCTGGCCACAAAGACTATTGTCTTTATTAAAACGCTATCAAAATAGATGCAGTTCAGTTTAAATTCGAAGATAATGGATCGAAAATAATTGTACACTTTACAATCAATCAACATTATACGCGCGTCAAAAATGAAAGGAAATTATAATTTGTCCTTAGAATTAAATTATTGTTTCCCTTAACATCTCTGTCGCTTTAGAAATGCTCATTTTTGTCTTACTTTCAATTAATCAATGAATTTTCCGCTTTTATAGTTGGAATTTAAGCTTTCTATGTGCGCGTGTTTCCTACGAACGTTGCAAATTAACAAGTTGCAGCGGTTTGCGCGCCAAAATCACAATACATGAATAGCTTGTAGAGACCCTTCTCTGATTTTTCATTTATTTTTTTGCAACTTTTGAGAAAAGCCAGTTGGGAAATATCCATCAACACTACCTAATAGAAAAAGCGCCTTAAAATAAGGAGATATTTGGCAAATCAAGTTAAGCAGGGTGCACCAAAAGCTGCGTTCGTTCTGCACATTCGATTCTTTCGATATCACGATCGCGAGTTCGTAATGCACAACGGGGAAACATATCATGTTCATTGACATTCACTGCTTAAAAGCTTAAGGTTTTCTAGATTTACGTATATCCAAGCTTTAGCTATGTTACTTTGACGTGTATTGCACAGTTAATTTCTGTTGACATAAGCAAACGACAAATCTAAATTTTGAGCAACACGCGTCGAGCTTTAATCGTCGCTTCGAACGACAAACAAAAAGCTTTAAGTTCGGGCGAGCGACTTGACTGGTTATCAGCTGTAAAATTTGTCTAATTTATACCAATATTTACTTTAGAAGACTATTCCAGCTTACCTCGCAAATGGAACGATCCCAACAACCAAGCGAAAATAGGAAGACAGTACAAAATACGCGCATATCGATGAAGAAGCGCGCGAAAAATGATTCTTCCCTAAACAACAGGCGCGGTAACTAAGCGGACAACCCTGCCAAAACGCGAGAGGACTGAGCACTACAAAAGTTCAGACGACCCGTTCGAAGGCTTGTTTTTTTCACCTTGTGAAAATGGACGAGGAAAAGATTGATATAGGCCTGATTCAGCGATTTAGATCTGGTATTTCTGTCGATAAGAAAAGTAAGAAAAAGGTTCTTGCAATATTCAAGTATTTAACGGGGAAAGAGAGCCCTATAGAAGCTGTGGAGCTCACGGTTCGTCGAGACCAACACCTCCGAGAAGCACAGCTGAAAGTCATGTACGAGATGGTCAAACTCGTAGAAGATCCGCCGACGTTGGTAAGAAACGAATGCTTTTTCCTCTCTTAGTTTTACTATTATCCCTTGTTTGTGAAAATTCTCTTCGTTCCTATGTACCAAAATCGGTCCCGGTCGATTAGGATGAGTGCAAAACTGGGTATATTGACTTGAGCAGGACCGGACGTTGTCGTTTTCTAGTTTCAGTCTTTTGATATCAGATTGGAATGCGAAACATATCAGAATGTTAGCGATATCAAATTCTTTTGACGAGAGTTGTTTAACTGAAGGAGGTTGAGGGAGATCGGAAAAATATGTGATCATGAAAAAATGTAAAATATTTGTCGAGAAGTCTGTCGCTTTTTTTTCGAATTAATGCGAAATTTAAGCTTTCCAGGCTCTCTGTAAGCTTATGGGAAAATCGTTTGAGTTGGGGTTAGTTTCATTTTGTTACCTTTATTAGTGGTTCTGCACAACTGACAAAATGTTGATGAAATGAACAGATTATGAAAAACTGAAGCTTTACAGCATTCATTTAAATATTGCACAACATTGAAGAAAAGTCACACTTTAATAATTCAACACATGTATTTAAAGAATAAGCTTATTGTTGATGCATTGCTCTGGTGTGATTGATTTCCGTTTTCTTTGTCACATCTGTTGTATTTTCCCTTTTTTTCACCTGAATTCATACATGTATACAGCTACTACTAGCACAAAGAAAAGATCTTAAAGTAAGAAGCCCAAAAACATATTGTAGGCAGTGCACTTTATGTTTAGTGCAGCAGTATAAATGGAACACAGTCAATATACAATTACCAGGATTAATAATCAAGGTGCCAAACAGATCAAATTGTATGACCATTCTTGACTTTTTCATCAGTTCTTTAAAAAACTGGCCATTATCGAGAGGTTATTTTGGCAAGGACTGTCCTCCGGGACAAAAAAGTGTCTGTAGTAGAAAGGTTGCCTTTATTGGATGCTTGACTGTATTGCATGTATTTTTAAATCTTTCACAGTATTTCCTGACTTATGATTGAACTTGGTCTTTTTTTTGTAATAACAACTGAAGTCACTGTTGTTACCATTTTCCTTATCACATGTACGTTCAATTTAAGTTGTTATTTTTATTTACACAGAAAACTGGAAGCGTTGAGAAGCAGAACATGTTCAGTGTCTTTTTAAGTACTGAACTTCTGAATTTTGTTGTCAGGCTTTTATGGATTCGTATTCCCAATGAGAGCTTAGGAACCAATGATCAGCCATGGCATGCCAGTCATTTTAATAGTTTAATGGTTCTTAAACACATCCTTACATTGCCTCAATACACCAGAATAAATTGTAAACATCTCATGGAAATCAACACAGTTGAAGCTCTTCTGGACTTCTGTGATGCCAATTTTGATCTCTTGGGACTCTATCCAGCAGTTTGTGCATTAAAAACTTTAACCTGTCTGGAACGTGAAGCCTGTGACAGAATCGTGTTGTTAAGTGGAATATCAAAAATTGGAAAAGTTGTGTTAAAAGATAATTGCCAAAAAATGATTGTCAAGGCTTATAAAAGTGGAATAACAAGTAGTAGACCTTATATAAAAAGAGTTTTGGAGGACCGTAGAGATCAGTGCTTGGATAATTTCAAACGGGCTGAACTACCATCGACAGCTGATTTGCCACTGAACATTTTACGTTCTTGGAGTTACAAAATACAGATGAATGCAGCTGTTGTCCTTTTAAAGGTTAGCTTAAAGAATTTTTTTTAGCTTATGGAAAAGATTATTCTCTGTTTTCACTGTCATGCCATCAAAAGTAATAATGCAAACCATTTAATACAGAAAGCGCAGCATATGGCAAATAGAAGAAGACGAATACAAAAAGCCTCACCAAGAATCAGATCTGTGTGATATTTCATCTGCGAGATGTTTGGGAAACATTTTACCCAAATATATACACTGTGAGGCTTTGTATGGAGACACCATGTTGGTGTCCCTTTGAGGGCACAAATATGGCCGCCCAAAAACAAACAATAAATAAACCAACTATGTGACAGACAAGCCACATGTATGACTTCATAAACATTAAAGGCCATGCTACATGCAAGCTGAGAGAAACCTCTGTTCACGGGGTAAAGACTTCTTTCTAATGTACCGTCCTCACAGTCTGGTGGCCTCTGATGCACTAGTTTTAATAAATCTCATCCCTTGATGAACTTAAGATCCTTTATTAATGGTATCGTTTAATATAATATTAAATGTAATATTTACAAAGGTAATTTGTTTGTAGATTGCAGAGCAAAATGATCGATACAGAAAACTTATTTTAAAAGATAAAGTGGCATCAAAGGTTAGTTACAGCATTAGTTTCATGAAGTTGTAGATGATATAATAGGGAGCTATAGCAACGAGGACGGTGACAGCAACAAAAACGGCAAAAATGCAATAGGTTTAATTTATGATGTAGGCAAACCCACAACTTTGCAGGTACATGGAATCTTGCTGATGCCAAAAATTGACAGAGCACATAAAAATTATCTTACACTTGAAATTTGAGAGGAAACACATTTAAGGGAGACATTTTATGGCACTTTGATTTTTCAGCAAAGTAGTACATGTATGATTTCTATTGGCCAGCATGTTGGAAAGCATACTCTTGCCCTCCAACAGGGCCGCCAAAACTACTTTTTGCTTGTGCAATTACATGTATCTTTTTCAACATTTGATATTTATGCTCAGATGTGCTGTAAATGTTACCACATCATCTTTTCAACACTTTCCTTGAAGTTTAAGTGCAAAATTTGTGTTCTGAAAGAGGTAATTCATAATTTTGAAAATCACATTTTGGTCACGAGACCAGCTACGAACTTACTCATTTTAAGAAAATGATGCGGGTTTGAGAATCCAAATCACTATTATTTTGTTTAAGATATGACCCACTAATCGTTTTTTGAAGGCAAAATCATATAACTTTAATTTTTCATAAAAATGACGTCACATGACCTCTTAGTGCAAATGGCCTATTGAGGAAAAAGAAGCATTTAAATCTAAATTGAAAATGTTTCTTTTTAAAAAGGTATATGACATTTAGTTTCATCATATTTGTTTTTGTTTTCTCTCCTTTTTAAGATGTGTATGCTATAAATTTCCCAATATGTACGTTAGGGTTATATGTAAGCTTGTGATTAATGATATTCTTATGTCCTTTTTACATTGTAAAGTGCTTAGAGCAGCGATGTATAAGCGCTATATAAATTCCATTATTATTATTATTATTATTATTATTATTATTATTATTATTATTTAAAGCTGTAACAGCCCCATGATTCACATGGACTTTCCTTCTCTTGCACTGGTTCAATTTATTTACATTTAATTTAAATAACTTGTTGACACCTTTCCTCTGTTTGATACCAGGCTGTGATCACATGGATTAAAACTCCCTCAATAGCAGCAAGTGACTGTACAATGATCGCAATGTGTTTGAAAGTGGCAGGCATGATATCTCAGAGCGAAGAACTTACCTGGCAACTGATTGATTCCTATGGCATCATTGAATTCTTCGAAGATGGAGGTAACTTAATCAGTTCCGCATATCTGCACTTGGATGTCTCGGAGAAATTATAATATCATTTAAGATAAAGCCAAGGACAAATATTGAATGTACATGTACAGTGCCTGCCAGTTTCCTCGTAAAATTGTCTTTCATTTGCTTATGAAACAAGTAAAGAATTTTTACTCAAGATCATGACTTGTGGCTGATTCCCCATGAAAACTTGTACTAAACATCATGTCCTGATGCTGTACTTTTGGTTCTTTTTACTTTTTAAAATTCATAGTGCTGATACCTGACAATGCACCCATAAATGCATTCTTGGAGCTGATAGAGCAAATGTCCACTCACAGTGGTCGATGCAGAAACAAAATTTTGGAAAATGAGGTACAGTATTGCATTTTTCTCGAGGATAAGTTATTTTAGTCAGGTTTACTCACTGTTGTTGATTGTTATGTTTGTAGGAAATTCTTCAGGCATTAGGAAGATACATGTTTTCCTATAACAAAGAGGTACTATCAACTTAATTCTGTATACACTGTACCTACAGTTACAGGGCTGTGCTCTAGCAGAGCCCAGTGGCCCCTGGTGCCTAACTTTTGCTCAGTTTGGCGACTAGAAAATCTTACTTTCTTCATACAGATCATATATGCTGGGCAACCTAGATTTTACAGTTTCAGGGCTCTGGGCTCCCTTCAATTTTCCTTATAGCACAGCCTTGAATTACACTATAAATTATATCAGTAACAACCTTGATTTTACAAACAGTTGCATGGTAAGCAAAAAAAGTTCTGAAAGTAACTACCCTCTAAATACTTTTGGATTTAGCACCCTTCTTCTATCGCTACTTTCGCGGAAGAGGGGTCGTTAAAATGTATCTGATGGCTAAAACATGTACTCCACATGGGCACTTCAAAAAATTAAAAATAATGTCCAAAAATGTGCAAAAAATAATTAGTTACTCTTGGCGGGACTGCTACTCTTGGGATTTGCTAACACCTGTGACATTTTATCGGTACTATCAGAGGATTGCTACTTTCAAGGGGCCATTGCTTTTGAAACTTTACGGCATAATGACATGGTATTAATTTGTGACTAACTAGTAACTCTTGCCATCCCTCCCTGGCTTAGATTCAAGGTCCTACTTTACGTGCTTTGGCAAACCTGTCAGAGTCTGATGAAATGGCAAAGAATTTAATAAAATGTGGAGTTACTCCCAAGAATATCACTTTGGTTACCATATTTTATCAGGTAAGAAGGTGGTTCAATCAGTTTTAAGTGTTTGCTTGATATCTTCAAGGTGCCTTACATTACAAAGATAAGCAAAATTAAGCATAGTAACATAATAATAATGATGATGATAGTGATGACTTCAGACGATGATGATGATGATGATGATGATGATGACAATGTGACAATGAAGGCATGAAAAAGTAATAATATTGTGTTCTCTTTATCTGTTGTGGAGGTCTATTCATATTTTTTATTTCTTTTAGCATCCTGCCATAGGCCAAGCTCAGCGAATTCAAAAAACACTGAAAAGAACATGTCATAAGTAAGTAAATATTTTGTCATACTACGATGAAAGTTGCCTTCTATGAAGCAGCAACTTGCAACTCTCCAGAGGAAGGCTGCCAGTAAACATTGGACTATACAATTGTACTAGTGTGGTAGTGTTCTTTTTTTTTTTTTCCTATTTTAAAGATCCTCTCAAAGGTGTTCCTATAATCTTTTATCATTTTTGAATGAATATTGCATTTTAGAAGACAGGGTTGTCATTAAGAGCCGGGGGCTGGAGATTTTCCCCAGCTACTAAGAGAGTGGCCTCCGGCTACTTTTATTGGAAAATAGAAGAAAAATAGAACGAAAAGAAATCCCTAGCCTTTCGATTCCCCGCCAACTTGTTGTATTTACCCGTCAACTTGAAATCTTGGTGACAATCCTGAGAAGAACACAGTGAAGGGAATATATTTTGTCAACTATAAGTTTGGTGAATTTCTGTGGTAATGGGCAATTCCAGAAAATATCCATACCCAACCACGGACGGCTTCCATGTTTTAAGCCCCCCTTGCCTTGGGAAATTCCAAAATGCGCTACCCCCCCATGCCCTCAGAATTCCATAGTCGTGAACCCCCCCTCCCCTTCAGAATTTCCGGTTTTTTTTGGAAGTACATTTTCGACTTAGCAACGCCAATAAGAACAAACGAACATGAATTTATGCCTCCTCAAGGCTGTGATCTAGCGGCGCCAGGTGACAAGCTTTACTCTTCAGTGACAAGAAAAACCTACGCTAGTTGCCAGGCCGTGCAAACTCCTTTTTAAGTCCGAATTTGGCTATAAAAATAAACACCACTTAAGGTAATTTTACTCCTCTTTGTTTTCTTGTGCTGTTTTGACGTTTACGAAGGAAAATAGCTCAAACAGACTGTTAAAATCTTTTGGCGGTCAAATACACCGTCGAGTCGTGTTGCGTCCTTTTATACGTCATGTAGTGCGCACGAAAAGCGTTCAAATCTGACAGGCGTTCCTTGGAAGTGAGGGACTGGTGCGAGTTTTTTACTGTTTATCGGACGGTTTCGGACGGGAGTAACAAGAAATTTGCAAGCGGTATTAAAGATACATTTTCAGTTTTTATTCACGTGACAAGAAATTCATCAAGGTAAATGTGAAACCAACGTTTTACTGTTCACTTCTATAAGTTATGAGCGTAAACACGTGTCTGATCTATCGATGCTTGTCTTCTGCTTCCGCAGTCATACGTTCGTGGTTTATTTACGAACTACAAAAGTCCACAACAATAGCGTTTTCCAGGAACTTACTCTACACTTTCTACTCCAGAAATCCCACCTGTGGAATTCCCCCATACCTTCGGATTTCAAATCGTAAATACCCCCCCATGCCTTCAGAATTCCATAATCGTGAATCCCCCCTCCCCTTCGGAAATCCTTAAAGCCGTCCGTGGTATGGTATGGATATTTTCTGGAATCGCCCAATTTAACTTAGTCTGCAATGCATGCTGTTTTTGCACAAAATGAGAATCTTGTGTGATTCTGAAGGGGTTTGCATTTCCCTCCATTTGTATTTACAGTGACATTTTCTTCTTCCGTTTTGCAGGCTGTGGATCCAGGAAGAAATAGCCTTTGGTAAAGAACGCTTTGATTTCTTCTCCCAAGTGGATGAAGAAAGTGCTCGAGTTTTGAAGGACATCGGCAACAAGCAATTCAAATCCAACTCATTTGATGAGGCGATAAGACGGTACACAGAAGCTTTGAACTGCTGCCCGCAAGGAACCGAGGCAAGCAAGGCTGGAAAAGATGGAAGATGGTAAAAATAATTTGCTTCTTTTTTTTTTCTTCATTTGCTCAACATAACGGCCGGTCAACAGACAATGTCCAGCCAAGATGACCATTTGTCCAGACAAACTTTTCGTTTGCTGGTCATTTGGACCAGGCACGTTCAAGTTGTTATTGGGTTATTTTTAACATTTTGACCAGTCAGACAAGAGACGTGACCGAGCTTAAGTTTCTTTGGCCGGTCAACACAACCCACAACAGTCCCAAATCTTATTTTGAGCTCTTGATTGAGAATGCAATATTAGAAAGTAATATACACTGTACCCCTGACACTGAAGTTACATGCATTCCTTAAAGGAGCTGTGTCATGAAATTCACAGCCAAATTAGGAAATTAAAAAAATGCCCGTTAAATTAAGAGAAGCATAAAATAACCGCTTAAAACTTTAAAGGAAGGTTAAAATAATATAACAGAAACAACAGATGCCACGGATGGGCAAAACTGAAGAAGATTGAAACGGATTGAAATTAGGGTTTTTGAAAACTGTTCAGCCTAACAGTTTTTCAAAGTTGATCCCTGCTACTTGCAACTTCAAAAATAATGCTCAGGAGACATATTTGTCTGTCTAGGATCTCTGATTTTGTCATTTACATGTAATTTCTTTGCTTACTTCAAGTTCCATAGCAATTGAGGGCGAGTAATTGGCAAAATTAAACAAAATGAACTGGACTGCCGTGACACAGCCCCTTTAAAATAATAATGTTTATGCATAATATCACTACAAATCATGCAACTATAATTATGTACCTATATAAATTGCCTTCCACTCACTTCAATTACCATTATTCACTTGATTCTCCTTTGTAATTCCATAAGGATGGTACTGCCAGCAGTATTGTACAGCAACCGTGCTCAGTGTCATTTGAACAAATCAGAGTGGCAAAGTGCCCTGAATGACTGCAATGAAGCCATGGCCAGGTGTCTTGAAGGTCAGTTACAGTATTTATTTTTACAAGGCTTTGACAATGTGTCTGTGGTGTCCTTTCTTTTGTGATGAATTAGTAATAATTATCCTCATTACCAAATGCAGGGGCACCTAATGACCGAATGTTTCCAAAGTACAGTTTTTCTTTATTCCAAAATTTTCAGGAAACCTTTTTTTTCAACAATAATAGCAATATTGTAGTAACAAAATGTGGAAAACACAACCTCCGAAAACCGTAGGTAGAAAAGGTTGTCCAGAAATTTTTAGCCTTTCTCGAGCTTCAGAAATTTCTAGGCAATAGTTGCTTTTTAGAACAATTGTTTTACAGGGAAAAGAGTCGTTGGGTGCACACCAGTCAGGTTGAGTGCTTCATTGTGTCTCGTTGTCTCGAATGTTCAGGGGTCTGTTATCTCGCATGCGTTTTTTGTTAACATGTATAGACCAGCTAGGGAAACATTCCAGTCTTTCTGTCGTAATTGGACAAACTCACCCAATCGCAGCTGCGGGTGTGCCCGAATTAGACAGATGTACATCAATGTTTATTTAGTAAAAATGGTCTCTTTCCTTTTGGTGATGTTTGCTAATCCCTCAGTATTTGCTCCATTTCCTAAAGCAGTCTCAGCAGTAGTATCAACGATTAATTCCTGAAACTGGTCACCAGGGCCCAGATGTTCGAACGCCGATTAGCACTAATCCAGGGTTAAATTTTAACCCGGGTTTCTTTTTCTTTTTATCAAAAGCAAGCTCTTGGGTAATTTTCCATATTCGTTTTAAAGTATCCAATCATCAAATTGTAGGCAAGCAGAATTAAACTGAATTTGTTTTTAAGCTCTCATATTCGAGTTCAAATTAGGCACTAACCCTGGGTTATCTTAACTCAGCTTCGAACAACCCGGCCCAGACTGGCAACTTGAATTCTTCGTCAAACTGCTTTTTACACTTACTGTGCCTTTATGAATATCTATACAGGAATTTTTATACACAGTAGGGAAAGAGTTGCTAGTAAACTTACGTTTTTTATACATTCTTACGTTAGAAAACGAGGAAGCTGAAAAAATACTGTTAAAAACCATGTTCCGTCGATCCAAGGCCTTTATGGAGCTCGGACACCACCAGCGAGCGTTGAATGACATCTCATTTTGCCTCAGAACCCAAGTTAACAATACTGGAAATGCAAATAATGTGCTGTCTATTTTTTGGGAGGTAAGGAACAAGCCTGACCTTTAAACTCATTCTCATACACACCCATTTCCAAAAACAAAGCAAAATACAACTTTGCAGAACTTAGTCACGTGCGTGAATACCACCTAGCAACGGCTCGCTGGATAGCAAGCCATCCAAGTGTTCATTCAGATTCAAGTACGACCGAGGGAAGCCTTTCTAGGCAAATTCAAACGTCTTTTAAGTTTTCTAGACCAGTCGTTTGGGTTAATTTTTAACACAGTAATTAAATTAGGCTAGGAATGCTTCACTTACATGTAGTGACACTCAAAGCTTTGCGGTCAGAGTGAACGCTTGGAGGCTTGTAATCCAGTGAGCCGTTGGCGAAAGTCTGCAAAGGGCTAGTTTCAAAGGCTGAGGAGTGTAAAAGTAAAGAAATCACGTTGACAGTCACGGATAAATACTAGCAGCCTCGGTGAAAAACACTCATTATTCAGCCTAATAAATTAATTTCGGGCAAGCAGAGGAGCCGGCAATCGTAATCTTCAGGTTCCTGTTACGAATGCTTGGCAAGTATGTAACCAGCGGTCGTTTCGATTTCCACCAAGAATGAATTGAGTGCCGAGAGTAGAACGCAATCTGATTATGCGTGTTTTGACCTTCTATGACGTGAGAAAAACACGCAAAACACAGCGTTGGACCAAGTGCGTTTTGACCTTCGGTCGATCTCGCCCGCACTCCATACCTTCGGTTATCACCTGTTCAATAGTTATTAAAATAAATTAACTTACAGGGTGTGCCAAAACCTATGTCCGATTGTCCGTGACAGGCAAACCTCATACTTGACGAAATAAGGTTAAATATTCATTTTAACTTCGCGATTCCACGGTCATTTCATTTGTTTTCACGAGCCCCGTTTAGGTTTAAGTCAAAAACGATTTACAAGGATAATAATGTGATTAAAGCTAAACTTTTTGGCAAGAACTCTTCAGTTTTGGACAACCAAACTTCATATAGTGCTTGTCCTAAGGACAAGTGGATAGGAAAATTTTTCTCTTAATCTGTTGATTATGTCATGCTCTTTATTGTAGGTTTTGGGGAAATACCGTAAAGCGTATGGTCCTGAGCCAATCCGTCGCTGTGGCAACTGTATCGGCGGGGATGGAGACAAATTGAAGAGATGTGCCAACTGTGAGGAAGTATATTGTAGCAAAGAATGTCAAGTTCTGGCTTGGGAAAAGGGCCATAAAAACCTCTGCAACAAGTAAAAAAAATACTAACACATCAAAATAAAAAATACGTATATACTTAAAATTAGAAAAAGTATATAAAACCTTTTGGTACATTTAGAGAACTTATACAAGTGTGGATAGTATGCACAAAGCATTGTTGCCACTCTGATGTATACATTGATGTACACAAGGTTATCTAGTTTATCAATTAACTCCAACAAAAGAGTTAACAAAAAGGCGACGAAATTAGTTGAGACACTTCGCCCGTAAGGGGGCTTTTGACGTTTTACCGACTTTAAAAGGGTATGATAAAGTTTTTCCTCCCCCATTCCCCCATGCAATGTGGCGACAAAATTAGTTGAGACACTTCGCCCGAAAGGGGCTTTTTGACGTTTTACCAACTTTAAAAGGGTATAATAAAGTTTTTCCTCCCCCATCCCCCCATGCAATGTGGCGACAAAATTAGTTGAGACACTTCGCCCGAAAGGGGCTTTTTGACGTTTTACCGACTTTAAAAGGGTATAATAAAGTTTTCCCTCCCCCATCCCCCAATGCAATGTGGCGACAAAATTAGTTGAGACACTTCGCCCGAAAGGGGCTTTTTGACGTTTACCAACTTTAAAAGGGTATAATAAAGCTTTTCCTTCCCCATCCCCTCCATGCAATGTTGTGCCGCTGTTCGAGCTACCTGTAAAAAAGAACAAACACCCCAACTTTGAATGTAGAGGAGGGGTGTAGTTTCTTTTGAATGGAGAGGAGGGGTGTAGTTTCTTTTGAATGGAGGGGAGGGGTGTAGTTTATTTTGTTCTCTGAAGTTACCCTATTTGAGTACAATGTCTCAACAACTTTGTCGCCGATTGTAGTTCCGTTCAGTGTTACAGTTGTTATAAATATTGTTAAGGTTGAGTACTTTACACATTTATTTTATTTTTCTTTCTTTCTTTCTCCTCCTTATAACTTTTTTCATCAAGGGGTAGAATTAGTTCCATGCATTTTGTCCAGATGCTGGGCAGCATATTATTTTCTTTCTTTGTTTGTTTGTGTCAATGAATTCGTGAAGCTTTCACATAACAGAAGTAGTAGTAGTAGTAGTAATTAGTATAGCAAATATCCATTTGTTTTGCACTGTTTATGCATTATCTTTTTATAATGATAGCACCTATCAAGTAATTAGTGAAGTTATGCAACAGGACGGGAGAGAAAAGAAGACCGCAAAAGTTGTGTGACAAGTGTGACAATAATTTTCTTTGTAAAAACCTTCCGCCAAATTCCACCTTCTTTTAAACAGGTCTTTTTGTAAACAACCGGAAAACATTAGTGTAAAATGATCACCACAAAACACGCACGTGATAGCCCTGTTACGATTGTCTCACAAACCCGTTTTGCCATCCTCTTTTTCCTGCCGTCCTTTTACGGAAACTCACTATTAATGCGTGAGCTTAAAAATTTTGATAACTCGGAGAATCTTACTTGGAATTTTTCTTTTTGGAAGCACGAGAGAAGTTCTGGAGAGGAAGGAACATTATGTGACGGCTATTCTTACCTCTCGAGTTTTGCTAAAATTTTAAGGGCTCATACCTGTAGAGCCTTTTCACAGTGACGCCACGTCCGCCATGTTGATTCTCCAAGACAGTGATACGGCAGCCATGTTGCTGTCCCAGAAATGTAAGGGTTTTCCGCCGGGAGTATTCTAGTAAGGTGTTAAGACTTCGACCCTTTTCAGCTTTCAAGTACTGTTATAACGCCCAAAGAGCCAAAATTCTTTATTAATGGTCAGGGTCGCCGTAAAAATACAGTAACTCATCACTGTTAATTTGCGAAAGAGTCTGTTTTTGTATGGACAAGACATCATATTCAGTTGTAGACTTTTGCAGTGAAATTATAAGTAAACAGAATTCGCAGAAAAACCTTCGTACCACTGCACTTGCTCCATGAGAATAATAGTGGGGCGATGTTTGCGTGCAAGAAGCCTGTGTTTGTAAATTATGTCAAATGTCAACGTAGTCCGCGATAAAGGCGAATTCTTCGGGCGAGCGAACGTTCAGTATTTTCTCTTTTATTTTTAGAACTAAAGTTTGATTGAAGTAGTGGGTCTTAGGTCCCTTTCTCACTTATTCCAACTGTTTTAATTAGAGTCAAACCGCGTTCTAAGCCATTTTCAGTTTAACACACTCTTTCATCTGAACACCATTTATCGAAACAGTATATAATATATATATCTTGTTAAAATAACCCACTTAGGAAGAGATCTGAAGATCCGAAGTTAGGCTTTGTTTGAATAACCAATATACAACATTGCAGTTATTCAAAACCAAAGCGAGCCATACAACTCGCCAGAAAAAAAATGGCTATATTAAGATGAAGACGTTGAAAGACGCCTTAAACGTCTCGTCTACTCTAAAGACGGCCGACGCCGTAAGCTGGGGCGCATTTGTGTCCAACTGGACCAGATATTGCTGGAAAGACTAAGTGCTCGGCCTCTTTTTTGTTTGTTTATTTTTCGTTTTGTTTTTTTCGGCGTCCCGTTTTTGCACTAGTCGGCTTTAACCTCCCAGGCGTTAAATGCCTGAAGACGACTTCAACTTCTCTCAGTAGTAAAAACGCGGCGAATGTCTTTGTCGTAGGCTTATGTAAACGTAGTTATTAACTAGCGAGGATTGCAGTCCAGTAGAAGAAGTAGAAAGGACCGTTTTGTAGTGAGGAACTATAAGAAAAGCGTGAGGCAATCGGGTCTTTCTCACGGTCCGCTGGAGCATTTCTCAGAGTAGTGAATATTTGTGGTCAATTCGTCTACATGCAACCATACGTAAAACGTATATTTCGCTTTATACCCTTGCGGTTAATTTGAAAGAGGCAATGAATCGATGTAGCCGAATTGACTTTCTAGCTTTGAGTTTTAATGTGGGCGAATTAACCATCGTTTGCAGCACGTACTACTTAATGCTCTCATTTAGATGTTAATTGTCAAAACCAATCGTTTTGTGGGCTGTATTACTTTAATAGGCCACTTCAGAGTTCCAAAAATCCTTACTTTCAAAATGAGGCCAGGTGCACAACCTTTCTTGTGAAAATGAGCTTTATTTGCATGAGAATAAAAATGATTTCCATATCAAAGGCTGAACACCTACCCTCGTTTTGAAACAGAGGCCCTGGGGGACTCGGAAATGGCCTATTACCACTTTAGTTTTGAAACAAAAAAATGCTTTGATTGTAGTAAGAAACAACATTTTGTTCTGATTTATAATTAAAGGACAAAAAGCGTTAATTTCTCGTTAGTTCTGCTGTTAGCTATTCATTTTCTTATTTGTCGCCCGTTAGTGAAGTCGGATACTTAACGCTTCTACCGTTTTTCCTCGTATAGCGAAATTGCCTTTCCCTACTCACCCCCTCCCCCGCCTCACCATAGAATGAAGCCATCTCGATTGGAATGCAGAACCAAATAAGTTTAAGACTCAAATTCGTTTGTGCCGTTTGCCTGACGTTCCAAGCTTCACGTACACAAAAGATTGAAGTTTTATCGTAACCTTTCTGGCGAAAAATTTCGGGTTCTATCATCGACCCAAAATGTCTCTTAAAGCCTTCCTCTTCCCTCCCCTCCACTCCTCCTCGGGCCCACGCGTTTAGTTGCCACGCCGGAACAATACAATACAGCTTCTCATTTCCGGTTCCGGTAGTTGGCCTACATCGCGAAAGACTTTTAATCCCTGCAGCGCGCCAAATTTACAGGAGGAATTTTCCTCCTGTGAGTTTTCACGAACGGTTTTACTGATGCGCCGTCGATCAAACCCGATCACGCCGCATGAAACGTGACTCGGACTGTTTTGATCCAAATTGAGATGTGTATTTTTTGGCGGGCTGTATTACGATTTTGTTTCATCACCTGTATTCAAATACAAAGCCGAGTGCAAGTGCGTTCTATTAAGGACGCGATCGTGTATGGGTTAAGGAAAGCGAACTACAAAGATGTTGGGAGTGATCAACAACAAGTGATCGAGGCTTTATTGCCGGCTTTCGCTACTTTCAGGGGACCGTAGTTTTTTATAGGGCAAAAAACTAATACACCTGTCAATGTAAAGCCGGCGGAAATGGGGGGAAGGCAGGGCATGGGGTGGGGATTTGACATTTTTCAAGAATTTGCAGTCAAATTCCCTGCCCACGGGCAAATCATTCCAGTCAAATGCAACCAAATTTCCCCAGCCCGGGCTGCACATTGCGCTCTCAAATAACCCAAGGCTGGACCTAAGAAAGGCACAATAAAGATATCTCTAAATAGAACTCTGAAATCTATATTTATATTACGTGGCTGCATCACCAAAGATACATATTCCTGTTACAGCTGCGATTATACGTTTGAACCATAATCCGTGTTACACTGCGTAGAATACAGAAACCTTTAGGAGAAATTCCACATTTTGTAAGTTTAAATACACTGTTCTTAGTAAAGGGTACAAAGAAAGTCATTTTTATAAGCTTATGGTGATTGTAGCGAATGAGCCATACACTGCACTGATCAATTGTACTTGCAAAAATCGACTTGGTTGCTCTTTACTTCCGTTTACTTTGATACCACAGTATCCCCTTGAAGAGGTTCAATTGATCAAAAACACGCTAAAACAAACAAAATTTGGAGGCAAAACAGTGAAATCCACCCAGCTTCCGCTTGTTCTCGTTGGCCTCCATAATTTCCATCTTTCCAGACCGTACGGCGCATGCGTGAAACGTGGAAGTGGGGAAACATATGTTCGGTCTCAGTCCATTCTCGTCCCCAGAGCCACTCGACTTAATTTGTAACCGTTTCCCGACCACGTGACCAAGAAACGACGGGCTCTGGGGACGAGAATGGTCTCAGTCTTTTTCGTCAGAGTCGGCAGTCAAATATCTCCTCGTCGGGCGAAGAAAGATTCAAATATCCCCTCCCCTGGGAGAACAAGATCAGTCAAGTGCCCTACCCCAGGGCCAACAAAGACAATCAAATCCCCACCCCATGCCCCGCCTCCCCCCCCCCCCTGCGCCGGCATACCATTGATAGGTGCATA